AGAACTCACAGGATTAAGAGGCATCTTATTACCGCGGAATAGTAATGTATGAGTGCATTACGGACGTCTCATAATAACATTATTTTTTTATGGATGATAATGGAATGGTGCTACAGCCTGCGCTAACGGTTACGCGTGCGGGGCACCAGCGGAGGATGACATGATGATCATAAGGTCAGGTCAGTTAGCGCATCGTGACAAATTCACCACCACCATTAAATTTGTACTTCTATTATTAAAGATTGTCCACGCAATTTTTGTAAAAAGAGGTTATGTGGCCCACACATGCATAAACGAAATATCTCCTTTGGAAAGTATACACTCTATCCAGAAGATATAAAAACTATCGCTTTTATGAATATCCTTCCATTCTAGCCGCTGACGGATCTAGGTACAGCAACCCCGAAAAAGGGCGAGCACAATAGATCTGTGTAAGTTGCAGTGCGATAGGTCTAAGCACCAGACAACATACCAAACCTCTAAGTAAAAAGTAAAAAAAAACTTCTTATTATACATATATCGTAGATAAAAAGTTAAAAAATTAACTATGACTTAATTAGTTATATCAGATTACCATTGAATCCGCTTAAGATATAGTAAAAGTGACAATAAAACACGGACAACAACGTGTGGCTCCTGATAATTTATATTATCGTTTAATAATGCCTTTGTTTTCGGTATGAGCAGGCAATTTGTAGCGGTGCGCCGGCGCATAAATCAAATGCGTCCCAAGAGTGCACATGTGCTCGAGCTGGGAATGACGTAGGGTTGATCGCTTCCTTCAGGAACGAACTGTTTATTGTTATTTATATTCAGTACAAATTACGTTATTCTGCTACTAATAATATAAATATAAAAGTTTTTTAAAGGTATTTGGTTGAGGATATTTGTATGTTTTCATGCAATGGCCCAATGCAAATTATACGGGAACCGTCGCCTATTCCTCTTTGATCGATCCCCTGTGCAATTCAAACGGCGATTGAAATTACGACAGACTGAGCCGAGAATCTGGCCCCTAGACTAAAGTCGTATCCATCAGGCGGGAGTTGGCCTTCAGTCGCTTCATAAGTCCTTCCACGGGTTTGGAGTGCCATCTGTACTCGTCCCCTATTGTCCGGTGAAGCTGTAAAGGCCAGCTGAGGCCAACAGCATTACAGTGGTCCGAAAAAAACCGTCGCCTATATACGGGTACAACACTACGGATATCAAGTAGTCATAGGACGCCCGTTTCACTTATGCGTTGCCATTTTGGAGTAAAAAGATGTTACTGCTTTATCTAACCTTTTAATCGAAACACAGCATATTAAGCTAGCTGCTTGGCGGCTAAAATACGCAGGAATAGGCACCTACACGAACTACTTTTTACATTGTTTACCTCTTTTATATTTGGTTGAATTTTTGTGAGTCAATCACACTTGTAGTAATGATAATTAGATTTATTAGCCGAATTATTATTTAATTCTTATTCTAACATCTTTTAACTACTCCTGGGATTTTAAAATTTTGACAGCCCTGCAATGCAACCCGAGCGGCGCTCGCGCACCTAGATTTATTGCGTTCAATCAATGCGGATTTATTGCTAAGGAAGCGATCCTTTTGTTACCGTGACATCTGTCCAAATATAGACAAACTATTATAATTGCTTGTACAAACTAATACTGTAAAACACAGCCCTTGTTCGCTGTTATGGGTATTATAGGTGAAATATTTTTAAATCAATTAAGTACTTTTTCAATTTATTCATAAAAAATATAGGATGAAATACCTCTGCTAACTAAGTGGCAAGTCCCGCTCCCGCCTGCGTTAGAAGTATACGCCGGCGTATACTGCTAGAATTAGAATGTGAATCCTATTAACCCTCAGTGATGAATACACCTGTAATTAATCGGGATAGTTTTTAGAGGAGACCGCGTGCGGGGCGACTAGACAGAGTATGGATCTAATAGTCCCCATGTTTAACACTCCTATCCCCTATCTGACTGGTCGTTAGCTTGTTTGCAATTCTAATTACATTAAAAAAATAGCAGGACTTAAATGTTGGCAGAGCACACACGAAAATAACTGGGGTGGAACAGGCCCGCCACCTTCGCGCTCCTAAACAGAATTTATTGGCCATTATACATTGACGTAACAAGAATAATGATGACATACAACGAATGCGATCAACGTATAAGAAACCTAAATATACAAGTATATTGCACTTTATGATTGCACACTAATTTTACTTACATCTCTACATAGTATAAAATGAAATCGCGTCTGCTGTCTATTCGCTTTGATAAAGTATGTAAGTTGAAATAAGACCTATGAGCGTATCGGTTACTACCGGCGAAAGAAAATAACATACAGTGGCTACTGCAAATAATGGGAGAAAGGCGTTAGAAAATGTGGATCTCATGTTTAGTTTGTCATATTATTTGTTTATTTTCGCCAAATTGTGAATCATGCTTTGGTTCACTCACTGTTTTCATTTTAGGTTACGTGGCGAAGGGCTAATATAAATTAAAAAAACATATACAATAACCTCATTTTGTGTTACTGAAGAAAAGTTTTAAGTAATTTTAAACAGTAGTTAAGTAAAGATTCTCATACATTCGTACGTTCCAGAGACTATATGGCATAACAAAATTACTGACTTTTAGTTCAAATTTTCTACTCCCAAGTTATACTCTGCTCTACTCAAACACTAATTATAGTAATTAAGAAAGTTGAAAATTAGACTCTCTTGCTTGATTCCGTTACATATTTAGGAACGCTCGGAACGAAATCGGGATTAAATTGAGACTTGACTGCGATTTAAACGGTCCACTCAAAAATAACCCAACCTTATGTTGATTTAGCGACGAATCTGACACATTAGCTCCCCAAGCTACCACACAAATAACTCATAAAGTGACAATTATGCCTTACACAACGGAACGCGAAAAAAATTTATTGTTTCCTATACATGCGGCCGCGGCGACATAACACGACTACTGTGATGAAATTCAACGATTCCGGAATATTTGATGTAAATATTAAGAATTTGTCTTGATAATTTATGGTAAATTTCTATATCTAACGACGGATATTATAATACATCTTATTTACATAAAAAAAAAGAATTAGTCAAATTTATAAGAGATAAGCACTATTTAAATATTGTTTAATTATATTTGAAAACAATATTTAAATTGTAATATATTTTTAAGTTATATCTAAATATATATAACTCAAAGGTGACTGACGTAGTGATCTATCAACGCATAGCCCAAACCACTGGACGGTTCGGGCTAAAATTTGGCATGCAGGTAGATGTTATGACGTAGGCATCCCCTAAGAAAGGATTTTGATAAATCCCACCCCTAAGGGGATAAATTAACGCGAGCGAAGCCGCGGGCAAAAGCTAGTCTTTAATAAATGTAATTCTATAATTTAAATTAAATCTAGTGTTTACGTAGGACTAGATTTAGTTGATAATAGAAAATTCGTAGTAAATAAGATAATATGGGTAGTCAATGAAATCACATCAATATTAAAGAATTGGTGAATTACACACGCAGTAGACAAAAATATCTAATTTAAATCCTTTTCTCTCTCTTTAGTCGGTTAATAAGTAGCAACTTAGTTTGAAAATAAAACAAAATTGTAGTTAGTGTACCAAAATAAATTGAAGATCATTGTCTTTCCTACGCAAGTATAGTTTTCATCACCCGTCTTATTTATAATGCCGTCTTGACATCTGCCGATGAAATTATAGCAGCCATTTTGGACGTATTTTGAGTTTCCCGCCATTATTTCAATTAGTTGAGTGAGATGTCCGCGCCTGCGTGGACGTACGGTTTATGGGACACATTAAGTGATTTTTATATTCTAAAAAAATATAATATTTTGTGTTTTGAAGAAAGTCACATGTGAATTCTGTTGTGTATAAGAATATTTTCTAAATTATGACCAAGGTCCGTTATAAAATTGTAATGTATTATCGTTTAGTGTATAAGAAATATGAGAGCTACAAAAATATTTGTATTATTTATTTGAGGTAGACTTTTTAAAAAGCCGTATGCGTGGGTACCTTTGCCTCTCATATTTTAACCGCCAAGCAGCTTGCTTTGTAAGGTATTTTGTTGTAGGCTGAGTAAAGCTAGTGCCACCAAATATAATACAAGAAGCATCACAGTTTCTCATTCCGACATGGCAACGAATAAGCGGTCTAACGGGAGTCACATGATAACGTGATTTGCGTAGTGTGCTTTTCATGTACGCAATGACTTCCATTTACCATCAGCTTATTTGCCATGCTGTAATATTATCTTATCTGTGGTTATATATGTTTTCTCATAGATATTTATATAATAAAAGTCGATACTTGAACAATTTCTTTGTATGAACTATAACTAAACTAACTCTTATTAATCTCTGAAATTAATTACCCGTAATATTTTAAAATAAGAACACACGTACGTGTTACGTAAAAAGTGCGACGGGCTTGCATATGCGGGAAAAGGACAAAATATTAAAAATGATTATGCAAACAATTGATTGCAAATAATGCGTACTAAACAATAATGCTAGCGGAGTTTTGTGCAAACATTATTCTGTTTAAAATGATGCAAGCCTGTTTTAAAAGCCACGTGACATATGTGTCCAGAAGTCTGAAATACATAAATACACAAATAAATACAGTAATTTCTTTTCTTTTATGTAATCGAATGATCAAGAAGGGCTCAATAGTAAAATAGCAACATTTCAGAGAACTAACTTGTCATGCCTCTATAATTTTACTGCCCTTTTTTTAACATAGAGAAAATCTTCATAGATGCGATCACCTATCCGCGGGAGCGGTTAGGATATGTGAGATCTAAAACTACTCACTAAAAACTCCATGGTGTTACTCAGTATTTCAATGCAAAGTACTTTTGAATTCTACCGGAACTGCTTCCTAATTTGTTGTTTTTATTCTATGGTTATTTTGAATATAGAATAAGTTTTTAGAGACGATTAATTTTTTTTTATTGTAGCAGGCATCGTTCCCACCGGCCAGTGTCCGCGAAGCGGATTCACGCTGTCTCCATCGTTGGCAGAACGCATCGGTCGTGACCACGAGCAGCCCATGTTACAGACACTACACCACCCAATCAGAGAAGTGAGTGTCATAACCTTTACATACTATAAAATTAAGTCATTTCCGCTGTTTGTTCGCTTAGATCTTTTAAACTACGCAACGGATTTTAGTGTAATTTTTAACAATGGATAGAGTAATTTAAAAGGAATCATCCGTGCGAAGGCGGAGCGCGTAGCTAGTAATATTATAAATCCTATATTTATAATACTAGCTACCTGCTCTATCTGTCTCTCTGTTCGTTATAATTCCATAACTAAATAGCTTTATAATAAATGACATGAATATAGATTGTATTTTATCTAAAACAGTAGTTAACAGCTAGTCATGTCATAAAAGTTTTAAAAATTGTGTAGAACTTTTTCATTTAATATAACATAGTCAAATGATCGGTGTTGTACCACAATGCCTTACGATAACCGCGGGTTCGATTCCTCGTACGATACCAACATTTTGCATCCATAAGTATGATTCTTTAATCAACTACAATTTCAGCACTATTCTATAAGGCTGTGCACTGCATACAAATATTATACCTGTATTTATTTATTTGTATTTTTCTCTGGTCATTAATTAATTAATTACTATAGTTATTATTATTTTACTTATGCAGAATAGAATAGATTCTAAAGTATTTTTTTATTTGCTTGTCACTTATATGTTCGACAATTATATCCGTTAGGTACTCGAAGGTTGCGTTGAAAAAATTGATTTTAGCAATACGGCCATCTTAGTGTAGTTATACAAATCTAGTTATACAAATCTTACTATTATTATAAACGCGAAAGTTTGTGAGTTTGGATGAATAGATGCATGAATAAATGTTTGTTACTCTATCACGCTAAACTATTGAACGAATTTTGATGAAACTTTACAGTAATATAGCTTATGCCTGAGAATAACACATGGTCTATAAATTTCACGCGGGTGATATCGCTACTGTATTTATAAATGTTACAATGTAATTTTTCTCTTTTCTGTATAATGCAATTAAATGTAATATAATAAATTAATATTTCTTCTTTATTCTAAATCTAATATTTTTATATAATATAATTAAAATTCTATCTATCTGTTGTTAATGACCAATATCGTTTACCAGAGTTCGTTGTGCGCTCGCAGTACCTACTCCCCGCTGCAGGCGCTCAGTGAGAGCACGTGCCGGGACCACGGCGCCCAGTCGGCACCCCCACCGCAGCCTCCGCCGAGGGTCCAGGTTATTTTCTTATTTTACATCGTAATCATAAAATACATAATGTGCTGACTAAAACTACTGAACGGCTTTTGATGAAACTTTACAGTAATATAGCTTATATATTAGAATAACATATAGGCTATAATTTATAAAGATATGTAAATTTGTAGAAATATATTGATAAATGTCAAGTAAGTGTTATGGAAACGAAGTTGCGCGGCTCAGCTAGTTGACTATATTTATATAAGTGTAATTAGCTGTCTTTAAGACACATTTTTCCAGAGCTCTCAATTGTAAGGGAATGCTTTTAACCATTTTTATTGTTTACTCTGTCTGTTTAAATGTTTTTATTTAACAAAAATCTATGACTCTTTATCTAAGTGTTCACATGTCGTGCTAGACAGACGTACAAAACTTGAAGAGCAGTTTTCCACACAGGTTTCCTCACAAAACGTGACACTTCACCCTGCGGTGGCCAGATGCACCGCATCATTAGAGTTAGCAGCTCTATGGAGGAGTTTCCACGAGCTAGGAACCGAGATGATAGTGACGAAGGCCGGTCGGCGCATGTTCCCCGCGCTGCAGGCAAGACTTGCCGGGCTGTTACCGAATGCTGATTATTTGTTGCTGGTCGACTTCGTGCCGCTCGATGATAAAAGATACCGCTATGCTTTTCACAGGTAAGATAACATTAATATTAATTATGGTGTTGGATGGTGTCAATATAAAACTGTACAGAAAACATTAGGAAAACATATTATTATCTTCTTTTTATATATAAAAACGTGTGTTAGTCTGGCTAAAATTCAAGAATGGCTGTACCGATTTAGCTTATTTTGGTTTTGAAATAATTGTAGAACTCAAAGGAAAGTTTAGTGGTGAGAAAATTGCGATATGAAAAAAATGCGTTTAAAATAGTAAAAACAACAATTTTATTTTCCTTTACAAACTGTTCGTAGATGTGAAATAGGTATTCAGAAATGTATTGCGTAAATAAACTTCAAAAAATCTTTGATATATTATTTAATTCTGAGGCGAAACGGAGTCTGCGGGGCGAGCTAGTGTAATAAATTTCTGAATGGGTGAATTTTTTAATTCATTTTATAAAATTAGAATAAGAGGCATGACATCTGTTTTAATACGCATTCAGTTGATGTATGAAAACTCTATGAAAACAAGTTTTGATTTTATCGCGAATATACAGGCCGGATGTTCTTTAACATGTATAATTTATTGTTTTTAGTTCAAGCTGGGTGGTTGCGGGTAAAGCGGACCCGGTATCACCTCCCAGGATACACGTGCACCCGGACTCCCCCGCGCCGGGCTCCCACTGGATGCGCCAGCTTGTCTCATTTGACAAACTGAAGTTGACTAACAATCAACTTGACGACAATGGACATGTGAGTCACTTTTAAAAATACACCTAATCTTAATAATTTAATTTGATAGATCGATAAAAAACTTTCTTTTCAAATTTTTACTTAGTTTATAATTACTGTCCTGCAAAACTCCTGTCGGGGTTTGTGTGTAGACAGACAGACTGCAGACTCTTATTTCTTATTATAAGTTCTCTCTTATCTATTTTAACGCATACATAAAATACAGTATTCCGCTTTTACAATATATATTAGATTAAATTAGGAAAATGTTTTTTATATATTTTATAGGTTAGTATATATGTTTTTCATATTTTTTTATTTTATAATCTATACAAAAGGATTTATATCTATTTTGATTTTTAAAATCTTGGTACATTTTATTAAACATTTCGGGAATTTTAATTGCTTATTATATATAACTAGGGCTGTACCATACACATGTTGGTTCAATTAATAAAACACTAAGACTCAGACAGGCCTCCACAAATACTAACACAATAATACACTTAAATTCGACATAACTATTACTTATTTCATAAAGGAATTGTAAGGTCGTTGTAATTAAACGAAGTTGAATCCTGAACAGATAATACTAAACTCGATGCACCGCTACCAGCCGCGGCTTCACGTGGTCTACCTCCCCGCAGAAGGACAGAGTACAGCGCCTGGTACCGTCCCTTACCGGACCTTCGTATTTCCAGAGACAGGCTTCACCGCGGTCACAGCATATCAAAACCATAGGGTGAGTTAACAACAAAAGTGCAGATGTGCAATTATGATATGTGGTTATAGTAGAATGCTCATCCATAAGAGTATTACATGGTATATAATATAATAACTAGATAATGCAGAATAAACGAACGAAAGGCGACCGTTTAATATATAACAAATATGTATATATTTATTCATTCTTTATTTCACCAGCGTAAAGTAAAGTAAATTACGATGGAAAATTAAGGAATGTATAAATGATAATAATGTTTTTGTAGAAAATATCTAACTTAAAATTCATAGCGCTAACAATGGTATCGGATTTAACAGAGATTAATTGCGTAGCGGTTTCTATGTTGATTGTCGCATACCTAATCCTTGTTGTTAATTAAATGTAAGTAAATCAATATTTATTTACAAGAGCAAAACACAAGTTTCTTGCTTATTCTTCTTGTGATGAATCTGCATTCCGAATAAGACTTAAAAAAACATAACTAAACTACTAATAAAAAAACTTGACTATTTAAAAGTGCTTATATTAAGATTATTTGAATAAAGATTATTTCTATTCTATTCTATTCTATTCTATTCTAGAAATAAAATAGAGTAATAAGATATAGAGAAGACAGATAGTGGTAGCACATTGAGATCTAAAGAAAAAAACAGGATAAATTAGGTCTTATCTATTCTTTTTTTTTAATTTACTCACTAAAATTGTACTGTTGTATTGCGACATTCACAATCAAAAATAAATAACTTTATTTAAATATGATAAATACGAAACTCATTACATTATTATTTCTTTCATCAAGAAGGTAGTGAAAATCTGGTACAAAAATTTGAACTTTTATAAGTTCAAATTTCTGTACCAGATTTTCACTGCTGCCGACTTGATAATAATATCAATCTATAATGAAATCCATGCCAGCAGCGCAGCGGAATTCAGCTAGTATTTTGTATAATTCTCGTTCATTCGATTTGCTAAAATTATATTTTTCTTCAATTACAGATAACACAATTAAAAATAGCGAGCAATCCATTCGCAAAAGGCTTCAGAGACTGCGATCCAGATGATTGGTGAGTGTCTAATTATTTTCTAAACAACTTGTTCTATTTATAAATGATATTTTTTAAATTATATTTTGTGTATTCCAAATTTCATGACGTTTGATTCAGTCACTAAAAAAGGTAAGAAATAAACTAGTTTTCAGATATATTATTGTTAGTCCTACTGTAAGCATTACTGGTAGTTTTATATTTTACTTTTCCATATTTATAATACACTATTTTATATCCATTAAATTTGTTTATTTGTTTGATTGTTAAAAATTGAGCATATTAAACAGATCAAGGAAAAAGTTGGAGTCGTGTTGTATCAATAACTAAAGAGATTGATGGAAAATTATGGAGTATGACAATAGCAGCACCGATAAGAGCGCGGAATTTACGAGAAATTATGAATTAATTATATAAGTAGTTATTTAGGTTTCACAAACATCTTTAGACATCTATTAATCTATATATGTTTAAATGTTACGACATTACGTATCTTTGTGACAGAAATATGATGTAAAAAATAAGTACGACGTAGTTCAGTGGAGATATTTTCATAAAATATGCGACATTTGATGTTCCAGTAAACGAAACCACATTCCGTTAACTACCCCATGTCACAACACCACTCGTGAATCAACCAGAGAGAAATGAATGTGTTATTTACAAAGTTAACCATGGAACATACATTTCAACAGCCGGTGACAATTTACTTTTACGACTTGGCCATAGAGTAAAGAGTTACGCGACAGTTATGGCGGACACGCCTCGTTTCCCGCTCTCCAAAAAAAAAGAACATTATGGAATTTATTATCTCTGGAATGTGTAGTTTCCGCTAAATTAAACCAAAATGTTTAGTTAATAAGCTGATATAAAATTTAATTGGTCCTTTGATGTGATAATGATCGATTCCTTTTAAAAGTAAAAATAAACTCAACTTCTATTTTATTGATTTGGTGTTTCCGATTAAGAAGTATCCAATAAATACAATATGAGTATATTATATATTAGGTCTCATATGTTAATGTGATTTCTTGATAACGATAAAAAATTAGGTGTTTTCTGTGAAAGGAATAATTTATTTGATAGCTATGTTAATTTTGGATAGGCTTCTCAGTATTGTATGTACATATTGGACGGCCTCGGTGGTCTGGCGGTTTAACACAGCGCTTTATTTCCGATGATTGCGACTTCGAATGCCCGCATGATGTAAACATTTTGTAATTATAAGTGTAATTGTTTGCATTGGTCTGGATGTTTTATATATATATTATGTTCGTATTTACAAAAATACAATAACAAACGCTGTTTAGTTTAAGACTGGATTTTCTTTACTGTTCGTCTTTATTCGTTATTTAGATGCATTATTATAAAAATTAAGTATTTATAAAGAAAAAACGTCATTACCCAATTTAATGTACATTAGATATTAAGGAGGACAAACAGCTATACATACACGACTAGCTCTACTCAGACTCTACCTAAATATGAATTCTAATATTAACCTTCTATTAAATGTATTAAAAACCTACCTGTACAAATCTACTGATTGGAGGTGAATACATTAGCGTCTGTTTTTTATCCAATCGCGCGTCGGCCCGGAGCATAAGATTTATCTTTTATCTACTCACTCACCCATCACGGGTATTTTGATCGTTTACATAAAGATTGCACATTATGTAAATGGTACAGTTAAACGAATAAGTGTTTATTAATTTTTTAATCTCAACAAAACTGTAAGCAAACATTAAACAAAATTGCGTGCATAAATATTACAGGCAGATAAGCTCAAAGTATATATATACTTAAAAAGCGAAATGTTTCAGTTAGTGATTATTTAAAAAAAAGATATAGATTTACAAATATTGTCGATATTTGCATTGAGCGAGTCTTTTAACTTATTTGCGTTTAATTACAAACTTGTAGGTATATACGCAAATTATTATTAATTTGCGTATATAGTAATACACCGTCAGCTATTTTTTTTAATTTGATTTGGTATTAAGTAATCTATGCCGATAGCATTATTTCATAATATTATTATTTTATTTATTTCATTTAATTTCGCTCAATTTTGCTAATTTTCTTTGCATTATAATTTTCTTATACCAATGATAAGCTAATAATAAGCACTAAAAATATTTAACAATTAACGAAGAAATCCCGTGACTAAACAAACATACACACAAAAGCTTCAAACTAACACAGGACTTCTCATTTTCTGAAATCGGACAAAATAGAAATTCGTCGCTACAAATATCAAACATGTAAGGTAAATTTCACGGTGACTGTACATTTACAATAAACAATCAGGCGCTCTGCGCTTGCGCAGCACGTTTGTTTACACTACAGTTTACTGCCGTTGCGGCCACTGCATTGGCCGTCCCACGGCCGTAAATCTTTGCCGCTGTTATTCCAAGCCGTACGCTGCCGCAAACTGCATTCTGTTTTATATACAAACTGTGGTTAATTTACGTCTAGCGAAAGTAGCCAATAGTGAAATAAGACTAGCGTCTCGTGTGCCAATACCTATCGCTTATAGGCTAATGTATCCATTATTTAATAATAGCTCCGTACCTGCACTGTTTGATATACTAGCGACCCGTTTTGGCTTTGCATGATTTGCAGAATTGTATATTATACACTAAAAATTTCCTCAGAAATTACCTTTAAACGTTTTTGAGTTTTAGTCGTTTGCAAATATACGGGCACTCTCTACTGGAGACTTTTTTTTATAAAGAATATTACTTATTGATCATTGGTACTAGGGTTCATTCCCGGGAATTCTCGGGTCGAGAATTCCCGGGAAATCCTTGGGTTCTGTTCCCGGGAAATCAAGCTCGAGAAAAGTCGAGAACTCGAGAAATCAAGTAGCTATATAGAAATTAAATTGCCGTTTGTTGTATTGCGTGGCGGCGCAATAATACAAGATATTAAGTTTATCTTTGATGTATTTTTTTTTGTTTTACAGAAACTATTTTTGTTTACAAGTTTAAGGTAGATTTTTTCTAAATAACCAGCCAAAAATGGTGCTGTCATTATAAATATAAGTCTGAATAATATTAGGTCCTAATATATGAAAGTGGTGTTTTGTAAGGGAGTAACCTGAAGTATTTTTTTTTTCAAATTATAACATGTTTATTTAATCAAACTATGTACCATTGCTATTTATGCACTTTTGCCATATCGTAGGTATTTCATTAATCCCTTTACTGAAAAAAACATTAGAAAGGGAACATTTGGACATATCAATAAAATCTTTGGACTTTGGACTGCCCCATCGGATTTGAATTTTTTCCCAATCAGTTATCCAAATTTCGAAAAAAATGGTAATTTGTTGGAGCAAGATCCGGAGAGCAATTGTAAAGTCTTAAATATTACAATTGAATCTCTTCTAATTTGGTAACTGTCTGTTGTGCAGTGTGTGATCTAGCGTTGTCCTGAAGCAGCAATGGCCTACGGCGATTGACCAGCCTCGGTTGTTTAGCAGCTAGCTTTTCCATTATAGTTTCTCAATTGCTGACAACACACATCTGCCGTAATCATCTGACTAGATTTAAGAAAGCTGAAGTGAACAACACCGAAACTAATCCACTAAACGCTCGCAAGTAACTTTTTTTGGGTCAATTTTCGTTTGGGGCAGGATTTGATTGGTTTGCCAGGGTTCAGCCATTGCGATGAGCGTTTCCAATTATGATACAAGATCCACATCATCACAGGTAATGATTCGATTTAAATCCCTTTATTATTATGCGGGTTGACTGATGTAACGCAGCAGTCTACGCGCGTTTGTCGATCGAAACGCGAATTGTCTACTCAATTCATGAGGGACCCACCTTTTAAGCTTTTTCACCCTCCCAATTTGCTACAAGTGGATTAATACAGTTTTGTCACTAACACCGCAACCTGCAACTAACTCGGACGTGGTTTGCGATGGATCTGCATCATAATAGCCTTCAATTCTTTATTACCAACATTAGACTCCAGCCGCCCACGGGGATTGTTTTGCAGGTGAAATTTCCAGAACAAAAAGGTTGCAACCAAAAATGTATTGTGTTTTCTTTTGCGACACCACCACTATACATATCATTAATCCTTCGAGCCGTTTCTGCAGCACTAGTGCCATGGCGGAACTCGTACTTGTACTTGTAAATGACGCGATATTTTAGGTTTTCCGTTTTGTAAGCTGAGTGACCCAAAGAAAAAACCAAGCATATGTATTACGGTTTTCGTAAAACAAATGCATGAGTGAATAGCTGTATAAATTTGAAATTGAAATTTCTAACCAAAGAGGAGATATTTAAGATCAAAGTGGCCAGTACGACAAAACGCTAATTTCATATGTAAGAACCTAATATATTTCAGTATTTAAAAAAAAATTTGCTTATTCATAATATGTATAATGTTTTTAAATATACCTACTCAATAAAAGTTTTATAATTAATTTTATATTTAATATTTAACAAAAAATGCAGTGGTTTTCGTCTCAAATGGAACCACTGAGTTTTTTGACGTTATCGGAACCAAATAATATGAGAAAACGTACGTAAATGTAAATTTCTCGACAACCCGAGAAGACCCGAGAAATTAACCTCGAGAATTCTCGAGACCCGAGAAATTGAAAAGCTCGAGAAATCATGAACCCTAATTGGTACATAAAATAAAAAAATAAAATTTGTAGATTTTATCTATCTTGTTATGATACGTAGGGGTAAGGGTGAAAAAAGCATATTGCAATATTGCAATTTTATAGAAATACCAATCTAACATCCCAGATCTTGGATCTAAGAACAAAATCTCTCATGCCTACTAGATATTAATTTACATTGTTAAAGTAGGTAATGTTTTAAAAATATGATTCTGTCATACCTGATACCTGATAAAGTCATACGAAAGTAAATAATATCGATTTTAATAACGAAAATAATGTTATTATTGCAAAGCTCTAAAAAGTAGATTATTTTAAAACCTCCTTTCCAAAGTCGGTGGAACGCTTGTATCTTCTGAGGATCAAACCACTACTAAGTTACGATAAATCCTAATTTTAAACTTTGTTCTGCTTTAAAATAGAAACACCTTTGTTTGTTTAAATCATAAACAAACAAATTATTTTGGAGTGTTCTAAATTTAAGTACTTTTAAAGAAAATATTAATAGGATTACGTAAATGGTTTTGCCGACGTATTAAACTAAACAACCGATACATTAATTATATATCGAGACAAGTAAAACGATTCCCCATATGCGCAAACATTTACGACTTGAGTGGGACAAAAAATGTTTATCATATTTTTTTCTCGCTCCTGCTTCCTGGTAGAGGCGATTAATAATCCTGCCCGTGACGTATTACTGCCATTTGTCGTTGGTTGTCAAAATAAAGTATTAACACGAAGACCGTAATACGACTCCGCCTACAGGGCGGGCGTACAGTCCTATCATTATAAAATGATCATTAAAATTTAAAAAAAGCATTTATACAACAGGATATTTTTTTATTAATTGAGACATATGCTGACAGTATATAGCAACAATTACTTAGGATCACGATTGTATGTTTGCCCGTATACGAATGTATGAGATGTTAATACAGATAAATATGCACAAAGCTACGAACACTAATAAAGTATACAGTACGCAAGTTTGTTTGTTTTTGATGGATGGATGGATGGACGCGTCATAATTTTACTTAACGCTAAATGCAAAATGAATTTATATTTAAATTATGACATAAATTTGATGATCTAATCATGTCAATTATATAAAAAGCGATGAAAACACCTAAACCACTAGGTTTTTGCTTTGTTTAGTTACCAGAGAACAATGTAAAATGTGAAATTGGGTGAAGTAAAACTATTATTATTATTATGAATACATATAAATAAAATTGGAAAGTCCGTTTGTAATATTGAAATAACCGTTTTTTACTACATGCATATGAATATAAATACGGTACATATACAAAAATAGCATATTTACAGTTTTTGTCTGTCTGTCGTATGTTCCGGCTAAACTGTGAAATGGCTGGACTGGCTGGAAATAAAGTTAAATTCCACGCGGACGAACGGGAACAGCTAGTCATATATATAATGATAATGAGGATCATAATTCCCATTTGGCAGCCCCCCGGAACAGACGCAGCAGCGCGGCACCCCCCGGCGAGGCGGCCGCGAGCCGTCTGCGGCGGAGGCGTGCCCGCAGCTGTCGCAGCCGTACGCGGGCGAGCCCAGCGCCTGCGGACCGCTGTACGCCGCGCACGCGCATCCAGTCCGGTAAGAACTTGTTTCTTATATAAAAGTAAATGAGACACTTTACTTTATCCCCTCCGATTTCGATCCCCGTTGGAAATACGGCCTGAGCGGAGGTTCGAACCCCTAGCAGTACCCTCAGATTTAAGTGGTATTCGTTAGGCGGGAGCTGGCCTTCAGCCGCTCTATAAGTCCTTTCGTGGGTAGGTAATCCGAAAAAAAAACTGCTTTACTTCAGTAATCGCGAGTTCAATGTTTGTATGTTTTATATGTATAATATGTATTAACATATAAAATATATAAATATAAATCAACGCAAGCTCTGGAACTTACATGGCGCTGTGTCTTACTTACATTGTCCTGAGATATTATATTGTTATGGTATATTATGTCGGGAATATGCTCACCCTTGCCACATTGAATACAAGTATACCCAGCGAAATATGGGCATGTCAAGTGTGGTATTCACTACAAAGTCGACAATTAGCAATGTCTCTAATTATCCTATCGAGGATTACAGTCGTAACAATAGATTTATCTTATTTATTCTTAAATCTTTGCAGGTACCAACCTCATACAGGACATAACAGTGCATATAGCGCATATTATGCCCACAGATAGCCAATGACTAGGTTTGGCTAACCTGTAGTGATATAAAGACAGCAGGGCAAGGGCGCCCCAAAGCTTGAGAAATACATCCGGTTGAATGTACATATGTACGAAGTTACCTTTTCATAACGTGACCATATATTATTGTCAAAGTGAGACACTTAAAAACAAGTATTTATTTACATATGTTTCATCTGCAAGGGCTCCACTGTTGTGTTTACTTGGATATTACTTACAACTGAAAGCGGGATGTCCTGCCGAAAGTGCGTTAGTTGGTCACGTTATTTTTACAATGCAAAGGGAACAATGATAGAAGAAATAAATATCTCTAAGTAGGTATCTGATTTTGTTATCACTTTTATATAAAGTTAGATTTGATTGGGAAAACGAGTTAAATAAAAAAAAACAAGGCAATAAGTTGTCTCATACATTTATATATCTCTCTTAATTTTGTTACACGAAAATTATATCAAATTGAAATCTAATTTAATTGTTTGTGGTAAAGAAACATGTAATTCACATTTGTACTAATTTTCTAAAAACTATATTTCTTTAGTTTATATTAGGTAAGTGGAACAAATTAAAATAAAAACAATAAATTAATAAATACATTTTTAAAATAATAATTCGATAAAGTTCTTCTCTTATTGGTTTGTATAACTTAAAACAATAGACAAAAATTATAACAACTTCCATTGAATATTTTTATCTGTGTTTGAAATAAATATTGTGCCATATCTATTGTATGCAACTGTAGATATATACTTACATTATAGGAATATGTGTATAGTAATTAAATTTGTTTTTATTTTTAAATAAAAATCAAACAGTTTTATAAGATTAGGTGTATTAATTTATGTACTTAAATTTAATTTAAGTTTTACTGTACTTTATTGAAATATGTCAAATAAATTGTGAAATAATTAATTAGAAATAAAATGGTTTACAATTTTAACACAGTTTCATGGAAATAAATAAAATTACGAATAATTAATGGAAAGGAAATTATTAAGAAGATTGACATAACGAGAGCTTAATTATATAACGTTGTTACTAACAATTGTCTTTTGAAACAGATTAAAATTTACAATTTTTAATTACAAATATAAAATTTCACAGTTGCAATTGCGAAGCGTACAACTCAGCTTGTATTTGTAACTCTGAAATGGTAGATATATAGAAAATCAACAAATCGATTTTATATAGGTATCTTATTGAGTTACTTTTTATTTTGCTACCGCTACTATTATTATTATTATTTTATAAATTTCTGACTGTTATTGCCTCTACAATCATATTGAGATAAATGTTTCGACTCTAAATGAGTCATCATCAGAAAATAACTGAATGTAACTTGGAAATAAATAGCAATTTGGAATATGTTTTATTTAACAAAAGTTCATTGGGAAGTTTTAGTTCTTTGGGAAAGGCCTATATCCAATAGTGGATAGACACAGGCTGATGATGATGATGATGAACAAAAGTTCTATTACTTTTACACTTATCTCTAAATTGTTGTTGTAACCAAATTTATATAGCCTAACTACGATTGAGAATTGTTAATAACAGCGTCCTATTATTAAAGATCTGGTAACTCTCTCCTCTCTGGTATCTCTTCACTTGTGATTGCCTATTATTAGATCGAATTTATTAAATACAAAATATATTAAATATATAAAACAGAATTATTAAAATATGTTCTTAATTAAACTATTTCCAACATGATTACTTGAGATATTTTTCAAGTTGTTTTTTTAATTACGTTTTACTTCACGCCTATTTCATAGACAACTGATATATGTGGTCTATGTACTTTGTTAATTGATAAGTGATATTTATTAATGTTTCATAGTATGCCTTCTTTGTTTTGTTTATGCCAACCGCATTCATATTATTTTGGAGTGTGGAGATTTCAATAATTCTGCAATATAAAAGTACACTTTAATATTTTTGTCAATAGCTTTATGCAATGTATTATTTCAAAAGATCTATCTGTCATACAATTTTTTTTACAAATCTATTAGTACAAACAATAACAAAGCTCCACATGTCATGTTGATATGATCAAATTACTTTTGAACTATCACGTTTAGATATTATTAATATAGGTAGTTTGGTTTTAATAGTTGAGAATACGGCTTGTGCAATCAGATAGAATTGTTGAATGAGGTAAATATTGTATTTACTATTTAACGGCCTCGGTGGTATAGCGATTTACTACACCGCCTTACTTTCCTATGATCGCGGATTCGGGTCCTCGTATCATGCAAACATTTGTATTCATGACTACAATTGTTTGTACTGGTCTGAGTATTTTCTAGTTATATTACATAATATGTTTTTATAAAAAAACGTATGCAATTTTTATCTGTTATCTAGTACCGATAACACAAACACTGCTAAGGTTTAAACTAGATGGCGCTGTGTAAATTTACTGTGTTATTATTGTCATCAGTTAATTATTCATGTTAAGATCCAACTAACTTATATATTGAAATATATATGAATGTAGATGGATATAAGGGCAGAGGAAGGCCAAAAAGAGATGGATGGATTCTGTGAAAGATGATATGGCAAGAAAGGGAGTGAATAACGAGATGACTGCGAACGGGAGTAATGGAAGAGTAAATAATACACCGACCACAAATGAATGGGATAAGGAAGAAGCAGATGATAATGATGATGATGTTGAGATCCAACTAATTATATTAATAATGTTAACATACTATATGAATAAAAATTATACCAAAGTTAAGCAAGCAAAGATTACCTTATTGTGTGAATGAGGGATAGTCAAAAAAGGTTGTCTGTTGCACTGATGTTTTTGAATGTTTTAAAAAAAATTGTGTATGAAAACGAGTGCCTTTAATGTGATAAATAATATTCTATGTTATATTTAGTGCAGAATAAGGTGTTGCCATAGCATAGGGATGATCGATATTCATCGATGCTAAAAGAATGCAACTTTCTCACATAGACGTGAATTAGTTGTACTAGATTTGTAGTAGCTAACTTTTTTTGTTGGATTCTTTTGGATCGATATTTTAAAATCGATGATCCCTACCATAAAATAAATATTAGCTATCTATTGGTTTTATTTTAGTCATATCTGTATTATTATACCAAAGTTTAACCAAAGGATGTCATACATACAAATATGATTAATTTAGTAAATATGTTTGTATATTTATTGAAATCTATTAAATTTGCCTTAAGTACAATATTTCTTTTATTTTGTCACGACCTGAGATCATTATTGTAACCTTAGTATAGATATTTCTAATAAACTATTATATTATATATGTATAGGGTATAAATATATACAAGGAGCAACAGCTTCAGCAACATCACTTACTAACTGATGCATGTTGTATAAAGCCTAACAAAATTGTTTACATTTTTTTGCGCTTGTTCACAATTGTACACTTTATATAAACGGAACATTTACCATGACTAGTACGAGTTCTAGTCGACAAGGACGTTTGAAACAGCGTCGAAATATCGGGAGCTCATAACCAATATTGTCATATTAAATATTCCGTTTATATTATAACTATCGCCTCATCCCGGTTTCGTACGGATGCATTACAACTTTTTGTATTTCTGGGCTTGTTCTATATTATAACACGCACTTGTTCTGTATTATACATTTAAACCTTTCTTTTGAATCACTCTATCTATTCCTGTAAACTGCATTAAAATCCGTTGCGTAATGCGAACAGACAACGGAAGCGAATTTGTTTTTATACTATGTAAAGATATGTAAAATTACGGTATTTTATATCTATCTTTGCCTGGTCATGCAATGTCTCTTATAAGGTAAACAAATTAGATGAGAAAAAACAAACAGAGTAGGTAAGGTAAGGTAAACACTGATACGAAGATATTAGTAACATCAAACTAAAGAAATTAATTAAATCTCAGGCAATATATTCTCAATTATTTGTCTATGTAATATATTGTACAAAATTTGTTTATAAAAATATTCTTACTTAAGTGACAATGTGAAGCAATTTATAATCTTCACATTAAAAAGAAATAGTATTGCATTTGTTGGGGAAGTTTCTCCACTTCGGGTGTTTTGAAATGCGATTTTTCTGATATTGTGTAAGTCATTACATGGTTCACTGTGCTTGAACCTGGTTCATCTCCATGGTCGACGTAAACCTTAGAAGTAACTGTTTCTTCGTATTCTTCCCCAACCAAAATTGGTTCAGGTTCAACAATCTCTTCAATTGGCAGGACTATAGTAGTTGTAGTTGTAATAGGCTCTACAGGAGAATATTGAGGATGGTACTCTTGGCCGGGGAAGAATGTAAACGGTTCATAGAAGTTTGGCATTTGACTTACTGGGTTGTAGTGTTGATGTACTGGAGGAGAAACTATTTGGGACTCTGGGTAATAATAGTTTTGGTGAGGCTGATGGTCGTACTGATGATGATTCATATTTTGCGGTACATTCTGAATAATTTCAGGAGAATACTCATGATGTGGCAGCGTATTGTATTGAGCAATAATTTCTTCTTCAGGAACATTAACAGAATAGACATAGTATGCATCTGTCTTAGTCGGATTTTCTGTATACTTTTGTTCAACTGGTACGAATTCAACGGGATCTTGTGTGATGTTATTAATTTTCAAGACATCATTAAGGATAGATGACATTTCCTTGACTTGATCATTCGCAGCGGTAGCTAAATCAGTCAGTATTTCAGGGTCAGGGTTGAACTCTATACCGTATTTGTCTGCTATTTCCTGAGCCGTCATCATTTTATCTATGGCAACATTTTGGTATTCATTATTGGATTTGATATGTCTTAATAATCTCATAACTAGTTGAGAACTATCCATGGGGTTTTCCGCTGATCTTTTCTTTCTTAAGCTGTTTTCTTCAAGATCTTTATCGCAGTCTTTTAAAGCGAAACGGAGAAGATTAGCCATTTCACTTTGAATTGCTAGAGAAATTTTATTGGCCATGTCTTTGATGTTTTCTACCTTTTCTTCGTCTGGTTGGTCTAACTCTGTCATTTGTGTCATCATAGCAACTGATGATGATGGGAACAAATTCATATCTGCAGGCATCAGAGCTATATTCAGCCAATCTTTGTTTATGTTTTTGATCTCTGTTAATGAATCTATATTTGGGATTTCTGTTACCACGTCAGGGGTCGTTTCTTCGGGCTTATGAACTTCTTCATTGTCAGCAAGTGTGAGAGAGCTCTAAAATAGAAATAGCTTTTATGTGAATTTACTTCTATTACTGTAGCAAAAATAAAATAAAATGGTTTTAAAATTTTAATATTTTGTGCTTTAATGAAGCTACAGACAGATTAGTTGTTAACGAATTCATAAAATGATATACGTAATCTTTGAGTTACAGTTACAATACAAATATAAAATCATTTTTTTTTCTTTTCATTAGTTTCTCTTTTATTATTTTTGATAAAAATAAAAGGTATTTATTCTAATGGAGATAGCCTTCATTTTCGACTGTTTATTTAGGAATTTACCTCCAAGTAAACCTTTATTTAAAAAATAATAAGCATATCACTTGTTGCTACAATGTATACTAACTAAATTAATTCAAAATATTAACTGCGATGAACTTAGCCATTATACGTTGACCTTTAATACTCGGATTCATTGTAATAATTTGAATATATTTACCTGAATTAATAAAACCAAAAATAGATAGAAGGGCGCCATGGTGTCATCCAGGATAATGTGACCCATACAACAAGACCTGACCTGTTTTATATACTTCGTTATCACAAACATTATTGTAACTTGTGTTACGAAGTAGATTAGGTAATTACAAAATTTCTAATAATTTCTTGAAATATATTTATTTTGTAATTGCTTATTTGTTCATTATTTTATCTGTACATGCCTTAGTTAATACTAAGATTTATTACGCCGATATACACCCAAACCCCCAAGGTCGTGAGTTTGACTCTGATCGATACCAAAAAATCTGTGTGACACTTTATTAGACTGATACTTCGGTGATCTAAACACCGACAACAAATCAACATTTATCAGAGGGACGGTATTCGGCTCACCCACAGTCAGGTTGAATTCAAATTTACTGAGCCAAATGTGGCCATATCAAGTTTTGGGTTCACCGCATACCCTTAACATGTAACCTCATTTATGATAATAGTCTTGAAGGTATAATAGTATCGTAATAAAACAACAATTGTTTTTTATTATTGTATAAATTCTAAAAGATATTATTTAATGAATATACAAAATATTTTAATAGAAATAAATTATCTTTTTATAATAACTAAATAATTTAAGCATAATAAGGTGGTGGAACTATATCATGCGAGTAGGGTACTGGTGAATATGACGGTATCATTGTATTAGGTGTAGGGTAGGCGGGTAAAGGTTTCGGAGTGTAAGGAGGGGGTGTGTATGGCACAGGTGAAGTCGGGCATGGGGCAGCATGGGGAGGAGGATATTGAGGTGTGTGGGGACAGGGTGGGACTGGGGAATGTGGGTATTCAGGATAGGAGTAAGCAGAACTACATTCGCAAGGTCTTGGTGGGATTGACGGCGGTGGCAGCGGTGGGGGTGATGAGTATTGTGGATATTGGTGAGGAGCGGCTGGTGCTGGGGTATGTGGGTAGTGACTAGTGCTGGGGTAAGATGGCGGAGGAGGTGGGGGTGAATGCGAATAAGGCGGAGGGTAGGGGTAATGTTCATAACTGTAGGGTTGAGGACAGGAATGAGGCGGGGGAACTGGGGTACTTGAATGCGTGTATTCTGGCGGGGGATTTTCGTAAGAACGTGGGTAGTACGCGTCATATGTAGTTGGTGTGGTCGTTGTAGATATTGTGATTGTAGGGTTTCCGGTAGATGGCGGTGCTATAGCCACTTGAGTTGGTGATGATGGAGGCGCCGAGGATACATATACAACTTGAGGTGAACCACTCGACGTAGTTGAGTAACTAGGTGGCGGGTACGTGTAAGTCATTTCGTAAGAAACTGGAGGGTTGCTTGAAGGTTCCTCGGCTGATGTAGATCTTGTTGAAGAATCAGAACTTGACTGAGATTTCGCTAGGAGCGCTGGAAAGATACATTATTATGAAATTTAGCTGTTATGCAGCTTGGTGCAAGCTGTGTTAAAGTCGTAAGGTGCAGCCATTATAATAGCCTAATCTGATTATTCTCATTAAACTGTTATTGTAAATATAAATAAAAAAAATAATGAGGATAAGTTTTTCGTATAACATGCAGACAGCTCATCTGATGGTAAGTATAATGATTATAATAATGGTAATAATTTTCACCGTTTTTTGCAACATATTTCATATAGTTATATAGTCATGTAGTTTTACAGCTTAAAGCCTTTTTTTCAATTCGAACCAGTAGTTCCTGAGATTAGTGCGTTCAACCAAACAAACACTTTAGTTGTATAATATTAGTATACATTAATCAGTCGTATTTGTTCTCATTTTTATTAAGTTCATGAACATTTAAACGATTTAATTGCAATACGGTCAGCAAAAACAATGACATAATACGCTGACACGGCCGCGTACTAATTGTATTATATATTGTAATTAAATACTTACGTGATGAATACGAGTATAATGCATTGATCATTTGATTCATCCGTTCGTGTAACGATGCCATCTGTGAAATTATTAAAGATTTGTATATAGGTATACTTTTTCAATAAAATAAATATATGAATAACCCTAGACAGTTAACACTGCGACATCCAGTCCCACGAAAGCAGAGATTATGTTTTGGGTACTAGACAACTGATATCATATATATTTTTTGTAAATACATACATGATGTACTCATTTTTTTTTCGGACTACTCTAATGCTGTTGGCCGCAGCTGGCCTTTACAGCTTCAACGGACGTTATAGGCCGAGTGCAGATGGCACTCGAAACTCACGGAAGGACTTATGGAGCGGCTGAAGGCCAGCTCCTGCCTGACGGATACGACTTTATTCTGAGGGCACCACTAGAGGTTCGAATCTCGGCTCAGGCCGTCGTAATTTCGATCCCCGTTTGAATTGGATGGGGGATCGAACGGAGGGGTACTCGTACATAGAATACGCAGAACGTTACAAATAGTCAAACTCATGAATACAAATATTTGCACTATGCGAGGAATCGAACCCATGACCATCGAAAGTAAAGCGGTGTGCTAAATCGCTAGACCAACGTCATTATAGCTATTTAATATTATAAAGTATAACGACCTCGGTGGTCTAGATATTTATTACACAACCATACTTAAAAGATCGCGGTTTGATTCTCACACGACAATAATTTTTATTCGTGAGTATGATTATTTGTATTGGTTTGGGTGTTTTCTATGTACAATGTATATGTATTTAAGTTTTCTATTTATGTCTATAGTAATTAGAACGTAAATGATTTGGCAATATCAAGTATCACGTATTCACATGATGTTTAACAAAATCTCTAATACTTACAATGATCGCTGCTTCGATTCTCATACACTACAATAATTTATATTTATGTGTATGACTGTTTGTATCACTCTGTCTGTTTTCTCTCTGTTAAGTATATTATTTTTGTATTTACAAAAAATATATTTAAGTTATCTAATACCCATAATCATTTTTAGTTTTAAATATCTTTATTTGCCATAAAATTATTCGTGTTAAGACCCGGTTAATAATTTAAACCAGTACTCATAACACAAGCTCTGCTTAATTTGAACCTAGATGGGGCCGTATGGATTGTCTAGGGATATTATTATAACTCACCTGAGATTGTTGAAGCTGATGGCACGTCGACGTTGCAATACTCAACCCAATGCTCAACGCACTGAGCCGGATTAATAACTTAAACATTTTTTAACTACTTTAAAACTATTCAAGTACACAAATCCTCTATGTTCTATATATCATTGTGTATTTAAAAGTTTCACGTTGGTATATAAACAATTATTGGAAAATGAACGTGATCTCGATAGTACGTTAAGATTAAATTATAATTTTGAGATAACAAGATGCAATGATAAGGATGCGTGTGATAATGTCTGTAAAGCCTGCGTGCAGATAAGAAGTTTAAGTCTTGATTGTAAAAAAATCTAAGTTACATTACTCAATAATTATTTCATTACTACCTTACCCGGGCAACTTTGTCTGCACCACATTTACTTGACATTTAACATTATATATCGCCCAATTTACATAATATTTCATATATTATTTCATCAATATTGGTTCATTAGTTTTGGCGTGAAAGAGTAATATTAATACTCACAAATTTTCTCGTTATATATTAGTAATATTACATTAAAATATTTATAATCTTTGTACTAAATTTAATTCGAATCACTAGATTTTGCACTAGATTTTAGTATGAAACAATGACAAACATTAATTGTCGCAAACTTTCACGTTTATAATATTAGTAGGATATTCTTTTTTAAGACGCACAAAGTAAGTTTTAATTTAGTTATAACAACTTAGTCCTGAAATATGGTAATATATGAGTGGTACCACGGGTGTTACAATATATTTTGTGACAACTGTGATAATATTGATTTACATCAGTGCATCAACCATTATTATATCACTGTCTATAGCCATTGGTGTGATAACAGGCCAGTCGATTTATAAACAAAAATATTTAGATAATCAGCAATCTGAATTTTATTAAGTGAATAGATATACAAGTAGTTCGATCTAATGTTGCTGCCATCATTTCGTGAGTTTTTTTAAATACAAATATAATATATAAGACGCTTAAATATGTATAGTTGAAATTTACTATTGAAACTATAAAAAAAATCAAAACGGCATAGTAATTCCGGAATTTTATTTCCTCTTAGCAAAATCACCCATATCTTATAATTTGTGTAAATTTATTTATTTAACTTCAATGAACACAATATAAAATATAACACCGTGCGGCATTTTCTACCAGTCAACCATAGGTGGTGCAGAAAATAATTGTCAGCAGTGCAAACATAATTAACGATAAACAAAATGAAACAAAATATAAACAGAACGAAATATTAAATCCTACATTGTTATTGCAGATATTTCATCTACATCGTCCTTGGGCACAAACTCATTAGTCGACAATTCTGCATTTCTTCTTTTCCATTTTGCATGAATGATTTCTAAAGTCAAAAGGAATATAGACACAAAGGCTGCCAAAATGCTAACACCTATTAATGGGACTATATCTGAGAGTACAACTCGTTCGGCCAACATCGCTGCCCTGCAAGGTGGAGGCTGGACAGAGGTGCGGAGTATCAGGCGCCTGGCTAGTCCTGTTTCTAGGACCCACATGGCAGCCGACCGCATCACGTTGGTGTATTGACCACGGTGGGGTCCAGTCACCCATGACATTTTCTGCAGAATTGAAGATATTATTGAGCTATGTTTATTTTTAGCTAGCAATACCCACGATATCGCCGCGTGGAAATTAAGTTTAATTTTCTAAAATAAAAGATTAAGTTAGTCCTTATTACATCAGCTATCTGCCAAAAAAAGCCCGTCAAAATCGGTCCAGACATATCAGGGATTAGCCGGAACAAATAGGACAGACAAAAATTGTAATTTATTTTGGTGTTAGGTAGTACCGTATTCATATTCATATGCATGTAGTAAAAAATGGTTATTGCAATATTACAAACAGACACTCCAATTTTATTTATATGTATAGATTAATAAAGATCTGTACTTCTCGTACAAGTGTAACTATTTTTATGGATAATAATGGAATCGTGTACCCGCCTGTGATAACGGTTTATGTTGGTGGGAGCACTAAGTGGAGAAAGATAAGATGAGCATGAGATCGGTCAGTTAGCCTATCGTGGCAAATTTACCAGGAATTTAAAATAATGGCTTTCAGGGGAAACCACGTTAAGGTCAATCTAATACCTATTAATACATGAGATATTTTTATACAACAGTCACATCTATTTGCCTAATAAATCCTTTCCTATTTAGTCTCAATTTCCATGTATCAAAATGTTAAAAAAATAAAAATGAAAATTTTTCGTTCAGAGAATCTCTATGTTAAACCAATATTGAAAGAATGTCCTCTCGTTTTCTTCATTTATATTTTTTTTATTAACTCGCAATGCAAAAGAGTGTGTTTTATAAGTTTGGAGTGCCTATGTCGATTATGATGCAGTTTTTTTGTTTTAAAGTTAACGTCATCAACATGGTTCTTAGCTACAATTCATGAGGTTCTGTTCAAGCGATTTAAGATCATCAGCTCTTTGTGTTAGCGGCGCTAGGCATCTCAGAAGTATAACGATTATTTACTTTATTCTTACCTGTCGGGGTTTATGCCAATTTTTCAATTTTAATTCATTATTTACATTACCTATTACTAGTTTATAGCTAATAAATTTCTATTCCACTAAAGCACTTGAAGGCGTGTTAAAATTATAATGTTATTAAATACTAAGATTGTTATTAAAAACTAAAAAGGTTATACCATACCTCTGGGATCGTGTCAATTTTCTTTATCTTGCACAACTCCTCGTCATTAAATCTATTGTAATATGAATACAACTGGTGGTATTCCGCGTGGTATGCTAATGTACCACGCTTCATGTGCTTCATTGCGTAATCAATATTACGGTACAGGTTCGATGTCATTTTCTTCTTCTTTAAGTATTCAAAGTCACTCCATGGTGTTGTTCTCTATATAATAATTAATATAATTAACAATAGTAAAACCTAGTCGAAGCGCTGAGAGGTAAATACCTCATTTACCATAAAATCATTCGTGTTAAGACCCGATTATTAATGTGTACTAAACGTAAAAGTTTATTAAAATATATATACTCTAATTAATACTCAATAATTGATGGTCTTGGTGGTCGAACGGTTTACGGTACATTGACTTTGTCACTCTAATGGTGGTCGCGGGGTACATTCTTGCGCAATACATATATTTGTATGAAACATGAAAGTACGAGTAGAAATGTTTGCATTTTCGTGTCTTCAATTCTACCAGTAGTTTTTTATCACAGTTGTTGTTTTATTCACAGTTTCGTGGGTCTAAGTGGGTACCTCACCCTCGCCTATTTTAGCTGGCAAGTAATTGACTTTGCAAGCTGTGCTTCGGTTGTAGAATGCAGATTAGGCAGTGAAATTACAGGACAAGAGATATGACATCTTACTCCTCTGGAATTGCAATGTTAACATGTACATAGGCGACAGTTACCGTTTATAATCAGGTGAGTTGTAAACTTGTTTGCTATTTCCCATTACGTAAAAAAAATCAAGAACTTACATTGAAGAATTGACTGCCCATAAAATCCTGGAACTCAGATGCGATGTCGTAATTTGAATCTCCCAATTCCCTTAATGTGTTTGGACCTCCTCGTCCGGCGCTCATGAGAGCCGATACTATTGCTGAAGTGTAGTATGCATGCACCAGCATTGAACAAATGGACATAACGCTGAAGGTCCACCGACCCGCTGTACCAGTCGGTACAGCACCTGCATCTGTAAATAATAATAATAATGACCTTGGACAATAGACAATTGACTGTGTTAAAGCGGTTCCCTAGGGATATGTATCCCGAGAGATATATTCCTTCGATAAGACTGTCGTCACAGATCACGGGCAAAGTAAGGAGTTACGAGCGTACCTGGCTTTCTGCTATGGCGTCTTGGTGCAGGAATCGATGATCGACGACGATGATGATCGATGAACTGATCACACACACAACACGCGCGGCGGAAATTATTGTATATACACCTTGAATATTGCACACTATCTATATACACCTTGACAATTCAATAGTTTATTAAATCGTAGTGATTCAATTATTATAAAACGTAATTATGTGCGAGCGGCGTTTCTCAGACACGAGCGGGAAACGAAGAAGCAGCGCCATCTTTCTTTCCAGCGATGGCGCGGGCGTACTCGGCTCCTTTCGGCCCTAGATCGTGAGTATGTCTGTCCTTGTCTATTACACGAGATGTGCATTTAAACTAGTTGTGGCGCAAACATTCCCCCGGCCTTAAAGGGTTGCCTTTAAAAAAATATACATATATATATACAACTGGGAAATGAATAGCAGTATGCGGAAGATATATATAAATAAATGAGCGGTATATTAACGTGTATAAGATTAATCATAAGCGGGAAGTTATCTGAGTTTATGTGAATACGATATATGAATGAAAGTTATATATAACTAAGCTAAATCTAATTTTTACTTATATTAAATATATAACTATTGATGCGGCAATGGGCACAAACGAACTACCGGGCGAAGGTAGCTACCCTTTGAAGTCCTAACAGTGACCACTCGCGTAGTTCCGTCTTTGGAAGGATGTACCTTTTCAACGACAGCTAATGGCCATGAAAAGGGCGGTGCGTTATCTATTACTAAAATTACAACAGTACCCTCCTTAATGGGAACTGATGGAAGATTCCATTTAGCGCGTGTCTGCAATTGATGCAGATACTCCATTCGCCACCGGCGCCAGAAAGACTGTACAATGCTATCCAGAAGGGAATGGCGTTGATTTAAATCGTGCGTGTTAGCTTCTGGCGCAGGAATTGATGAAAGAGACACAGTATTTAAAAAATGAGCCGGCGTAAGAGCAGACGGCTCAGCGGGGTCACTACTTCTAGCTGTGAGTGGACGCGAATTAATAAGTGCCTCAACCTGAGAAAGCACTGTTATAAGTTCCTCATAAGAGAGAATTTGTGATCCTATCACCTTAAATAAATTATTTTTAACTATTTTTACGATACTTTCCCAACTTCCACCGAAGTGGGGAGCAGCGGGAGGAATAAATTTCATACTAATGCGATTTTCTGAAAGTTCTAATTCTAAATGCGGGCGATATTCATCAAGAAACTTATATAAATCGCGAAGATACTTGCGAGCACCCACGAAACATGTTCCATTGTCCGTATATAAACAGTTTATCGGGCCTCGGCGAGATAAGAATCGTTTAAGTGCGGATAAGAAACTAACCGTGCTTAAATCAGTAGCAACTTCAATATGAGTAGCACGGGTTGTCAGACAAGTGAAAATACATAGCCATGCTTTGCGGCCTTTAACCCCCGACCACGAATAGGTGTGTACTGTAAGGGACCGGCATAGTCACAGCCTACATGCGTAAATGCCTTATCAACTTGAGTGACGCGGTGGCTCGGTAGATCGGCCATGAGTGGAAACGTAGGGCGCGGTTTTATTTTAAAACAAGCGTTACATTTATGAATGCGATAACGTATTAAGCGGCGAGCGGACAGGATCCAGTACTTCTGCCTGAGTAAGGACATAAGTAACTCTGGTCCTGCATGAAGATGCTTCTTATGATAAAAATCGATAAGAATATCGATAACATGATCGCGGCGCGGTAAAAGTAGAGGATACTTAGTGCAGTAATCCTCAGCGGAACTTGACAAGCGACCACCGACGCGGATGACATCGTCCTTGTCTATAAATGGTCGGAGCTTGTTTAAAGCGGAAGAACAATATTTATTATTTTTTAAATTATTAAACTCATGTGCAAAATATACTTCTTGCACGGCGCGGATTAACTTTATTTCAGCAAAATCTAAGTCTTCACTCGTAATAACGGTATTACGAGGAAGGCGTTTAATAAATTTATATATATAAACAATAGTCCGTAATAATTTAGAATATACAAAAAGGCGTTGAGATAGCGCGTAAAGTAGTGATTCAGAGGTATTTGAAATTAATGTGTGTATAACAGTCCGTTGTTCGGGAATGTCTTCATTCGATAAGTCGTGATTGACAACAAGTGGCCACTCGGCCGGGTTACTTAATACCCATGAAGGTCCGGTGTACCATAGCGGATGGTTTACTAGCTTGTCTGGTGTGAGACCACGAGACAGGCAGTCTGCAGGATTGTCGGAACCAGCAACGTGATAGAAACAGTCTGCCGGGACGTTATCGATAATTTGTACTACCCGATTGGCAACGAAAGTTTGCCAGCGGTGCGGAGAAGAGTGGATCCAACAAAGAGCCACTTTTGAATCACTAAAGGCGTATATATTATTCACAGGATACCGTGGTGCGATAGTATCAACAACCTTACGAAGTAGTTTTGCGAGTAATACGGCTGCGCACAATTCTAATCTCGCGATGGATACAATTTTTACAGGCGAGACCTTTGACTTGGCGCATAATAATTGAACAAAATATTTATTATCAACCTGAATGTGTAGGTAGACTACACCGCCATAAGCACGTTCACTAGCGTCAGCAAATCCTAAAATATTCAATTGACAATCCTCAACCACACCTAGGTGTCGCGGTATGCGAAGCCTATTAAGCGAGGGCAGTTCTAAACAGAACTGTCTCCAGGCTGCGATGATATGATGCGGGGGTTGAGCATCCCAATCACATTTCAACAACCAGAGTTCCTTAATAAGGAGCTTGGCGTACAAAATAGCGGGAGCCACGAAACCTAAAATGTCCCATAAACGGGCAACAGCGGAGAGAATAGCGCGCTTAGTACATATAGCGTCTGGCGTGATTACTTTGAACTTAAAAGAATCATTAGAGTTATCCCAAAATAGACCTAAGATCTTGTGCGGGGTGGAATTATCGAATGATTTGTCACTGAGGGTTTTGTGTGTATCCGGGATGTGAGCAAGCACGTCGCGGGAGCTGCTCGTCCACCTTACGAGATCAAACTGTGCCATTTTAAAAAGTGCAATAAGTTCGTTACTAATGGTAATAGCCTGTTCATCTGTCATAACAGAAGATACGATATCATCCATATATAGTGCGGACGAAGCAACAGCGGCAGCAGCAGGGAATTTATCCCCTTCATCTTCAACTAGTTGTCGAACAACGCGGAGCGCGAGAAATGGACTCGACCTCAGTCCGAAGCATACACGATTAAATTCATATTCAGTCACAGGATCATCGGTGCTGAAGCGGTACAAAATTCGCTGAAACCTACGATCGGGTTCGCGTACAACTATTTGATGAAACATTTGAAAACAGTCGGCGGAAATACAAACTTTAAAAAGACGAAAGTTAATTAAAATACTAAATAAATCACCCTGTAGATTGGTACCACTATGCAATATATCATTTAACGAACGACCAGATGTCGTTTTACAACTGGCATCTAAAACCACGCGCAATTTAGTGGTGACCTTATCCTCTCGTAGCACTCCGTGATGTGGAATGTAGTACGAGGGTATAAGTGAATTGTCTTGATGCGATTTAACTGGACTTAAATAGCCCTTATCAATATATGCGCGAATTACTTCGTTATAAGAAAAACGAAAATGAGGTGACGCTTCCAACTTACGTTCTAGACATAAATAACGTCTATGTGCGGCAGCGAAAGAGTCGCCTAAGGAGAACACGTCCTCTCGAAACGGCAGGGATACGATATATCTACCACTATCATCACGAGTAGTGGTGGCGCGAAAATAATGTTCACACTCGAGATCATCGGCACTCTGAGCGGGCGGCGCGGTTATCTCCTCCAATTCCCAAAAACTTTGGAAGAGAGTGTCCATACGATCATGAATCACGGAACAACATGACGTTGTATATGCGGTATTTAATAATGCGGAATTAGGCGATGCGGAATTAAAAGTGGGTACGGAACCCATGATTACAAACCCTAATACGGTTTGTATCGCAGGCGGAATATTACGATGCTTGCTATGCACAATACCCGGCAATAGCAAGTGCGGGAATATAGAACTACCTATAAGTACGTCTATATTACTAGGAATGGCAAACTCGCCGTCTGCCAGCGGTAGGTTTTTAATGTGTGAAAATGCGGCGGTATTGACAGGAACGGAAGGCAAACTGTCCGTAATACGGTCAACAACAAGCGCGGAAATATTAAAGTGAACATTAAAATTAAAACGAGAAAATATATTAAATTCTACTGAACCCTTAACGTTTTTTTGTGAGCCACCGATACCCTTTACCATCGTAGATGAATATTTTAATTCATTTAATAAACCTAAGCGGTCACAACATTCATCAGTAATAAAATTACTTTGGGACGCACTGTCCAATAAACATCGAACTAAGTGTTGTTTACCTAATGCGTCATACACAATAACGCGTGCAGTTGCTAGTAGCACAGTTTTGTTACTGAGCGCGCAAAGTGACAGACCACTCTGCTTGGCCACGGCCTCGCCACTGTGTGACGGGAGCGGGGGTGAAGCCATGCTACTACGGGGCGCGGGCGCATCGCGCGCGGGCAGCGAGCCCCGATCCGTAACAAAATGTAGCAAAGAATGATGGCGCTTTTGACATGCACGACACGAAGATTTTGATTTACAAACACCTGACTTATGCTTGGTACTTAAACAATTTACGCATGAATTGTTAGCTTTAATATGTTTATAACGATCGAGAGGTGACAATTTTTCGAATGCACTACATTTATAAAAATGATCATGCATATTACTATTGCAAAGTGAACATTTTATAGGTGTTACACTTGAAACATAAGACTGCGGGTCCGGGTACTTAGCAGGCGGGCGGTATTTATTAGTAGGCGGGCGGTATTTATTAGTAGGCGGGCGGTATTTATTTGACTCTGTACTGGTGGCGGGCGCGGGTTGTGTATTTTCATATATGCGGCATTGCGTTTTTATAAAATTAATAAATCCGTCAAAATCACGTGATTTTGTTATAGAAGAGTGTAATTCGAACGCGCGTAATGTTTCTGAATCGAATTTACGTTTTGCAATATATAATAAAATGAAATCGGATAATTGTTTTATACCTAAGCCCTTTAACGACATAGCGGCGGTGACATACTTATCTATAAATAATTGAAAACTTGCGGCGGAAGGCATTTTGCCTAATTTAAGATTTAAGATCTGGTCTAAGTAATTAGAACCGAGAACGTGAATATCTTGATACTTATCAAGCAGAGACTTAAATATAATTTCATAGTTTTCGGCGCAGGGTGTAATACCTGCAAATACCGATTGTACTTTGGGTGATAACTTACCCAGTAAATAATACAGTTTTTCTGAGTTTGTAAGTGAGGAGTTGTCATGGACAGTAGATTTGTAACTAGCGTAAAATAAATTCCAATCTTGATAATTGCCGCTGAAGGAGACTAATTCCAGGGGGGAGCCTGGGCCTAGATACAGGTGCATCTATCCCACACGAATTCCCACCCGTGGGCGCAGAAGAAAGATCAGAAAATGTCTGTTTAATTGAACAAAACAAATCTTCAAATGAGTCATATACATGAAAATTAGGTACGGCAGAAGGATTCTCATCAAGCATCCTACTATTATATTCATCAAGTACATCTTGAAACTTATTACGAACGTCATCGATGGTTATACATGAACTAAGAAACATACGTCTTTTTTCTTCCGATTCCGTAGCCGACTTCGACTTATCGTAAATACTTTGTATTCGTTGAAATAAAGCATTACGTTTAGCTTCTAACATAATAAGTTGACGACTAGGTGAAAAGGTAGGCGCATCTTTATCTTTACGTGACATATCTAATGATTTAACGCAATATAACTATAGGTAATTATACAGTGACCTGTCAATAGACAGCGTAAGCGGACAGTAACGAAAATAAAATTATATGTAGGTATGTAGCGAGAACACGGTTAAGTGTTGCGTAGATTACTATATAAAATATAATGGAATGCGGGATATAGACATTTATATTTGTATATTGTAGGTGTGCGGGATGTACAAGTATATTATGTATAATATAGTTATAGGATACAATTTTAAGACTATACTATAAATGCGGTGATATAAATATTTATTATCTAAAGAGATAATACAGAGGAATGCGGGATATTATATGGTATTCTATATCGGTATATAATAAATAAGTTTATAAATAATAAACTATTACACATATAGGTGCTTGGTTGCGGTATAATATAAAGAAATGACAAGGCAATCCTATATGGCTACGCGGGTATGTCTGAGAAACAAATAAGTAATATAAGACTAAATAAGCGGATTTTATATTATCAATTTTGAAAGCGGTTTCTTAATAATAATATTAAACGAAGGACCTTGCGAATAAATAGCAAAAGGGGTACGTTATTAAATGTAACTCAATTTAAAAATAGCAAAATATCCGGTTCGCAACGGGCCAAAAAATGTTAAAGCGGTTCCCTAGGGATATGTATCCCGAGAGATATATTCCTTCGATAAGACTGTCGTCACAGATCACGGGCAAAGTAAGGAGTTACGAGCGTACCTGGCTTTCTGCTATGGCGTCTTGGTGCAGGAATCGATGATCGACGACGATGATGATCGATGAACCGATCACACACACACATTAATGTATATACACCTTGAATATTGCACACTATCTATATACACCTTGACAATTCAATAGTTTATTAAATCGTAGTGATTCAATTATTATAAAACGTAATTATGTGCGAGCGGCGTTTCTCAGACACGAGCGGGAAACGAAGAAGCAGCGCCATCTTTCTTTCCAGCGATGGCGCGGGCGTACTCGGCTCCTTTCGGCCCTAGATCGTGAGTATGTCTGTCCTTGTCTATTACACGAGATGTGCATTTAAACTAGTTGTGGCGCAAACAGACTGAAATAGTTATACATTTTTTCTTAATACATTAATCATATATAATAGAATCTCCAGACACTTACAAACGTTATATAATATAGGTAACATTATTTCGGAGGTCTAGCGCTTACCTCCGACGATATACCCCTGTTACCATCAGGTGGATTGTCAGCTTGTTTAAAATTAAATAAAAACTTAATACACAAAATTGTAGGTATTATGATTGTCCGACGGACAATCATTCAATATGTTAACATGAAACTTGCATAACATCTTTAAAATAGCTATGGTATAATAATTATATTGCGTGTGTGTAAAATATACCTTGCTGCAACCAAGTAGCCAATACAGACATATATGCCCCCTCCTTCTCTTCAGCTTTCCTGGCTGTAAACCTCTGTGCTAATGCTAGGATGATACCAATGACTAGACATGTCCACCATACTGACGTTGTGAAGGGCTGTATATACATGTTGCTACTACTGTCTCTCTCAGCAAGGTATGTGAAGCCAACACTGGAAAAAAATTAATAATTGAAATTAAAAAAATATGGAGCATTGATGTATAAAAATGGTATTGTAGTAAGACTTCAATATAGAAGTATTAGGATTTTCGGTTACGAAAAAGCGTTTCGCGTGGAGGGGATATTGCGTTATGAAACAAAAAAAGGCTGGTGGCGGTAGAGAGAGGACAATGGTCCATTGAAGTTTCACTTCTACTATATGTTACAGCACACATTTTTTTATATTTTTTTTAAATATAGAAGAACATGTTTATTGAGTTGAGTTGAGTATCTTTCTTCGTAAAATACGAAGAAAGATACAAAGTTACCAAAAAAGAAAAAGGAAGAGAGAGCAAAAAGGTAATCGATGAAAAATAGAAGTGAATTTAGCTTCAAATATAATATTAACTTTACTCAATAATACAAAATACCACGGTCTTTAATAATATCTTTAGTAATTGACAAAAGTCCAAGTAACAAACACTGGTTTTAGTACCTGAACAGCCATATAGGCATTATGTAGTCTAATATAGACATTCTCACATACGTAGGTCGTAACGTGCCTGCGCCCATTTCCGTTTGTGCAGACAAAAGTAACATGTACATGCTAGTATGAATTTCGCTTTTGTTGGTTATTTCCAGCCATGTCGCTGTTACTTGTATAGCTTTGCTGAAACGAAAAATATTAATAAAACTAACCGTTTAACATGGCACTCCTTGCGAGGAAGTACAATTAAAAGTGATACAAAGAGCCTATATAGAATAATTCATATTAAGTTTATTTGAATAAAGGCACCGTTCATCATCGGTAGGGATTCATCGTCACACTCTGCAATCGGATAGTACGGTTTCTAAGTACTTTCTTCCAGCCTTACGCAAATTGCTGAACGCTGAAGCTTCACGAATTATTTGAAAGAATTTATTTAAACCAGTACAATATTATTAAAATGCATGTTAACGTAAACAACTACATTAGTATAGAAATCATTTACAATCAACTACATCTATAGAGAAACTATGAACTACCTGCCTATTTTCTTTATAGATTACATGTTTTCAATTGCTTAAGGATCAGTAGGCTCTGATATATAATAATTTTGTACTGGTTTAAATAAATTCTTTCAAATAATTCGTGAAGCTTGCCTTTCATATTTATTTCGTCCATAGGCTTGGTATCCGTTTACCATTAGAAGTTCCTATACCTATCTAATTATTATAAGTGGTATTAAAAATATATAATTTCTATTTTAATTAAATTAACATTTACGTAGCGTTTAGGGCTTCAGTTATAAGTACGGCTGCACCATAACCACAGCGTACTCCTGCATTTGGCATCGTAATATCCTCCATATAATCTTCGTAGCTGCCTTCGTACGTTTCTGGAGAATAGTTGGAAATCTGTAATAAAATAAATAACAATAATAATTAATCTTTATTATATTTTTTATGTTACTATTCTAATATTACAACAATAGAGCGAAGCTTTAATTAATATTTGCCATTGACAGACATCACACTGCCATAACGGGTTTTGGTATTTGGTCTTTAGTTGTTAAGCATAAAACTTTTGTTTTCAAATTATCTTTGTATTGTTATTAAGTTTGTATGTTCTTTTTATGTGTTCTCTGATATGTAAACAAGTTTTCTATATCTATTTCTGAATAATATTATTCCTGAGCACCGTCTACACTTATTTTTTTTATACGGCTGAGCATATGGAGTGCTACAATCGGAAATAAAATTTTAAAGAGGAATTTTTGGTATACATTTTCAAACTAAAAATACTTGCAGTAGTAATATAACACGATCTACTGTGTCTATGTTGACATTAAGTCGTAGGATATAGTCATTAGTAAATAAACGTCAACTCACGGGAGATGCAATTCTAATGGGTGATCTTCGGAAGTTTAAACGCCGCAAAATCTTTTCACGATCATGTGTCACTTTTAACCCCGAATATTTCGTCCAATAGGCCCAAGGATGTATGGATGCACCGTCGTGTGGGTGAACCATAATATCTTCTATGTATAATGTTTGATTAGGTGATGTAGAATAATTTAAATTCTGAAATTCATTTCCTGAAATGACATATATATTTAGTTCACAAAATACAATACAGATACAATCAAAACAAAATGTGCCCAGGCTAAAGTTCTGAATTTTGGAGAGAATTTTTTGATATCTATTAACAAATGAATATTGAGACAAAATTATAGGAATACAGATGTGTTTACCTATGGATATTTTATTTAATATTTCGAAGTATTTTGTGAAATATTCCATGGACTTTGTTGATTGTAAAGATTTAAGACCAGGGTTTTTGGGTAATATTATTTTAATCTGACCTATAATTCTTAATAAAAAAAGAATATTATTTTATTATAATTGAGTACATAAATTTTTTGTTGCATATTATATATTCTGTTTATAAATACTTACCGATAATACTAGGAGTGTTTGATGGTAATTTTAACATCACCGCATCAACATCATAGCGCACATGATGGAGAGCGCTTGGTATATCATCACCAACCACCATCCATTTGTAACAATGAGAATAATGTTCTGGCCTAACCTAAATTTATTAACAACAATAAAAATCTGGTTTGTCATTCAATTTACATAAAAAAAAATAATAAACTTTCTTTTTACTATTAATTTTTTTGTTAGCATACGGAACAAACGTGCTTCAGGCGCACCTGATGGTATTCACTTACCATCAGGTGAACCGGTATGAACACCCGCAATACCATGGGAATTGCAAATGCGTTGCCGGCCTTTTATGAAGGAATAATCACTTTTATTATAGGTTTCATATCGTATTGGTTCGGAAATAATATTACTGGAAGGTGATCCTAAAACATGAGTAGAGTAAATCATACTAACTCTTTCTAACAATACATCGTTTGGTCCATTGAAGTATAACACACCCTGAAATTGGGGGATGACATCAAAAGTTTCCGAGCATGTGAATGTGGCAGTTATACCATATTTAAATAATAGATGCATGAATTTCACACGATCTGTAAAATGTCAATTGAATAGTCAAGACTTTAATACAGGCGCATATTTTTTTTATGATAAAGAAATGGTGCTCCCTCCTGCGCTAACGGTTTACGCTGGCGGGGCATCAGTGGAGGATGATAGGATGAACAATGAACATGTCTGGTCAGTTAGCCCATCGTGACAAATTCACCAGTAATTTGTCACTATGGTTTCCATGGGAGACCGCGTGAAGGGCAACCTGACATGGTACATTGCTAGCAATGGCATTATTAGTACACATTACATAATGGAATTATAGTACACATTATTAACAATACTCTTCCACTACAGACGCGTATTTGTGTACCTACCCTATAAGGATAGACTTCGTACAAAGTCTACAGCGTGTGTATCTCTATCTCACCCCTCTCTGAACTTAAAATCTATATAGCACTGACAATATTATCTGATTACACTAATAATGAGTGCATAGCGATGATGTTGATTATCGCATGCCTCTTACTTGTTATACTGTAATTGTTATTTATATAAAAAAAAACATCTATTAAAAAGAGCAACACACAAGTTTCTTGCTCATTCTTCTTATGATGAATCTGCATTCTGAATTGAGTGGTAGAATCAAAATATGACTATTCAAAAGTGCTTGTAATGAGTTTATTTGAATAAAGATTATTTCTATTTCTAAAGCTTGTGTTATGGGTACTGGATAACTGATACAAATACATAGATATATTTTTTCGTAAAAATATACATATTATATGTACATAGAAAATACCCAAACCGATATATCATACTTATGAATACAAATGTTTGTGCCATGCGAGGAATCGAACCCGCGACCATCGGAAGTAAGGCATTGCGCTCAACTGCTAGACCACCAAGACCGTCAATAACTATGAGTATCCAGTTGACAATGCTTCTGTCTACCCTAAACAGGCGTGAAGTTATAATTTCATGATTATTGATGATATGATATTTCTAATAAATACCTATGTGTGGCCAGCACGCTAATACAATGATGCTATTAACAAGTTTGTACTTAAACAGGTCCACTATAGCTGCAACTAGCATTTTGTCTATGGTATACACAGATACTGTGTAGTACCATAGAGTACAGTGCTTTATTTATAATAAATGCCACCGCATTCAGAATTCGTTATAGAGTACCGACAGCAAGCTACTCATTCTCCAATATACATACAATATTTATTATTAAAAAAATATATATTTGTTTAATAACATTTATTTATTTTTTAATAAGCATTCAACTTTTTTATAAATATAATTTATTCTTATAATAAAATTTAATTATTTTATAATACTTATTAAAAACACACTTATGTTTTACAATTGAAATATTTGCAATCTTTATTGTGATACAAATTTCGTAACTACGAAAAAATTTTGGTAATACATATAATACATTAAATACATTTTCGAAATTTTAGGAATTTCAAGTGTTTAATTTAAAGTCTTTATGACTTTTCACGCATCAAAATCACTTTTTCTACATGAAATAAAGCTCATTTGTAATCTACATCAATAAATATTCAAACTGCACACTGTACACTGCATAGAAAATTATTAATTAAGCATTCATTTTAGTAAGGGGTGGATAATCATGTAGGCGGATTCCATTTGTTAAATTGCGATTACGGTTGTTGTTACAATATGCATCAAATTATTACTTTCTTTATAAACACTAGTGGCCCGCCTTGGTTTGGCTAGTGTTCATAATTTTGTGAGTATACATTTAAATAATACTAGTGGTCGCACTGTGGTTCAAATTCAACAATAATTAATTTAAATTATAAGTTTTTGTAAATAATGTTTATACTGTCAAAGACTTACTTCACGTAACTATTAATATATATATATATCACGATACGCTAATTTGGCAATTAACAATATTGACATTATTTAAATTAACGTTTTGTTATCAGTTCATATAATGATAGTGTGCGTAATGTTTTATTTATGCATAATTTAAAAAATATTAGTATGTTGCAATCTCCTCCTCATACTCCTCCATCCCCGCAATTTTTGTTAAAAGGTATAGAAAGATTTGGCTTCACTTCATGTTTCATTAATATTATTATATTATTTAATAGATACAGCACCTATAGCACTCTGGAATAATCTCAGATACATTATTTAAAAGTTAAAATAATTTCTGTGTGGTTTCAGAGTTTACTTTTCGTAACAATATCTCTCTCTTTATTCATCCCATACGCAAAAACAGGGATGGTATTAGTTTGACGTGTTTACTTATGGATCAGTGACATCGTATATTTTTATAATTCGATCCTAATAAATTTTTGATACCTTAGTTGATTTGGCTATTTGTACTAGAATTTGAAGTAAAAATTTATCCATATATGTATAGTAGTACAGTACTACATATATATGTATGTATAACTGCGGTTTCATCCATTACATATATCTAGCCTGTAAGATTGTATAAAGGAGGTATAAAAAGAACAAATAAAACATGAAGAATTTAAAAAAATGCTCAAGATTAATATGATTTTATCTTGAATACTTTTAATTTAATTATATTTAAAAAATCCAATTTGTAGACATGGCTGTATATTTTTGTAATAATTACAATATGACATTACAAAATTTACTACTTCTAAAATAAGTATAATAAATAACATTAATATAATAATCATATATAATTGTTATCAAGAATAGTTTATTTGTAATAGTAGGGATAGCCCGGTGGTGGAGGGGCCGAACAACCACAGGACGGCTTGGGCAGTAGTTTAGGCTCCAGTAACGGCTTCGGTTCCAGGCTAACTGGTACTGGTGGTGGCACCATATACGCTGTCATAGGTATACTGGGAGGGGGTGGAGGAGGGGCAAGCGTACCACATGGGGGTGGATATGCAGGCGGTGGATATGCAGGTGGGGCATATGCAGGCGGTGGATATGCCGGCGGTGCATATGCAGGTGGTGGATTCGGTGGAGGTACTAGGGATATTACAAGAGGAGATGGTGGTGGTACAGCAGGCGCTGGTTGGTATACTGGAGGCGGTGGTTGACAGTATACAGGAGGAGGAGACGGCGCTGGCAGTACTACAGGTGCTGGAGGAGCTGGAATAACGACTGGGGCTGGTGGCGGAGGTGCGGGAAGACATACAGGTGCAGCCGGAGCCGGAAGTATTACTGGCGCCGGTGGTGCTGGTAAGTAAACAGGTGCAGGAGCCGGTGCTGGCAATACCAGTGGTGGGGGTGGTGCTGGGATACAGGCAGGGGCAGGTGCTGGTAACACTAGAGGTGGTGGTGCTGGAAGAACCAATGGAGCTGGCGCTGGAGGTGGGAGACAGTACGGAGCAGGTGCTGCAGGTGGCGCTGGAAGTAATAGAGGTGGTGGCGGCGCGGGAAGCAGCAAGGGCGGGGGAGGTGGTAAACAAAGAGGGGGAGGCAAGGGGGGTAATATGCAAGGAGGTGCGGGATACGCTATAGGTGGAAGTGGTGGTAAGACTGGCGGCGGGAGTAAAGGTTCTCCTGCCGGCATCAATACAATTGTAGGGGGAGGAAGCGGAGGTAGTGGGGGTAAGATTTTCTCACAAGGCAGTAGCAGTTCCTTTTCTTTTTCTGTTAACAAAAATACAGTTTTAAATAATTTATATACATGGAAAACAATATATGTATACAAATGTATTTGAAATTATAATATTGTTGATGTACATCAACTTAATTAGCTACTTATTCATTTATCAAGATACCAAATAAATATTGTGAGTTTCCAATCGCCCTTTTTTCACGTTATCCTGTGATACCCTTGACATGAGAAAGAGGTCCCAGAGGTCTAAATCAAATTTTAGTAGAAACTAATAATAAAATATTTTTTTAAAAATCAAACCCATTTTGTTAAATCAAAAAGTGTCATATCGGGTAATTAATAGAATATTAATAATCATTTCAACTCGCCTACTAAGGGATCATTTTAGTGTAAGAGAAATGAAAAGACATAGAAATGTCCATGGAACGTTGTGTAAGTGGTCATTATATTACATTATAAACTCAATAATTGTATGATACCAACCTAGACATTTCGGTGAAAGCACCGGCTTCAGCAACCTGCAATTTTAAATAAGATATGCATTACCTTCAGTATCTAATGATAAAGTATCATTTTCATATGTGAGTGTAAATTTAATAAATATCAAATTATACTTACGATGACAACACGGATTTTTTGCATTCTTTGATTTCCTTCAGAGCCTCCAACTGAAAATGAAACAGACTTTTAATTTTTTGAATTATAAACACATACTACCTGTACTTAACTTTGTATTCTATATATCATATATATAACCTATATATGTATATATAGACTTTTGGATCGACTACCCATCCGTACAAGATATTGTTAGTCGATGTATTTTATAATAGTCTTTTGTGATAATTTATTATTTGAAAAATACGTCACACGGCCTCAGTAGTTCAGGGCTTTAATTTACTGCCTTATTTCCGATACTTCCGGTGATCGCAGGTTCGATTCCTCGCACGATCCATATTTGTATTCATGTGTATGATTTTTTGTATTAGTCTGGATTTTTTCGACCTACATTATACATGTATTTATAAAAAATGTATTTAAGTATTTCTATTTGCCGTATAGTACCCATATCATAAGATTAGCTTAGCTTGGGACTACCTGGCATTGTGCATATTGTTCAAGGTTAATATGATTATTATTTTAAAAATTAGGGCTGCGATGTAGCCGCTGTGTGAGTCATCCAGGTGTATTAATAATTATTATTTAAAAAATCTTATAAAAATAAATAAGTAATCGTACCAAGCACAATCCCTTCTCATCACAAGCAGTGATGAAACACGACGACAGCAATAAGATCCCAAATGAGGACCAAACCAACTTCTGGGTCCCCATTCCTGCCTTTCGCGCGGCACAATCACAATATTATTATATTAAAATACCTATCAATTTCGTATTTAAAGAGTTAATTGTCATATTTACAATAATATACGTGATTTATATAAACCTTTATTATCTAATGGTGCAATCGATTTCATTTTATATCGAAATATTTTTGTACTAATGTCTCAAGCTTTCCTATGATAAGATTGAACGTGTCGATATAAGTACTAAGTGAAGTAATACTTATTATTAATCTTAACTAAAATTAAAAACAATATAAACTCAAAAATTGCTAGACTGATAACAAAAAATATTTCATCAGAAAAGCTATAGATATTATCGGCGACTGATATGTCGATAAAACAAAATTTTTATTTTTATAAGATTAGAAAAGAATGAGAATCTGACGGAAATCCTGATGGTAAGTGATACGAGTATATTTTTTTATTTATGTAACTTCAATGCACATTTTTTAAACTACATATGGCGGAGTTGACGTAATGTGGCATTGTTTACCAAGCAATCATGAATGGTGAAGAGAATAAAAATTGTTGGCGGTGCAAATATTAATGAATGAGATAATAGACAATATATACGTATATATATAAACAGCACCAGGCCATCATGACATAATGTTACACTCGTGGTCCTACTCATGCATTCCTGTTGCTGAGGGCCAAGATGTCATGTCTACGTATCCTCTACTTTCGTTGATTGCTGTACCATTCAGCCATAATCATAAGATCTTCAAAGCATTTGTAGCGCCCCACTAAAATGCTGTCCACCTTCATGGAGGACGACTACTTGCCGAAGGGAGTGGTTTACTGGAGTTACCGTGGCAGATTGCCATAGCGAGTGTGGTGACCACAAAAACAATATTATTATTTTATTTTATACATATTGTAATATGGGGTAATATTGTTGTATAAATGTTGTTGTATTTCATTGCCTGAAGCAAATAAAAACAAAAACATATTATAAAACAAGCTGCAATAGACTGAAATAGGGAAAACATAGGTACTCTACCTATAGATTTCGTCGAAAACTGTATTAGTACGAGGTAACGCTGGCGGTTAGTATTTTATATATAGGGTTGCCTAGAATACTGTAAAGTAAATAATATAATTGAGCTAACCGTTTCCTTAACTCACACATAAAGAAATTGACAAACAACACAAACGGAGAAAATCTTTAAAAACTATCACATTCTTTTCAAGATCACATACGTCTCCATTACAATTTTATGATATATAAAAAGAAAGCTGTCTTACTTTAATTACAATAAAAACAATAACAATATATTTACTAATTATGAAATCAATCACGGATGAAAATTTGATGATAAGTACCGTATCAAATTATGCCAAGCAATGGAACAATAATAATGAACAATGAATCGCGAATTGATCGCAATTTTGTTTACACTACACGTCGACGTGACGGAGACGATTTTCAAAATATCCTTAAAGCTAATATATGCCTAATAACATCATTGAATTGTATATATAAATATGACAGGGTAACATTAATAATACCTCGAATTTCAGGCCGTCAGGTGACGTGGCACGTGGTTCATTTCTTAGTACTAAGGTGGTATGCGTTATGTTCTGTGATTTTATTGCCATCTCTTACAGTTCAAACGGAAACAATATAATACAAAATAAACTACACTGTGGTAGATGATGCAGTGGTATCCACGCATCAGAAAACTTTACTCAAAGGATTTGACAGAAATGCTTATGTATATATTTAGAACATGCAATAGTTTTTTCCTTTACAATACATCATCATATGCTTCTTCCTTATCCTCTTTATACGGCGTTGTATGTTTTTCTTTTCTATTCCTTATTTGCAGGCATCTCGTTGTTTACTCGCTTTCTTGCCAAATCATCTTTCACACAGTGATCCATCTCTTATTGATCTCCTCTGCCCTCATAAATATCAATACTCATATGCAACACTTTCTTTAAAACATTATATACAATTCATATTTAACAATAACTTATACGTCGTACCCAATTGTGGAAACTGTGAATATATGTAATATTCACATTTTATTTATACACATTCGATTATAAAAATGCGCAGATGAAATGTACGTATATTTGTCGTATTCGGAATATAGTATATTCTATAATTGCTAAAATTTATCTAAAATATTAGGTATATCTCTAAATTGATATATTAAAAGTCATAATGTGTAAAATAATCCTTCTCATTACATAACGTGTTTAATCTGTTTCTGGAGAAGATAACAAAAACATTATCTGTAGAATAACATCTTTGTATAAAAATGATCGAACCTGAAGAAACGGGTTTAAAACAATTGGACAAGGTAATGTAATTGCCATCTCGAAAGTTCTATTTGGAAATATGTCGAAAACAGTTCTTATTTTTGTAATCGTAAGTATCCAATGAGTTATTTAAACATGCAAATTTTATATACATGTTCTTAAGTAATTTATCCGATTATACCTAGATATTATGAAACTATGTACATTTATAAGATACTTAACAACGGCTGATAAGATAAAATTTAAAATAATGCCCATTTCATTTAATGCTCAATTTGTTTTGTAATAAGTATATTTTGTATGATTACACTATTCTTAGTTAACTTTCACCTAAACAAACACCTAAAACTTCTCGAGATCCGTATTTCTTTCATGATAAACTACCTGATATAATTATAATTACTTCATATTATACTTTGTTAATGTAGGCATCTATAGGTGAAAGAATTTTTAAAATAAGCTGGCTGTTTTTTAAATTTTCCGTTATAAAGTTTTATCCATGCTGTTTTAGTTTACTATCGGTTTTAGTTGCAAGTAAATATATTTGACTTTCAGATACAAATGTCGCATGCAATCAACTTGGGTTTAATTGCGGGTGATTTGAAGCCGCTTGGAAATCCTCTATCAATCAAGAAGTATTCGCGCCATTCACCTGTAATAATTAACATAAACTCAAAGTCCAATCCTTTACCCTCACTACCATTACCAAAATTACCTTCAAAACCTCCATTTAAACTTCCTAAACCTAAAACTTCTTCAATGTTATCAAAATTGCGAGCACCATTATTCCCACCTATTATAATGCCTCCAGCTATTCCTAAAATACCTCTTCTACCTCTTTTGCCTATATTGCCTCCTGTATTACCATCATTACCGTTAGTTCCTCCTATATTACATCCATTACCTCTGTTACCTCCAATATTACCTTTGTTCCCACTACTGCCTCCAGTATTACCCAGAATACTTCCACCTCTTAAAGTTCCTATTTTGAGTAAATCACTGCTGCAGAAAACTTTAGGATCTGAGATAAAACCTGTGACGGTTCCTTATAATATTCTTGATAGAAAGGAAGAGAAGAACAGTAAGAATATTATGGATAAACTAGTCGAACTGAGAAATAAAGGGTCGTTGACTACTGCAGAATTTATTAGATTTAAGAGACTATTGTTAAGAAAATAAATAACTATTAGTACTCTAAACTAATTACTTGTTTTAGAAATTGTAATAAATAATATTTATTTAAACAAGAATTATAGAAGAAGAAATTGTGTTAAAATATTTATGTTATTGTATTTTTAAATACAATAATAATTGTATTAAGCATTAATTTATATAATCTTATTAAATTACATTGATAATTTTTGTTGTTGTTTATTTCTTTAATGTAAGCGCTTTTTATACGTAACTGACATCTATGGTTTTTTGTATATAAAACTGAAAGAAACTTTGCTTTATCATAGCAATGTCTAAAGAAAAAAAATCAACTTCTTTCTATCTGTTCATAAAGTTTATAATTCATATTATTGTATATAATATTATACATACAGAAATAGCTTACAGATAAATACGGAAATAAGTTTACATAGTTAAACAAAACATTATAACATTCATAAACAAAATAAAACAGTAGATAGTAGATAATCACAGACAACTTTTATTTTCATAAATACAAAAATAATGTGGCACATAATGTTATACCAAAATAAATATTAAATTAGATTAAATATTGTAAATATTTATCATTATTACTAAAATGTTTAATTCACTATAAACACTAATTTTATAGAGATCAATAGAATTAACATTAAATAACTTAAATAATTTACGTACAATGACTATTATTATGTTAAAAATAAAAATGAACTATGACTAGGTACTATCCTAGTCATATTACTTAGATAGGTTATATTCAGAATAATTAGATCATATTATAAAAAATAAACCTTATTTTCGATTTTTAGCATTAATTGCACTTTTCCGTTCTATAACTCCATGGATATTAAAATTCTTACTAATATTATAAACTGTTTGAATATTTAATACTCATACGGCTGAACTCTATTGAATATAATTTATATCTACATATATTATTATTACAGTTAGTCTTGAGCTGACCTCGGCTAGTGCAACCTAGGCAATACGTTGAGGGAGCTAAGTACTAAAGGTATTATTAAACTGTAGGTTTACTACAAAATATAATATTTAACAACATTTGTAATGTGTACTAAATGCGAAAGTTTAAAGGTAAGACTCTTAGTTTATTTTCTGACATACTTCAATTTTGAACTATTTCATGTAGGTAATCACTTTGACCTAATCAAAGTCAAAGATTAGCTACAGCTACTAATCCTAGAATATTTTAGTCCTGTTCATATTCTTATAGTACTGAAGAATCTATAGGTACTCTTGCTGAGTTTTAATATATTTTAGTCTAGTTTGTTTTCTTTAGTGTGAGCCGCGATAACGTTGAAGCCTCGTACAAACATGTCCTTGATTTTGCGGAGGAACACGATGAGGGGGTAGGCGAAAGGTCGGTCTTCTGCACGACAAGTGAAGCAGGGCTCCCGGCTGCGAGGGCGCAGTAATGAGTGCTTCATTATAACGCTGCCCTGTAAGAAACACATTCACATATATATAAGATTGTTTGAAATCCTGAGCTACTTACATAGAACCACCTATAGCGTTATTTCAAATAATTTCAAATTTTCAAATATCGTTACTAGCTGTAGCAAGGTAGAGCACTATTTAAGTATCGCAAAAAGCTGACAACATAGGTAAAGTTTAATTTGTCTCTGAAGTAATATTGTACGGGAATCGAACCCGTGATGAATATAAAGTAAGCTAAACCGCCAGAGTACCGAGGTAGTATATAATATAATATCAAATACTGTTTTTATGTACAAGTAGAAAAGTTAATTATCTATTGAAAAACAATGACGGAATATAAAATAAGTATTTTGTATTTGGTTTGTCATCAATCAATTTTGTGAATTTTATTATTATTACACTATTCATAATTGCACTGTATTTAATGTTAAATTATTAGAAATATATAAACTATTATTTCCAATATTTTCAAATAAATAATTAATTTTTAAACTAAAATTAAAACCTAGTAAAATAATAATAAAATTGTACTTATATATATACAATTATCATCAACATACTTCTTAATAATCAAAACGACTTAATATATTGGATTTATATACAGTAATTTAAAAATGGAATTCTGTGATACATTTTAAAGCATAATTTTTCTTATACTTTTGCATAAGGTAAATCTAATTAAAAAAAAAACTCTAACCTGCGATACATTGAGGACAGCAACAGCTAACAGCGCCGGTATCAGCAGCGATCTTAACCTCATTCTCGTAGTAATATTTAAGAAATAAATATAACACTAAACCGCCCGCATAATAACAATTAACTAGCCACTGCATAGTCCAAAATACCTTTTTACGGAGAGACTTACAACATACATACATACGTTGGACAGATAATGCGAGATTTAATTGATTATTGAGTAATCCTAACCTTGATTATAGAGATGTGCTGACTAGACTCATTATATTGACTAAACGCGCCAGTTACCAATCTTAATAATATTATAAACGCTAAAGTTTATCTGTATGGATGTTTGTTACTTTTTCACTCAAAAACTACTGAATATATTATGACACTTTAAAATAATATAACTTATACATCAGAATAACACAGAGGCTAAATTTCCCTCGAGTGAAACGGCGGGCACAGTATCTAATATATAAAAATCTTGTGTCTCAGTGTCTGTTATTGAACTCGTTTGAAAAGGTAACAGTTTTTTATGAAATATTTTGGCCTATATTTGTTAGATTTATATAAGGATATATAGTACTACCAAATATAGACTAAATGTCCGTATAGGGCCACTCTTAGCTCCTAGGGAGGTGATAAAGGTAGCTCTCTTCCGATTTTTTCTTTATTTGAAATATTTTATATGCTAAACAACGTTTGACGGGTCAGCTGGTTATATAGTCGGTTAAAATAAATGATTTCAAACGAATCAATTGTATACTAGATATGCTTCGCAATTTTTAATTCTTCGGAAATTTTAATATTGTTTTATTATTTTTTAAGTTCATCGTTTATAAACAAAAATTCAAAACAGCTTATATAAGTTTATTTGAATAACGATTATTACTATTTCAAATGTGTCTATTTAATATTAGTATATAATTTAATACAGTTAAAGTAACAGTAAAAGTTAGTTACTGTTTTAAACTCTACCTTAGTTTAAAATTTCACTGACACTAACTAACTTTTGAAGTATAATAGAGCTACATAGTATTAACAATGTTGTATTCAACACGCAAATATACTTCGACGAGCATAATTATGTTAATGAGTTTCATATAGTATACATGTACCAGATAGTATATAAATTATAATACAATATCTTACATATATAAGATACATTAATTTACAATATTACATTAAATTAAAATTTATATATAAATTTTTCATATAAAATTTATATATCAATTTATAAAATTCCTATAAAACTTTAATAATAAGTTTTATAGCAATTTTATAAATTGATTTAATAGCAATTTCCATATTACTTTACTCAGTATTATAATGTTAAAGAGGAAAGAGTCACACTTATTACTTTATTTTCATTATTAGTAGTTTCCAACACACAACGGTGTTTATGTAGAGAACTTTATACATATTTTATAACCTAATGTATAATATTACCAATTAAACATAACAATTAAATAGTCTGCAAATTTAAGTAATTAATTGCTAATGAGTCGGCACATCACTAATTACCAGCAAATCTGCTGACGAACACCGATTCATCCCAGTTACAGCTATTACGTGATCGATCGTCGATCGTGGCGGACGCGATAAAATGCATCGATTGTTGTGAATAATCGGACATGAATCGATACGTGGCTGCAGCTGTGTTGTTGGTGGTTGGTATCGAGTTTTATGAATCGATTACGATATTTGGATGTTGTGACTGTGTTGTGTGATCTTTTGTTTTGTTGACGAATAAAAGTACGAGTGAACGTATTAAATAAGTTTAATGAGTATAATTTCAGATTTATTAATAAGTAAGTATGAACAGGTTATAATAATGTTTATCTGTGCCAGCATGGAGTGGCTGTATAAAAAAATAATTTTGCCCGTATTTACCTATATTATTATTGATTATTATAGTGTATTTAGCATACACTATAATAAACGAATTAAATAATTATGGTCATTTCTAGTCGTATATACCTTAATTTAACCATAAATGTATACAATAATGTTGAAATTGACGGTCTTCGTGCTGTAGCGATAAATCACATTACTACCAATTGTTTCGGGTTTGAGTCTTGCCTGACAGAAACATATGTTTTCATGAGTATGCTTATTAGTACTAGTCTATGTATTTTCTCTATATTTATTTATATAAAAAATATATTTAAGTATGTCTGTCAGTAGTTTGATATGGGTGTCAAAGTATAAAACAAAAATAAAAATATAAGCTTTGCTTAGTTTAAGACTAGATGGCGCTGTGTCAATTGTCACAGGTCAATACTATTACTACAGCTTCGATACATGTAGATATTAGAAAGTATTCTCACTTAAAAACTTTGTTTTTATTCACCAAACCGGAACCCTAAAAAGACAATGGTGGCTTAACCCAAATTTTAAAGATTAGTCACTAACATACTTGATGGAAATTCGTGGAAACTCTAACCAAAACAGGCATGTTGTACACGAATTCACGTATTATACCTTTGATATTGATGCGCTGTTGCAATAATTTGGGCCAACAATAAAGCAATTGTGTTGTTCGATGTTGTAAAATACAGAGACAATTTCAGTAAAAGTCTTTTTCGTTACGTATATAGATGAAAACTAAACTCAGCACTGGATTAGCGTAGATTCCAGAGTATGAAATGCTACAGACCCTGCGCTCTCACTTCTTTTCATCCTGATCATCTGTATGAATGGTGGCTTTCTACCATGCGTTTTTCCAGATTTTTTTGCCATATACAACCATATTAGGGAATCGCATTATACGATATTGAAATCTTCAAGAGTAGAGCTTATACCTTCTTAAAACGCCGCCAACTCTCTTGCAATTTCCCTGGTGTTGCAAGTGCTCATGGACGTCAGTAATCACTTACCATTAGGTGATCTGCAATCTCATTTATTTCCTATGATATAAATATTGCCTTCGGGACAAACGCTCTTGCGGGTCAACTACACTTTTGTATTCGTTGGGATGTAATAAAAAAACATTTTCAGTTTGATTTCAAATTGTATTTTTTTTATTATATTTTTAATATTGTCTGTCGATTCCTAATATTATTATGTAATGTTACAGATGGGGCTGCATGTTGCAATGGCACCACCACCAGTCCGTCTCACCATAGATTGTGGTTCAAAAGAAAAGGTTATTATATACATTAAAATCTTAAACATAAATAAACATATTCTATACAGAAGATAGAGGGAGAAGGAAGGGATTGGAAGGAAGGAGAAGATGAAAATACTAAATGAAAATTTGTCTGAAATTACAAGCATAAAAGTAATAATAGAAGATATTGCAATCGAATTAAACTTTTAAGCAACCCCAAAATAATCAAAAGATAATAAATTGTTGTTACTAAGAACACCAGCTTTCAAACAAAAGAAAATCGCATCATAATAGGTTCATTCGTTTAGAAGCTGCATGTTTTAATTTTCATTAGTAATTATTCTGTTGCGCTAAATTCAAGATTACATTTCAACTAAAATTAAAACTCAATCCAATTTAATTTTTATTTTACAGGATTCGTTGCTTGGTTTTAATTTAAAACCAAAGTCGTTCACGAATAACTACCGAGATAGTTTAGATGTGGATTCTTTCTGCAATTTCATACATAGATCTATTCCAAAAGCAATCAGAGATGGCAAAGTGGTTTTAGTTGATCCAGATTCAGATCAAGACAGTTTTGGAAATACTCATGTTCCAATATCACTCCCGCCACCACAAGGATTCATTCCAGACATTCCATTACCAAAATTCAAAGTCCCAAAGCTAAGTATTCCAAAAATCACAGTTCCAAATTTGAGAAACATACTCGATGGACCTATGTCTCCACCAACAGTGGGAGCAACTAATTTATTTTCAAGGGCAAATGATTATGAAGAAGAATCTAGTGCGGAGAGAATGGAGAAATTCAAGAAGGGAGTACAGAAGATGTTACATGTTGTCAAAGTTCTTGGACAAATCGACAATTACATTTCTGAGAGGACTAGAATTGTTGTTGATAAATTATCAAAAACGTTCTCAGATTAATGTACCTTGGGAATATTAGTATTAAATGTTAATTTATTCTTAATTTATTACAGTCTTAGATATAGGTTTTTGTATATTTTATTTAAATAAATAAAATTATTCTGTTGTTGAATTTTTTCTTAACTGTAACTATTAGATATTTTTCTTTTGTTGTATTTTTGTGGTGTAGCAAAAATACTACTATAGTACTTTTACGTACTTACTTATATACAGAACACTACTTTGTGTCATTGTAATAGCAACAAAGAGCATGCGGTATCATGGAAACGTTAATTAGATATAACGCTTAGTTATTAAAATATAAATAATATAAAGTTAATAAAATATACACAATATTAGCATTTAGATAAGCAATGTTTAATTTTAAACTTACATAGGTATACTGTAAAAAAACAGTATTAAATTCTGTACAACAAAGAATTACAAACAAATAAACAGTTTCAGCGATAGTACAAAAACTAGATAAAAATTATACATACATAGTAATATAATAACAGTTAACAACATTTTGCAAACAAATTAACTATCTGACTTCCCGAGTAAATATGCAGTGAGTCCTTAATAAGTTCATAAAATGCAAATAAATATGTTTTCCGTCACACAAATACAAAATTTGCGATTCAAATGTCCAGGACAATATTCTATGCGTATTTAAACTCTTGAATACATATCATAGTTTCATTGTGTTTAGAAATTTCTTGAAATTTGAACCGATCGATACAGCTGTAAGTGGGTAAGTTACAAAATAGCAAAAATACTATATCATAATATTATAATTTACTTTATGTTTCTTTGAGCAACTACCATTTAATGAATTCTATAATCGTTCGCATTGCCTTAAAACTGGAAAAATTAATAAAATTGCAGTGTCTGTTTGTAATTTCCAAGACAGCTTTTCACTAAATGCATATGAAATGATATACGGTACTTATATAAAAAAATAATATAAACAATTGCTCTAGTGTTATGAGTAACTTTACGACTTTTATTCAGAACATTTATTTTAATAAAAATGAGTCAAATACTACACGGACCATGTCGCGTACATAAGAATGTATCAAAAATAAATATTTCATATTTTTCCATTAAAAATAGTTCAGATTACGTAATAGTTTACCAAGCTCTTATTTGGAATGATAGTTGATAAAATTCAAATTAATGTACCTGTTTAGTTTAGTAGGTTTCAATAAATGACATAAAAGCTAATAAAATATTTCAGTTTTTTTATGAGTCGTACCATAAGTTCACAATACTCCATTGTACTATGTACAATTGCTGAATAGTTTTTGTATATTCAAATAGCAAGAGACAACCATACATTACTTTTACATCTGTATTACAAAAGAAAATTATGTCTAGTCGATATAATGGCGGAAAATCAAGAAAAAACCAACTTCTCGGAGGGCGAAGAGATACACGGCGACGTTGTTGTGATATCTGGCATCTCCACTCTCACGTCTGGATGTCGCAATTTGGATGAATTCGCGGAGAAATTGTACAATAAGGTTACTTTGTTATCAGTTATAGTTTATCTCTTTAGTTTCCACTAAAATACCAGTTACATTATTGTTTATAAAATTTATTCAGAAAAGAGAAAGAAGACAGTAATTCCTTAGTCAATCTTCATCCGAAAGTTTTTTGCTCGTTCCTCTTGTGATGAGAATTTCGAGATCAAGTTTATTTCAATAAAAAAATCTATTTCAGTGTATTCTTCAAAAATGATGTTTTTCAGAGATTTAGGTCTTCTTCTTTTTGTTAAAACAATTTATAAAATAACTAGTAATACCTACCTATTTAAAATATCAATAATTATAATTATAATATATAGTACTGAAAAATTAAGTGAAAACGTGAGTATTATAAATGTTATTAATTATTAGACTGGCGGAAGGAGAATTATAGTAAATCTTTCTCACCTATTTCTACCATTAATGTTATGATGCTACCAGTAATGATATAGTAACGTAATACTTTTACTATTCAAAAGGTAAAGTAAGGTAAGGTATGTCGTAGCTAGGTTATTAAAAGTATTGTATTTTTTCATCATTGCCATTCAATATTTTAAAAAAAGGTGCATTATCATTGAGCAATATGTCGTTAAACTATAGTATGTACAAGCACATACCTATATTTAGTAGTAATTGTTGACATTGCAGGAGTCCTTTGTTAAATCTGATAATTTTCGTTGGAAGAGTCTAAAACACCCTGAACTAAATACGCACCTCGGCAAAGTTCCAGATATTGGTCAATTCGATTCCCAATATTTTAAGATACACTACTGGCTTGCAAGTGTTTTGGATCCAGCAATGAAAGGATTGATGGAGCAGTCTTTTCAAGCTATTATTGATGCTGGTAAGTGCTCAAGCACTCTATTGTTTGGTTAGGTACTACACCAGATTGACTTGTAAAAGATTATTAAAAAGAATTCATCGTTAAATTTTATTAACTCTAATCGTTGGATCATTTGGACGGTGGAGTTAGAAGTATTGATATGCATAAGATAATGTATAAGACACATACATAACAAAAGTAAAGTTTGAAATCTCGCTCATCATTAGGAATGTAGTAATTAATCTGACGTATATCAATAGGCATTTCTTGAGTACCAATTACAAACAGTTCAAAAAGTCCTGTCAGTGACGAACCTTTGATTCTCAAAGCGCCTACTAAACGTAGAGAGGAAAAAATGTATATTATTTTACTTTTATTATACACGTTAGGCGCTATAGAGGAAGCATTTTTACAAATTGGTTTATAAATGACGGATTTATGAAGAAACGAAGTTTAAAAAACTTATCCGAATTGGGAATCTCTAACTATTTTTTGGAATCTGTTAAAAAAACAAAAACTGAAGAACTATCAAGATAAATTACTTCAATTAGAGTGAATTTTCTCCATAGCCTGATTTTATCCTCCTGTCAATTTTTGTACAACACTGACATTTGTATCATTGTTTGTATTGCTTTCCGTATAATACATTGGTTAATTATAATTACAGGCGTTTGTCCAAGTGAATTGTCGGGCAAGCGAGTTGGTGTATTTATCTCTTCAGCGTTATGTGAAACAGAGACGTTAGCTTTTACCAAAACGTACGGCACCTACGCTATACTAGGGTAAGTAAAGTAATACCACCATTTTTATAAAAGCTAACCCATTTCAACTATTACTGTATTGTTAAACGAATTACAGTAGCAGGGACAGATACTTCAGACAGATCCCGAGACTTAATAGAAAAAGTTACCAGTAGGTTTAAAGAGTTCCTTTATCACCTCCGCTACTCGTCTTTTTCTTCTTGCTCAACTACATCTAGTGCGAAACTTTTAATGCAACTTTGAATACTTGTTCATATTAGAACAAGTATTCAAACTTGCTATATTTCTATACAAGCCAAGATCTTCCAACCGGTTACTCATATTCTATCCATTCATTTTATATTCTAAGCATTTAACATTTTTATGAACACCTTTTAAAATATCGTCAATGTCTCCAATAATATAAGCTTACCCAAAACAATACAGTATGTTCCATTTTTTGGCAAATGGCATAATTATTATAAATATGTATTAGGTATTAACTAGGTATCTGCCCTGGCTTCGCAACGATGTACATGTATTTTATATATATAAACCGTTCTCTTGAATCACACTAACTATTGCTAAAATCCTTTGCGTAGCTTAAAAGATCTAAGCAAATAGACTGTGGAAGCGACTTCATTTTATACTATGTATACTAAGTAAATTAACTTACTTCTTATTATAATTGTTGTTGTCTCTTTTATGATGCTTTTTTTAGATCCTGTCTTCATTTTATCCGACTAATTAAAATAAGTTATATTATATTATAATTATAATGAATTTCTCAACAATTTATTTTCAGGTGTAACAATGGGATGCTTTCAAATCGTATCTCATATTACTTGAATTTAAAGGGCCCATCTGTAACGATGGACGGATCGTGTTCAGGCTCAATTCTGGCTTTGCAAATGGCTCGACAGGCAATAAATACTGGCTTATGTGATTCTGCTATTGTTGGAGCTGCCAAATTGGTGTTGCTTCCGACTACATCTATAATGTATCAGAGGTAAGAACCTCAATATCACATATGTCCTCTGCCAATATTTAAAAATTAGAGGTTTGGTGCTCTAGCAAATGAATGCTGCCTTTTAGCGTATGAACGATGTACATAGACTATATAACTCACATGTTTCTTGTGCCTATATTTTATGTTATTATATGACTAGTTACCTCGTGTGTGGTCTTTAACGCAAAATAAAAGTTTTATTTATCTATCTAATATATAGAGTCAAATTATTCAATCATGAGTATATTTTTAAAGCATATAAATTGTATTTAGCAGATCTTCTCTCTCCAAATAGATAGATTCTACTTACAATTTAGAATGTTAATCTATTTGTTTTATTTTTTTTAACTTACTTTCCAGTACTGCGCACTCTTAAAGTATGTTTACGTTTTGTAGACAATACATTTTTATTCAATTTTTTTTTAATCTAGAACAATGCCGTTAAGCCCCGATGGTAAAACGAGGAGTTATGATGAGTCTGCAAACGGTCACTCCATGTCAGAAGCAATTATCGTTATGTATTTACAGAAATATAAAGATGCTAAAAGGTTTGTAAATGTTTATTTTATTACATATGTAACTACTGTATCATAAAATTAATTTGTAACATACATGAAATGATCATTCAAACATCTGTGTATTAAATTTCATTTAAATTGGTTCAGTAGTTTTAACCTGAAAGCGTGACAGATTAATGGTGTGTATGATAAAAAGAGTGTTGAAGAGAAGATTCAAGATATCTTGAAACGAGAACCTAATAACAGTAATATTGACAGAATGTATACAACGGTCTGCCATGCGAAAACTGAATTCGCCGCAACGAACAATAAAAGATTTAGTGAGCGTAGACAAGGACCATATAGAGATCTTACGGAAATTACCGGTTTTCTGCGGAAGTTTTACGAAGAGGCTGGAGTGGATCCTTCACAAGTGGACTATGTGGAAGGATTTGGGGCAGGTATGTAGGCGTTTAATCTTCAGTGCAAATAAATATAATTAATTATAAAAATAATATAGAGAGACTAATAGGTTTTTTATGAGGTTTTAGTTTTTTAAAGAGGGAGAAAAGAAAGTGTTGTAATCCGAGCCTATTTTTCAGTCATGAAATTGCGTTTGGTAGTTTTAAATATTATGGCCTCTAGGCTCGCGTCTAGGTTGCTAACACCTTAGTTCGTCCCTGAAAGGAAGTTATTTTTTGTTCAAAGCAATGCCAGAGGTTGACAAGACTGAATTGGAAGCAATAGAAGAAATCTTTTGCAATAATCGATCAAAACCACTTCTCGTTGGAAGCGTTATGTCTAACGTTGGTTACACTGAAACAGCGTCCGGTCTATGTAGTATTGCAAAGGTAAGTTGTATTCAGTTAATATATTAATCAATGTTTCAGTATTTTGTCACAGTAACTGTACTGATAGCTCTGAACATTTTTACAAATGATCAATATATTGTTGTTGTGAAAAAGTATTTATTTTCTCAAGAGCTGCTTAAATAGTAAGACAATACGTTCATATAAGTTTAATTACTAACATATACTGTTGAATGTGCTTGCAATTTTTTATTAATCTTTTATACCTACTATATTATTTTATTGGTATAACAAATAATTTAGCAATTCCTGAAGATAATTGATAGGTACTCGTCGCCTAGACATAAGCAGTAGTTCTGTATTCCATACATTAATAGTTAAGATGAAAGAACATCACAAATTATATTGGAACTTCCGTTAGTCTATCATACGAATTTGGATGGTTATAAGGGCAGAGGAAGTCTAAAAAACAGATGGATGGACTATGTGAAAAATGATATGGCAAGAAAGAGAGTAATTAACCATATGACTGCAAACAATCATGAATGGAAGAAAAGATTATATTACGCCGACCTTAAATTAATGGGATAAGAAAGGGAGTGAATAACTAGATGACTGTAGACAAGGTTGAATGGAAGAGAAAAACGTATTACGTTGATTCTAAATAAATGGGACAAGTTAGAAGCAGATGATGTATGATGTATACTGAATAAGTGAATTATACGAAACTAAATCTCCAAATCCTCTAATCTCAGTGCCACATCACACCCTTCAAATTAGAACATACTGATTAATAAATATAATGATGTTCCTGTAATTGAATGACCACAGATATGAATATTTTAGTACAATTTCTTCCAATACTTTTACAGTTGATTTTGGCTTACCAAAGAGGTCGGATCGCTGCTAACCTCGACTGTGACAACCCTCGTCGAGATGTGGATGCACTTCGTGAAGGACGAATGCGGATTGTTACCGAGAATCAGAATTTCAACAGATTATACGCAGCCATTAATTCCTTCTCTCTAAGTGGAGTTAATGGTCATGTGCTGCTTAAGGGATATTACAAACCAAAGGTATGATATTAATGAACTAAAAATTTAAATAAAAAAATTAAATTTTGATTCCAAATTGATTTAAACTCTTTTGTGTACTAAGTAATATTTCATTTCTTTATGTTTCTGTATTCTGTGATTACTTGGTGTGGTTGTGTCTTGGTGTAGCCTCATCTTCCGATTGGAGGTTTGATTCCTTATTATTAAAATATTTGCATTCTTGACTGTATGTTATAGTCTCGACGTTTTCTATGATTGTAAGTATAAATGTTTACTTACAAACAAAAATGTATAACAGATGTAACAACTGTAACTAGTATGTAAAATCTGTGCTAAATTAAGAGTTAATTAGTATCCAAACCAGAAAATAGTGGTCATATTGTGTTCACCACTCTGTTGTTTCGATATATTGCCTGTTTTCTGCGTAACTGAAAATGATATAATTATTAATAAATTTAAAAAAATTATAAACTTCTGTAAACATTTACGCATGCCGTGGCAACCAGTAATTAAGTCAACACTATATTCCCAAACTTCTTGCAAGCGCTAGTAATTGTACATAGCGTAATGTCTAGTTTGTTGCTCAAATAAGTAAATAAATATTATTTTCTTCCAGGATCTATCACGTTATCATTGCAACTTCCCGTACTTAGTGTTGGCGTCAGGAAGACAAGACTCAGCAGTACAAAAAATATTGGACGATGTTAAGTCACATATGATTGATCCTGAAGAGATAGCACTGTTACATAATATATTCAGAAGCCGCATATCTAACCACGTAGCTCGAGGATTTGGGATATATTGTAAGACATTTTCATCTGCGTATGACTCTAAAGTTTCAAATTGTAAATAGGGATTATTTAAAAAAGATATTGAAGGTTTTAGTTTTAGTAAATGAGTATAGTGATACAACAGTGTTTGAAAAAATTTATACAGCAGGGGCTATCTACTAAGGAGTCCTAAAACCTTCAATACCTTTATGTATCTAACAAAATATATTGTAGGGATTGAAACTACTAATTTGTTCTTAAAATAATAATTCTATGGACTTTAGACGAATTGTCTATGCTTTCAAACATATTACATCAATTTTTATATTTAAACTATATATTTTTTCTATAGGTACAAAGAAAGAAGAAACTGTTGCTCTTGAAGAAGGAATACAAAGCTATGATGAGACGAAAAGACCTCTTTGGTTTGTGTATAGTGGTATGGGGTCGCAATGGGCTGGTATGGGTGTTAGTCTTATGCAAATACCTATTTTTGCAGCTGCAATAGAGCGGTGAGTGAAATAATTTCAAGTATAACATATTATACATTATAATTATTAGTTAATCCTAAATTAATTCACTACTATACTTTTGTGAAACACGTTATCAACCATTTTGGCAAGAGTTTAGAAAAATAGAAAATAGTTTATTCTAACATATACAACATGTAAAAAGCAATAAATATAATTTCTTAGTGGAAGTCCGAGTGTTAATACTGATACCTGATACCTCCTTAGTACTAACAGCTATATTAGCCATACAGTTATAATGAACGATGCTATATGTGATTTTAATAATCTGTGGCACATTTGGTTTGCGCGGGAAAAAATAAAAATATTTTACAAGCATTTCTTACACTATTTGTATTGCAAATAGTATGTTTTGTTGTTATTTACATTGAAATGTATTTTATATTTCTATGAATTTATATGTAAATATATCATAATATTTAAAAAAAAAGTAGTATTAGGAATTATTGCGTCTAACATATTGTCAGTAATGAAGTCTTTTTATAAACGAAGTTATTCGTTCATAAAAAGTTTATTTCGTCTATTCGTGAATATGATTGTTTCTATTGGTTCGGATGTTTTTTATGTATGTATTTATATCTATAACTTATATTCAAGTATTTTTATTAGTTATTTAGTATAGCTCTAGAATAGTATTAGCTCTACTTAGTTTGGGATTTGATATCGCTGTCTGAATTATTCTTAATAATTTTTATTTAGAGAAGTTTATTATTCAGTAATCTTATTAATATCATAAACGCGAAAGGTTAAGAGTTTGGATGGATGTTTTGTTATTCTTCCATACAAAAACTACTGAACGGATTTTGATGAAACTTTATAGTATGTAATATTATGTTATCTTTATAGTAATATAGCATATACATCAGAATAACATATAGGCTATTAATTTCACGCCGGTTAAACTGCGGGCACAGGTAGTATTATTATATATCATGTAATACTAATTTCAGATGTCAAAAGGTGTTATTAACTAAAGGAATCGACTTAATAAATATAATTACTACATCCGATGAATCAGTGTTTGACAATATTTTAAACTCGTTCGTGGGTATTGCCGCTATACAAATCGGGCTCACTGATATACTCAAAGCGATCGGATTGGTTCCTGATAATATTATAGGTAAGTTATTACACTATTAACATTATATCAATCCATTATTGTAGCTTTACTGGGAGAAGGCGAGAGATGCGCAGAAGGGAATTATTATGTCCCATCTATGCGAGAGAGGCGGAGAAGGGAATTATTATGTCCCATCTATGCGAGAGAGGCGGAGAAGGGAATTATTATGTCCCATCTATGCGAGAGAAACGGAGAAGGGAATTATTATGTCCCATCTATGCGAGAGAAACGGAGAAGGGAATTATCATGTCCCATCTATGCGAGAGAGGCGGAGAAGGGAATTATTATGTCCTATCTATGCGAGAGAGAGCGGAGAAGGGAATTATTATGTCCCATCTATGCGAGAGAGGCGGAGAAGGGAATTATTATGTCCTATCTATGCGAGAGAGGCGGAGAAGGGAATTATTATGTCCTATCTATGCGAGAGAGGCGGAGAAGGGAATTATTATGTCCCATCTATGCGAGAGATGCGGAGAAGGGAATTATTATGTCCCATCTATGCGAGAGAGGCGCAGAAGGGAATTATTATGTCCCATCTATGCGAGAGAAACGGAGAAGGGAATTATCATGTCCCATCTATAAATTACGACATACGAATTTCATGAATTTTTGACCGTTCTTCAGTACTTTTTTTTATGTCTAGAACATTAGGCCAAGTCTACAAATTTGGGCCCATTACATCTGTCTGTAGTGTGCCCAAGAATATGGGGCCAAATTATAACCCATTCACATTATTTTACGTGTGTTAAGTTTGTGTTTTTTGTTATATATTGTTATGTTTATTTTATGTAGTGATTGTAATATTATATACTTAATAACATTTTATTATATTCATTGTACTTTTCCCAGTAGGTACTTGTCATATACGGTCATTTATGATAGATTACCCTGCCTTGTGTGGCGTCACATATATTTAAATTTAGCACTAGTAAATGGACTGTGAACAATCCAACAATATAAATTAAATAAAACTAAAATTTTGGTAAGGGGTGTTAGAGCGCACCCCTGGTGTTTCAAGCGTCTATAGGCTATTGTAGGCTAGGTAGGCATAGGCTATGGTAACCATTTACCATCACATGAACTTTATGCTTGTTTGCCACTATCGTTGTATAAAAGACAAATTAAATATAATATCAATTCCTTCACTGGTTGTTTTACATTAGCTATGTATTGATTATTCACAGGGCATAGTGTAGGCGAGCTAGGGTGCGCGTACGCAGACGAATGTTTCACAGCCGAGGAGATGATATTAATGGCATATTACCGAGGTTTAGTTTCAATAGAAACCTCCTTTATCCAAGGGTCTATGGCTGCTGTTGGAATTGGATATAGACAGGTAAGTATAATGCAATATTTAATCTATATGTCAGAGAGATAAACTTATTAGCATTCCATGAATTCGCTGTGCGTGATCTAGATCCATCGTGTGACTGAGAAGAAAATTCCGAGCAGTTCTCAAGACTCGTATGTTTTGTGTTTGTGTTCAATACATTGTTGATCTCTGTAATGTTATTTTGTTTTAGATCTCCAAGTTCTGTCCTCCTGAAATCGAGGTAGCCTGCCGTAACAGCCCTAATTCCTGCACCATATCTGGACCTTCGAAGGTTGTAGAAGAATTTGTAGCTACTCTCACCAGTCGAGGGATTTTCGCGAAGGAAGTGCGGTGTTCCAATATACCGTATCACTCACGATACATTGCTACAGCTGGTATGTTTTTTCTATTTGAGTGGAATTACAAACAAACTAACGGCTTACATGATGGAAAGTGTTTCTTTTTTTCTAATGCTGTTGGCCGCAGCTGGTCTTTACAGCTTCACCGGACAATAAGGGATGAGGGCAGATGGCACTCCAAACTCGAAGGACTTACGGAGCGGCTGAAGGCCAACTTCTGCCTGACGGATACGACTTTAGTCTGAGGGCACTGCTAGTTTTGAGTAAAGTGATATTACCAGTTACATTAAATTATTAAATTATTTTATGTGTACCAAAAAATAAAGAAAAATAAGTTGATCACATAAAAACAATCAATACTGTTAAAAAGGTCACAGCTAAAGTTAGAGGACAGGAGAAGGAAAATATAATAAGTAAATTACGTTACAATATAATAATAATAATAATAATCCATCCATCCTAATAGTGATCCATATATACGTACATAAAAAAAGGAATTTCTGTGTGTCAGTTTACAATTTCAATAGTACGACGAGAATTTTGTACGACTTATTTTCAAATTAAAGGACCTACATTACTAAAGTCTACGAGTCAAGTAATCGCGACACCAAAACTTCGAAGCTCCAAATGGATATCGACGTCTGTTCCGAAGGAAGAGTGGTCTAAGCCTGAAGCAGCATATTGCTCCGCTGAATACTTCACCAACAACTTACTGGTAAGTTATGAATAATTGCAACAATAAGCAGAAGATGCATCATGGCATAGTTTGGGGTTTCATACCACGATTTACACATAAAGGTAGTTCCATGAAATAAGGTCGTTACCAAAAAAAATTTGGTGTTAATATTACATATACATATATAGGTGCGTCTTTGAAAAAAGTTGCTCTAATTTATTTCTTTTGAGAATTTCATATTCAGAGGCTCAGATGAAGTTGTTCAGCAAAGTTACACAAAGATTAATTATTTTACAACACAGAATCCAGTGCTATTTGAGGATATGCTGCATCTCGTGCCATCAAATGCAGTGATGGTGGAAATTGCTCCTCATGGTCTACTGCAGGCCATCCTCAAGCGATCTTTATCTTCTACCTGCCAAAACTTTTCACTTACCAGAAGAGAAAGTCCCAATAATGTTCAATTATTACTTCAAGTTATTGGCAGGTAAGCAATTTATTTTAATGTATTGACAGTTCCGGTTGTTTAGCATACCACATTTCTTCCGATTTGTCACGAGTTTGATATCTCACACGATGCAATTTGTATTAATTATAATTGTCTTTATTGGCCTAACTATGTTCCATGTATATTATGTATGTATTTATAAAAAAATTTAATAAACTACTTCTATGAGTAGTTTATTAGCCCTCTGCTACATAGTTCCAAACCATACGATTTACTGTTTCAGGTTGTATATGGAAGGATACCAGGTAGATATAAGTGCATTGTATCCAAAAATTGAATTTCCTGTATCTATGGAGACCAGGTCGCTGTCTCAGATCATTGAATGGGTTCATAATCAGAAAGGGTTAGTCGTGATTAATTATTTATTTATTTATTTAATATAAAATGAAGTCGTTTTTGCTGTCTGTCTGATCTTTTATACTAAGCAATGGATTTTAATGCAGTTTTAGCAAATGATATTGTGATTCAAAAGGAAGATTTATATCTATAATACATATTGACTCTTGCGAAGCCGGGGCGGGTAGTTAGTATAAAATAAAATATTAATCTTTTATGTAAAGCGATCAGTTACATTCTTATTATATGTGTAATGTAGATTTATTTATTTTTTGTTTCAGACGTATGTGTCGGTACATTTGCCCTGAAAGGAATTACACAGCTACATATGAGCAGATTGTGTGTCTGCACGATGATGAATATTCATACTTGAAAGGGCACCGTGTTCAAGGTAGCGTGATAGAATAGAAAATCCGTTATATTTATTCCTTTTTTTTTATAAACTTAACTTTTGCACTTTTGAATACATAATATTTATTTTCATTATCAGCAGCATTAATACGTGAGGCGAGTGATGACCTTGGTGGTGTAGCGGTTAAGTTATAGTACTTTTCGATTTACGCGGGTTTAATTCTCACATCTTACAAAGCTAGCTTGACGAATGAAATATTTATAAATATATCAGCCATCAATTATTTTAAGTTGACGGTTAAGATAAGGCAGTGAAATTATAGTGTGATATTCGAAAATAATTAATAATTGAAAATGACAATACATTAGGGGTATTACGAGTGTCACACGATGATATGAGTCTGTTTTTTTCTAATTATTCTAATACTGTTGGCCGCAGTTGGCCTTAACAACTTCACCGGACGATATGGGACAAGTTCAGAAGGCAGTCCAAACCAAAGGAAGGACTTATGGGGCGGCTAAATGCCAACTCCTGTCTGTGGGATACCATTTAGTCTAAGGGCACCGCATGGGGTTCGAACTCGGCTCAGACGGTTGTAATTTCAATCACCATTTGAATTGGACGGAGGTAATCGGAAGTGGTCGAGGTGTTGTTCATGTAATTAAGCGACAGTTACGATTTACTAACCAGTACCAGGTGGGCCATTAGCGTATTTGCCATTATACAAAAAAAATATTTATGGGCATGTTGTGTTCAAGATTTTCTACTCTCGAGTATCCGTAGTATTTAGTTTGGGATGACTTGTAATCGTCGACGGCCTCAATCGTCTAGCAACCCATGAACCCATGAACTTCACGGGTTCGATTCCTCTCACGGACATAAGTATGATAGTTTTTATCGGTCCGGGTGTTTTCTACGTATATGTGTATTATGCATGTGCAATATTTACATAAAATCTACGTGTTTATATCCGATGTATCCATACACAAGCTCAGCTTGTCTTGAGACTAGATGACGTTGTGTGAATTGTCCTGAGATATTACTATTTTTTTTTATTAGGGCAAGTGAACTGAGGGTTGACCTGTTAATATGTGGTCTATATTATTAATCTATTTATAATATAGAATATACGGAATTGTAATTATTATCATCAGGGAGTAAATCATATCCATTTGCTGCCGCGTTAATTTCTGCATGGGACACATTAGCAATGACTATAAACAAGAAACGACGTGATGTATCCGTAGAGTTTGAAGATATGACGTTTTATAATCAGCCGCAGTTGTACAAAGATCGAGTTCTACGTGTTACAGTTTCATTGCAGAGAGGCTGTGGGCGATTTGAGGTTGTTATTTTTTAAATATATTAGATACAAATTGTACAATTTTATACTACAAAATAGAAAATATTGTACTTTCAAAGGTTAATTATATAAAATGAACTAGCTGTCCCGGCAAACGTTGTTTTGCCATTTATTTTAATAGAGCTATTTAAAATAGGTTGAAAACTAATACTACGACGCGGGAATTTTATATATATACATACATATATATATTCTTTTATCTAACAGGTAACCTGTGGTAATGATTCACAAAGCATAATCGTCGCTGGTGTTATAAAAGCTGTTAAAACAACTGTTAAATATGACAACGAAGCAATACCACCAATGGAATTAACGAAAAATGATATATATAAGATACTTCAAGAAAGAGGATATGAATATAGGTAGATATCAAAGTCTTACTCTGTTAATTATTCATGTTAGTTGTTGCGTTGGTTGGTCGAGACGATGTACATATGTATATTACAGATTATAATAGACTGACAATATGTACATAGAAATAATGATCTTATATACTAAATAACAATAGAAAAATGTAAGGTGGGGTGACACAGTTTAGTAGACACAGCAGTGCTTAGTAGACAATATTGAATTTGTCTTACTAGACATTATTAAATGCAATTATTATTTTGATGTATCCCATAGATTTTTAGTACTGAGACGTACCACGCATAGTTTTTTATATATTTTTTATTGCACTTATATACATAGTAAGAAACAACATATTTATAAATAAATATGTGAGCAAGGTTGGGCTCTCTCTGAGAGAGATCTCTTCCAGCCAACCTAACGCTGTGACAGTGGAGAGTGGTTATTTAGCGGATAATGGTAGTGCAAGAGTTCTAAATACACAAATAGAATATTACTATGTACAGTTAATAAATCTACATATTATAATATATATATATAAAAAGATACTGTACTAAATATATTAAAGCAAATATATATGATATATATATACTTTTTTTTTGAAAGAATATAATTATGTGAACATACTTTTCTTTGTTAAATATCGTCGGCGTCTTTTCTATTCACCGTTTCACTTCCGATGGTCGCGGGTGCGATTCCTCCACAAACATTTGTGTTTTCATGAGTATAATTGTTTGTCTCGGTTTGAGTGTTTTCTATGTATAATATGTATGTATTTACAAAAAAAATATCTATCTATATATATCAGTTATGGGTACTAGACCCATAACACAAGCTTTAGTTAGCTTAACTTGGGACTAGATGGCGCGGTGTGAATTGTCCTGAGATTATTATTATTATTACTCTTACTAATAATTCTTGTAATCACGCAAAGTTTTATTAGAAAAAGTGTAATTTATGTAAACATACTTCTTGTTTTGCAAACTTTGATTCAGTTGTAGAAAACAGATCAGGCAATAAATTTACAGGATAAGAGGCATGACATCTTAAATTGATGTACATTATGTATGTAGACTCTAGGGCCTAGGGTATCACATGATAACAGAATAACTGTGATGCTGTTCCTGTATATGTATAGGGGACAGTTGTTTATCTTTTCAAAAGTACTAGGACACGTGGTGGCATGGCGGCATTGTGAGTTAGATTTTTCATGCTTCCTGAATGAATCTGCATTCCGATAAAGCAATAGAACATTTTTTTACAAAAATCCTTATATCCATTAAGTTTATTTAAATACTGAATTTATGTTTCTGTGGAACGAACTTGTTTGTGGAATGAACTCTCTCACTCACTCACGAGAATACAGCATTAGCTTTTTTTAAGAAGGGTATATTAAGGTTTCTTAGGGTTCGGCAATACGCACGTAACACCCCTGTTATGTCAGGAGTCCATAGGCTACGGTAACCATTTACCATCAGATGGGCCGTATGCTTGTTGCCACTATAGTAAAAAAACATTAATTTCATTGTCTGATAAAATATATTTACAGAGATGAATTTATGACCATTCATAAGGCAAACATTTCCATAACACATGTTAAGTTAATATGGAATAATAATTGGGTGACGTTATTAGATGGTATGCTACAATTCGATGCATTGCGATATTCAACTGACACTGTGGTTCAAATTAATCATATAAAACGCATCAATATTAATATTAAAACGCACTTAACAGAACTATTAAGCAGAGATAAACAAAGTGAAATTTTAAACGCAAGATTTGATAAACTCCAAAATAGTGTATGGTAAGTGTTTTATACATATGACCTTCGTTTCTTCTTTTTCTTTATGTTGTATATACAATAGATAGAGATATACGATGCGTGTAAGATACTAGTGACCCTTTCCGACTTCGCACGGGTGCATTACAAATCATTGAATTTCTTGGCTTTACTATGACACGCATGTATTATATATACCTTCCTCTATAAGTACATTCCTCTTGAATAATTGCATCTATTGCTGATAACTGTATTATAATCCGTTGCGTAATTTAAAAGATATAAGCATACCTACATAACAGACAACCGCGGCGACTTTGATTTATATTACTCGTATGTTAAGATAAAAGCTGATAAACACTGCTATCCTTTAGCATACTTACCAATTAATGGTCTAATTAATACTTATTCTAACATTTATTCTTCTCTGATTACTTAACGTAATAAGTAAATGTGTAATTACGACAACAGTGAATGTAAGATACACGTAGAAGTAAAATAAATGATTGGAATTGTGGAAATATTCTGTTGAATATTTCTACGTATGAGATTGTTAGATTAAAAGTTGTCAACAGCAACAATAACAATAAAAAATAAATCAGTTTTGAAATTAATTTCATTTACGATATAATTACTTTATTTATCAATAAATATTATATAGGAAGAACAGCACAATTTTTATTGTTATTACATTTTAGCTGTGGAGGAATAGTAATAGAAAACATTATACGAAAGACTAAACCAGCGCTAATGAGATATGAAATTTCAATGAAGAAATTAAAACCTATGCCTTTCATGAAGCAAGAAAATTATAAAGTTAGTACATAAATATTCTAGTACATAAATATGATGAAGTGTATACTAAATAACTGAAATGGCGAACATGCTGTATATATATATATATATATGTATATATATTAATTATATATATAAGTAATAATTACTCTATTTAGTTTAGTACTAGATTAATATGACTAGATTAGTTATGGATATAATTAATATATATATGTATATATATTAATTATATATATAAGTAATAATTACTCCATTTAGTTTAGTACTAGATTAATATGACTAGATTAGTTATGGATATAATACACTGAGTATTATATCCATAATTATTATTATATTAACAATTATATGACAATTTAGATGAATTAATGTCGATATTATATTATATCATGTTAGATCTTGTGGGATGATGAATATTACGAGCCAGTGGTAAATAAAACTATTACTACTGGACATATAGCTTTAAAGAGCACCTGCTTTGGTGATGTCGATTCATTGGAGTGGGTCGAAGTACCTGATACACCTGAAGAAGGTATAGTTGTAGACGTAAGTACAGATCAGCTACTTTCAATTAAATTATCAATACATTTCCTTTTATTAATGTTTCCTTATTTAATGAATTGTTAGTTAGAATACATAAGTAATAAAATTTTGCTGATGTAAGTGTACGTCAAGGAACTATTTTCGGTCCCTTCTGAAATTTTGTATACATATTATACTCTATAGTATGTAACAGTTATAGATTCAAGATTAATCAGTTAGCACCTGCAATTTAAGTAGTAGTTAGTAATAGATAATAAATTTAAAATTATATATACATATGACTATTTATCTATTTACCTATATCACAGATAACATACTATTGTATAGTTTCTAATAAATTTACGTTATGTTTCATTTTCAGGTTCACTATGTCGGTCTCAACATTAACGACGTTAAAAGGGCAATAGCAGAAATAGAGGATAATAAAGATGGTTACGGAATAGACTTCAGTGGATATACTGAAAGGTACAATAACTAAGCATTTCTATTGTCCAACCATTAAATACACGTAAACGGTCCAACTAAATGGGAACCTACATTTAATAAACTCATGTTTTCATTAGTTTGATGATGGCGATGGATTTCGCTTTGACTAGATTTAGGAATAAACTTTAAAGTTTTATTAACTCATAGGTATATCATATTTGTATATCGAGTCTAATATTAAAACATAAGGTTTGAATTGGTTCGTATATAGATGCAGAAACCTTTACCTGAAAATAAAAAAAATCAGTGTACAACAAAAGTATTTGCTTTTTTTTATTTATTTACCGGCCTTGGCAGCTTTAAATTTCTATCAATTGTTTAGTAGCCATAACACAAGCTCTTCTTAGCTTGGGACTAGATGGAGCTGTGTAAATTGTTCAGGTTTATTATTTACATGTCACTTGAACCTATTAACTTCGTGTATGGCATTTAACATTTTATCTGCAATCCAATTAGTTACATCTCCAAAAGTTATAATTCTTTATTGTACTGTTTTGTGTTGTAGAGGAACTCGTGTGATGGGGCTCACAAAATCGAGTTCAGCAACCAATAAAATTTGTGTCAACCCGAATCTGTTATGGCCCGTACCAGAACATTGGAGTTTGGAGGATGCTGCCACAGTTCCCTTGGCATACGCTCATGCTTTCTATTGCGTTGTAAGTATTTATTAATTATATACATTTATTTGGAAATATCTAAATTTGAGAATATTTCTAATTAATAGATTCTATATGTATATTCCCTGTTCCATCATTAACATCTATAGTAATATTAAATTTGCCAAAGTGTGTCTCTCTGTCTATTTATAACTTTTTACATGCATAAAGCTTTTATGACGTAGGCATTCCCTAAGAAAGGATTTTAATAAATTCCACCCCTATGGGGATAAATTAACGGTAGCGAAGGCGCGGGCAAAAGCTAGTATGTTATACAATACACTAAATGGTTGTTTTTATTCTAATAAGGTTATTAAGAGTCAACTGAAAACCAAGATGACTATATTCATTCATGGTGGTGCAGGTGGATTGGGCCAAGCTATTATATCCATTGCTTTGGCACATGACTGCGAAGTATTTACCACTGTTGGCGATATTCGTAAGAAGCATTTCTTAATGAAATTGTTCCCTAATTTAAAAGGTAAAAAGCAGATTTCTACAAAATTATTTATTTAGGTATTTTTAATATCTGAAATGAATAGACAGCCCTAAGGAATATTTCTCACTATCAAATAAATATAAAGTAAAAAAGAAATAAATTTAAATATAAAACAGAAGTTATGAGACTCTGGAATAAGTTATTTTTATTGCTAATGATTACATATTTCCACTAATCATTTCGATTGACAAATTTCAGAGGATCATATTGGAAATTCCCGAGATATAAGTTTCGGAGATATGATTATGAGTTTAACGAAGCAACGTGGTTGTGATATAGTCATTAATTGTACTCAAGGAGAAATTAAAAATGTAAGTTAATTTCATCCTATCTATAAACTTAAAAGTTACACAGGAATCCAACAAAATATCAAATAAAGAGAAGAGACGTAAACTAAGAGAAATGTTTATCATAATCGTGATTTTGATGTTTCTCAATCTAATAATCAAGGCTGTCAACATCGTCAACTACTATACATATACATATATCTCAATAAATAAATTATGATTTTAGACCACTTTAAAGTGCTGTGCTTCATCTGGTATCACAATCGATGTTGCCCAATTGCCAAATAATGAAACATACGATTTTGGGATGTACAATTTGACTACAGAGAGATCATATATAATTGTTGATTTCTCTTCTATATTACAATATGAAAACTACAATGACATTACAGTAAGTACCTATAATAGATATTAAACTAAAGTAATTTAATTAGTGTAAATTATTTTTAAGGCGCTGTATAATTGCTAAGTCATAATATTAAATACCTAATATTTATATGGTCACTATAAATTTTAAGAGGTCATTGATTTGGTTATAATTTGTCACAAAGATGTTAGATAGGTGGTTCCATAAATACTAACTGAAATAACTAACTCGGATTTAAATGAAATATTACAACTTTTTGTAGGGGAAGAAATGCGTTACGATGCGTTATTTTCTGTTTGTCTGATTGTTGATATTCTTAAATAATTCATCACACATAAAATGTTGAAAAAATGTTAAACGTATAATCAAGTCTAAACCGAATAGATTGCTAACAATGGCAGTTAGTTCTTTCATTGACCACGAAATATGATATTAATACTTTGCTAGTACCTATTCAATTTAATACTATAAGATAGTTAGTTTACTAAGGAGACCGGTAGCCTATGCTATGCTGGTGGTGCAAACTAGCTGGCACACCTGACAGTAAGAGATTGCTATCGCCCATTAGAATCCGCAACACTAGGGGAATTGCAAGTGCGTTGCCGTCCTTTTAAGAAAGAATAAGCTCTATTCTGGAAGGTTTCAATATCGTATCTACAGGGTGATTCCTCAATGTGGTTATGTTTGGCAAAAAGTTTCTGGAAAAAAGTAGCGTGGAGGGTCGCTATTTATCCAGATGGTTTGCAAATCAGTTTATTATTCTAGTCAAAATAGTATGTACTGTAGTGTAGAGCACATCGATCACTCCTGCATCCTCACTAACAAAATTTTATTTAGCAGTCACAAGGTTGACTATGAAAACGGGAAAATAAATGTGACGTTAGATGAAGAATGAATATAAATAAAGTGTTGCTGGTCGCTTACCGTCGCATCCGATTCGGTGCAGCTTTTAGTCAAAATAAATATTCCAGTGAGAGAAGTAATTTTTAGTCCGCCACAAGTATATTAAAGAAAGATAATGTTGTATTGTAGATGCTACAAACGTTTGTATCTGAGGGTATAGCACGAGGCTACGTACGTCCGCTGACACGCATTACATATGATCAGCACGAGCCGGTGCGGGCATTCCGTCTACTCTCTTCTAGCCAACACCGCGGTCGTGTTCTGCTACGATTATTGGATAATGAGGAAGGGTTAGACACTCCACTGATCACCAATCAGCTGTCTACATTAAAGTAAGTTTCTAATGACTTATAGTTATTGCCTTGCCTTTATCCCATTATTCGGAGTCGGCGCAGTATGTAAAAATAACATGCTTTCTTTTTCAGAGCACCCAATTCAAATCAGTTAATCATTTGTGATATACAAGACTTTGGTATTAAATTAGTACATAACCTTATAAAACACGGAGCCAAAATACTTCATCTGCATTGTCGAGACCCAAGTAGTTATCTTGAATATAAAAAGCAGTAAGTAGCTTCTAATTTTTTTCTAAATTATTTAATAATCTTAATCACTTCATTTGGGTTACTCTTTATAAATGTTAACAACAATAAATAAGTATATATATATATCTTAATTTTGTGTGATTTAGGTCGATCGACGAGGAGTTCAATATCTGAACTAGGCTTATTAGACGTTTGAAACGTCCTTAAATAACGGAGTTAAAGCAAATACATTATATATATTTAAAAAAAGAGTATTTTGCATAATGTACTTATTTTCTTTTTTCAAAGTTACTCTATTTGCTTTATAATATTTTAGATCATGGATCACACTTGGTGCACAAGTGGATGTGTCTTTTCAAAAACTAAATAGTAAAGAAGCCGTGGAATCTATGTTAAAAGAATGTAACCTCGTTGGTGAAGTTGAAGCGATACATATTATTTCTACTGGAGTGGTAGATAAAGTGTCTAGATATGAAATGAAGGCAATGCTTTCAAGCGTAGACTTGGTATCTAGGAGACTATGTTCTAAATTAAGGTAATGTGTAATAGCTTTAATTCTCTATAATCATTTAAATTATTATTTAAATCATTATCTCACATTCAACAACGTTTAACTTCAAATTACTTTTCAATATAACTATCCAATCTTTCAACAACATTGATTTCTTAAATTTTAAAATTTAATAATTTTATTGTTTTCTATTTATTAATAGCGTATTGTATTTAGTGTCTTTTTCCTTTTGAAAACAATAACGGCTTATATGAATCTTAATTAAATTTGTCGTGAAGATATTGTAACCAGAGGAAGGAAGGCTATCGTTTACTTAATATAAGCAAACGAAGATATATATAAGGAACAATTCCATCGTAGAAGCTGATAGCATTAATAAAAACTTCAGAGTGGCGGTTAAAAACCCAGTAAACCTTGCCAATAAGTCACTTGTTTATGCTTTTATTATTGTTCACAGATATTTCACTGTGATAAGTGACAGTGAGATTGGGTATGATGTAGTTGTTAACAGGTATCAAAGCGGGTTGCCATCGTTATTAGTACATTTCCAACAGGTGAGTATGGTTCTTGATTTTTTTCAAACTTTTATTATTTTGACTTTCATTACCGTCAAAAGAATGTAATTAATTAAAAGTCCTGTACTAAGAATATATAAAAAAAAGTCTTAAATTTGAAAGATTATTGATTTAAAATCACGTTTAAGTGTTTGGAGATATTTGATTATTTGAAATTGGTTGCATTATTAATAGGTTGATGCAATTACCTAATTCTTTTATTAATCATTATTAGTCATTAAGACTGATATTGTTCCAGGTCAACGATTTAAAAACACCCACTAAGAAGAAACAAACTTTGCCCGTTTTCATTGAATCGCTAGATACTATACAGAAGGCACTATTTAGTAAAGATTTAATTGTAAAAGTATTTGCGTGTCCTACGCCACAACAACGAATTATGGAAGAAATATCAAAGTGTACAGGTGACGTTTTTATATTCTATATTTTTATAAGCATACATTTTAATGGCTAAACTATAAATAAGTATATATTTTTTTATTTAATGCGAAATATTAAATTTTTAGTTTCAATAATTTGACTACTGCCACGTTTGATTCAAATATACCCAGGGGCATGTCGAGTGTTGCGTTAACCTTGCCGTTGATAATTGTAAATGCCTCTGTCTACTTCATTCGAAATAGCAGTCGTGACGATACGTTATTATAATTCTATATGACAATCACCGGTGTGCCTGTACTTAGATCTAATATTAGTGGTTTTGTAGATTATTTCATATTTAAATTCAACAATAAATACAAGTACTATATAATTTTAAACTTTTTTAATGCTTATTATAAAATAAGATATAATATTTATGTATTTCTTTATTATGTTATAGGAATCGCAATAAATAATTCCATGTTAGATAGATTGACACTAGATCAAGCAGGAGTCGATATTAAAAGAGCTAATGAGCTCTGTGTGACACTTGAGAAAACTTTTAATATACCAGTTTCTGTAGAAACGCTACTTTGCATGAAGATTGGACAGTAAGTACCTCTTTTAATACTTTTTTACTTTTAAATAGTGTGATAGCTAAATCAATAATAATAATAAATATAAGTTCAACTGATATACATAATACCTACCTACATAAAAAACACATTGAATTTTATATTGGTACATGTATTTCTATTATTGTCTATTTTAAATTATGACTTTATTTTCGTGGCACTGTTTGGCAGGCATGAGAAGCATGTGTCCAACGTTAGGTTACCCCATGCTGATGATGAAAAAGAGGAAGAGTTGTGCTATGACACAACAAAATATATATATTAGTAATCTTTTATACTTTCGACATATTGACGATTATAAATTATAATTATTATCTGTTTTCCAGATTAAAGGATCTTGACAACAGGCGGTTCAGCGTTTATAAAGACAGTGATGGTTTCGGCGCACTTTATACTTTGATAGATAATGATGAACTTACATCGACTTCAGAAATAGTGATGATGCATACGCTTCCCCACTCCACAGATAGGGTATATAAAACATTTCTTATTAATTGTTCATTCTCCCTCTGTTTTTATACTGCTCCAATCTCATACGCCACATTTGTATCTAACGTATTTGTACGCTATATGCCAGTGATAAAAAATCAACCCTTCGCAAAACTCAATATTAATTCTGATTAATTCTTAGATTAATCAGAATTAATATTGAGTTTTGCGAAGGGATTCTTAGATTAATTCTGTAACATTAAAACAATGTTACAGAATTAATCTTGATTGAGTTGATTTTCAGCAGTTATAAATGAAAATTAACACCTAAAATTAAGTTGTTTTAAAAATTTTCATATTTCAATTCAATTAATATAAGGGTTATAAAAATTGCAAAAAGTAAATATTGGCGGGAATAGTTAATGGTATAATTTAGCATCTCAGTAACGATACTTATAAAATTCCTGATTAAAAATATCCATAGATGAAGGGAGATAAACTATTGTATACTACAAAAAAAGTACTATGGGTACTAAAACGGGTAGAAGTAATTAAAAACATTTTATTAATCTAATAAATCCATATATTTTAGCGTCCGGATGAGTTAGAAAGAGGCTTAAGCTACCTATGCATAGTACCAGGACTAGAAGGACATTATAGACGTTTTGAGACTCTGTGCGAACGACTCAAGGTGCCAGCTATTGTATTACCTCCAGGCACAGATAAACCAAAAGATTCAATACCAGACATCGCACGGCGGCTTGTTAATGTACGTAGTATGGACTTTATATTATCTCCCTAATTTGATAATTAAACATTATGAGTTGTCTATTTATATGTTCATAACTTAGTAAGGACCAGTTCTGTAAATTACAAGAAGGCCTGACACCACGAGCTACCACTGCCTTTCCAATTATGAACACAAAAATTAATTAAATGTATTCAACAAGTTTCTTTAGTATAGTTTTCATACCTTACCTTACCTTTAACTTTATTGCTTGTAACTTTCATTTCAGGTTATAATGAAAAAGTTAAAACCTAAGGAATATTACTATTTATTGGGCTATGAATTTGGTGCCATGATTGTTTTAGAAATGGCTCGTATTCTAGAGGAACTTGGTATGTTTACGAGTAGTATTTTAGACTTGTTGTTGTTATCTGCACTAAACGCATCCTTTTCAGTTTTCAAATTACTACAAAATACCATTTATCTGAAGACATTTCAGTAATGTAAATTACTGAAATGTCTTCAGATAAAAGGTTTATTTTTGTGTAAATAATAATAATTAATAATATACCATCACGGCTGTCTGTTTATTTTTTTTATTCTATATGAATAAATTGGCTATTTTTTTCAAATCCGATTTGAACTCATGACCTTTCGATGTAAGTTGAAGTTGTAAACTTCTAGCCATTGACGCTTTTATATTACGCAGTATCACCACCAAACGTAATAGGATTTCAATAATTAAAAATACTACTTTTATAGGTTTTGTTGGTACAATCTATCTACTGGGCGGTACTCCAGACGATATACGTGATTCTATTAAGATGCAATTGGCCAGTTTAGGCGATAAATGGGAAGATGCACTGGCATTACATATGTATTATCTACTAACTGGTACTACATCATCACATCTTGAACAACAACTTGAGAAGACTGAAACTTGGGAACAAACGAAGACAATTTGGCTAAAAGAATTACGCCAAAAAGTAACACTATCGACGCAGTATATGCTGAACCAAATAGACACTGCCCATTCGAGGATAAAACTGCTGTTCCAATATAAGACTAAAACAACAACGGCATTACGGTCAAAAATAGTAATTTTAAAAGCCAACATGCCAAATCTGCTACGTACAGAAAACTTCGAACGCCTTTCAGAACAAGAGGTTTCTATTAACAATTTAGATGCAACGTTGACTTACGCAACAGAAGATTTAAGATGTTCAACGATCATCAACAAATATTTGGAACCAGATGTTATAGAAGTATTTGATAATAATAATCAATGTGAAACAGCTCTTCTATCTGGAAATATGTATCAGTATATTGGTATCGATAGTTAAATTGAGTACTAAACTACTTTTAATTTGGGGTAAATCAATAATTTATATACCAGTATAATATATTTTGTATTTCGGTTATTAGATGTGTGACAGAATTAAATATATTTTTGGATGGCGATGGATCTAAGACGCTATTTAGACCTAATCATTGCACAGATTGTTCTTAATTTTAATAATATTGAAAGAAGTCTACCATATTATATACTTTATATATTAACATTATATATGTTTATATGTAGGTGTTTGTATCTAATATCAATACCAATAAAAAATTAAATCATTTAACTTGAAATTGTAGTTACTTCAACTAGGTCCTAAACTCCCATCAATAAATAAATCCAATATGAAGAATATATTTGAGCATTAGTCGAAATAAAATTATCAAAGTTTAAACCAAACACTTTTATTTCCACCACATTCAATATTTAATGTAATAAAAAAACAAGTTTTGTAATATTTCCCGCAACAAATAATATGAATTTAATAGTCAATCATGAAGGTATCAGTGTTTGTCAAATATGTGTCACAAATGTTCTTCTTATCGAATGCTTCAAGGAACTCCGCAGCGATGTGTCTATTGATGTAGTTACAACATCGTAGATCTGTGGAAATATATGCCATAGGGGTATCCAGTTCATAGACTATAACAGGTTTCTGTGAGTACTGCTGTATTGTATTTCGGAGGGAACGTCCTGTAGCTGCTTGCAGTAGAATAATTTGCGACTTTAAAGCGAATGGTTTCGGTTTATATTGTCTTGCTTGGACAATTCGGCCATAGGCTTCTTCGATGTTGATGCGAGCGTATTGTGCTGAATGTGGTCCGTGACCGAGTAATGTTTTTACAGATGCGTCGATCTTTTCACGCCAAGTTGAATACTGATGCAGGTCTATTTGGTCGGCTGTGTTGCCGCCCATGAGAGTGAACAAGTGCTGCGTGATGGCATCTTGTAATTCCTCCTCGGTCTTATATTCGCTTAACTCATCTTCGAGTATTTCTAGGAAGTCTTCCGGACTAGCTCCTACGCAGAAAACAGTTCCGACCAAACCTGTTTGAAAGATTTCTTTTAAGTAACCATTTATTTACCAAGAATGCTTTACATACTAGTCTATGTTTAACACACATTAATGCACTTGATGGATGGTAAAGCAGGTACTCTATAATGGGTCTATATTTAAAGCGAAAATTCAAACATTTGCATTTAGTACATATTTTCATATAGTTATACGGCTTTTAATACGAATAATCATAGGTATTTTATTTTTTCGCTGTACAAACTAACGACTGTAGTTGAACATACTGTCAGTACCTACCTATTCGACATTGGCATTTACTCAAGTGTGACCACGGCTAGTACAACCTAGTCAAAACGTTGAGAGAGATAAACATCTTTATTTACCATAAAATCTTTTTAACTATACTAATAAGGCAAAACAGGTAGTTTGATAAATATCATCTATAGATATGAATAGCACAGGACTTAGTAAAGAAGAAAAAAATTCAAAAAACATTATTTATTGTATTGTATTATGATTTTTTTTCCTTCGAAGTCATTATCATCAACAGCTCATGTTGCAATGCTATTATAATGCGACTGTTTAATTCTGCTATTATAAGAAGAACTCATGACGGTCCGACTTCATATTATAAGTAATTGTGAAAATTTTTCTGTGTGGGGACACACAGAAAAATTTTACACAGGTAAGAACGATCCCCACAGAAGAAACCTGGATCGTGGTTCAGATTACAGGCAGGTCTGGCCGGTATGGGCTCTTGGCCTATAATTATATTTTTCATATTCCAATATGAGCAATATAAAATTGGTTTAAGACAACTTTATAACCAGCCAGTTTTCATAAATTTTCATACTGTTAAGCGCAAGCTACTATCACTAGTAGCTTGCGCTAGTTTTAGTTACCAATATTAAAAATTACTTTAAAAAAGTTTAGTCTGATATTAAATATCCTTACCATGTTTCTCAATTATCTTCGCTATCTCCAATGCTAGTAAAACACCACTCTCATAACCCAATAAGTAAAATGTATCTTTTAAACCTGCTTTCTTTAATAACAGCTGAAACAAAAATAGTCTTATTTTGTACGAGTATGTATTAGAGATGCTAATTAAAATCATTTATCCAATATCTAGCAGTATCCTAAATAGTTAAGTAATATATTGTCGATTTGTATAAGAGAAACGTTAATATAAAGCATGGTCTCTTTCTTAGCTGTTCAGCACAGCGCTTTGATTTCCATGGTTGCGGATTCGATTCTTCGCCTGATATAAATATTTGTATTCATGAATACGATTGTTTGGTTTAATCTGGCTGTTTGCTATGTATATTCTGTATGTACTACCCATAACACAAGCTCTGCTTACCTTGGGTCTAGATGGTGTTGTGTAAATTATCCTGAGATATTATTATTATTCGCATTGTTATCTTCTTACTAAACTGATATTATAAACGTAGAAGTTTGTGAGTGTGAATGGCTGGTAACATCCAACCGGATGTTTGTTACTCTTTCACGCAAAAACTATTGAATGGATTTTAATGAAACTTTATAATAATATTGCTTATATGTCGCATGCCTCTTACTTGTTACACTGTAATTATTTATATAAAAAAAACATCTATCAAAAAGAGCAACACACAAGTTTCTTGCTCATTCTTCTTGTGATGAATCTGCATTCCGAATGAGTGGTAGAATCAAAATATGACTATTCAAAAGTGCTTGTAATGAGTTTATTTGAATAAAGATTATTTCTATTTCTATTTCTATTATACAACAGAATATATCTTTACATAGTATAAAATGAAGTCGCTTCCGCATAAATCTATAAACTATGCAACGGATTTTAGCAGTAGATAGAGTGACTCAACAGGAAGATTTATATGTACTCGTAGGTATAAAACAACTACACCCGTGCGAAGCCGGGGCGGGTAGCTAGTAGGCTATAAATTTCATTCGGGTGACATCGCGGGCACAGCTAATCTATCATATATCTTACCTTGGCATATCTCTCGGCCATCTCAGGAATAGATTCGCCAATTATATCCAACCCTTGTTGTAGCACCAATGCGGGAAGCTTCAGTCGATCACACAACCTATATAACTTATTGCGGTGTCCCTCCAGTCCCGGCAAACAACACATGTATGTTTGTGTTATATCCAATTCATCCTCGCTCTACGGATAAAAGTATTTTTAATGACTTAAAATTAATCTTATAATGTCAATAGTAGTTGAATGTATAACTGTAACAATTTGAGCCAAACCAAATAGCAATACGAAAATAGCAGAATTATATTATTATTGCATATATTCGACTATCCAGCTAGGTAAATCCAATTTTGAGAAGACTCAAGACGAAAGTTTACGATCAATGTGTGTTGCCAGTGATAACTTACGCCACAGAGACGTGGTCTTTAACTGTGGGCCTCATGAGTAAGGTAAGATTCACTCAGAGTGTAATGGGCTATGCTCGGCGTTTCTCTGCGTGATCGAATCAGAAATGAGGAGATCCGCAGAAGAATCAGAGTGACCGACATAGCCTGAAGAATTGCGAAACTGAAGTGGTAATGGGCAGGGCACATAGCTCGTAGGATAGATGGCCGTTGGGGCAATAAAGTTCTCGAGTGGTGACTGTAAACCGGAAGACGCTGAGTGGGAAGGCCTCCTGCTGGAGAGCAAGGTGGACCGGACGATCTGGTCAAGATCGCTGGAAGGCATTGGATGCGAGCAGCGCAGGACCGATCGTCGTGGTGATCTTTGGGGGAGGCCTTTGTTCATTGGATGTCTTCCGGACTGGGATGATGATGACTGTGATTTTGTCACGTTTTGTATTCCAGACATGTGATACTTTTAACATTTTTTTTTATCATACTCACCAATGAATTGTTTGCAAGTGTTGGTATGGACACCATTTCAGTAGTGGCTAGCAGCTCGTCCGCCTCTACGTACGAGAAAAACGTTTGCAGACCCTTTATTGGTTTCAAATCTGATGCAAATAGAGCGTCTTGAAGTTCTTCGAACCTGATACATGAACAAAGCAATCAAGTAGATATATTTATTTAACGGCCTATGTGGTCTAGCGGTTTAGCTTATTTAGTTTGTTCCGATGGTCGCGAGTTGAGTTCTTCGCGCTATACGAATATTTGTATTGTTTGTTTCGATCTGAGGTATTTCTATGTATTTACAAAAATATATATTTATATCAATTGTCTAGTCAGTACTCTTCTTACCTTGGGACTAGATGGCGCTGTGTGAATCGTTCAGGGATATTAATATTATTATTAAAATGGTCAATATTTACGTTTTTATTGTTAAAGTTGGTATTTTCTCTTCATCGAATGAAATATGGTGTGTGTCACTTAAAAAGCAAGAAATTGCCGATAACGTTTCGTCTTGTATTCCCAGGTCCCTAAGAGTTGTTGTAGATTCAACGCTGGGTGGTAATTTAATACCTGCAAAATATTTTAATTTTTAATTTGATAAATAATCATTTTAAGCATTATTGGTAACGATTTACGTAGGGTTGCGGGTAACAATTGCATGAGAAGGATTGAATATCGTACTCAGTGGAACATATACATCAACATCATCATCTGCTTCTTCCTTATCCCATTTATTTGGCGACGGCGTAATGTGTTTTTTTCTTCCATTCATCCCTTTTCGCAGTCATCTCGTTATTTACTCCGTTTCTTACCATGTCATATTTCATACAGTTCATCCATTTGTTGTTCCTTCCTCTGCCCTTATAACCATATTCATATGTAACACTTTCCTTAAAATATTATCTTCATACCTACGCATTACTTGCCCATACCACGACAGAACTCTTCGTTTACTCTTCAATAATTACCCATTGAAACATATAGCTTATGTATAATAACTTTAAAGTTCATTTCAGTGCGTATTTAGCATTTTGTACAAGGCTTCATAATATAACTAACTTAACTATTTTAAAAGTTTGAGGGCGAGAGGAAATAATTGACGAAACTGGGCTCTGGCGCACGGAATATTAAGGTTTGTTTTTGGATGAAACTCATATTTACCAGCTATGGCTACAATTTGCTGCAGCAATGTAGGTGTCGTTACAGTTCCTAAATGCGCCTGCAGAACTGGCCGCGTGCTTCGTAAGGCGCGTTCTATGACATCTAATGCACTACGCCAGGATATCGTATTTGGAGTACCAGGGATTCCATCTTTCTGTATATAGAATAAAGATAATCAGATATTAAGAGCAGATGTAATAAATAAACAAGAACAAAGAATAGATTTCATTACGGAATACTTAGATATAATAAATATACTATTTACAGTACTTACTATTATCTAACCTTATCTAGCGAATATTGCATGTATCTCTATAATTTAGTTTTTATGCATATATAGTGTTGGACTACAATGCACTTTTGTACTAATGAAACGCTTCTAAACAAATTCAAATAAATATGAATAACCATAGAAATTATTAGGAAATACTATATTATATAAAAGAATAAAGAGGCAGGTATTATAAAAAAAATATACAAGGATAAAATTAGTACTGCATCAACATTTTCGTGTCAATAATCAATTTTATATCTTTAATAAATCAAATAAACATAAATTTATTATAAATAGATTGAAACATCAATATGCATACAAACATATTATAGACCGCTTATTAACTTTCATTGTACATAATACTACATTCTCTCAGCATTCTTAAAGCTAACCTACTTTAACAGATTTTTTTCAAAGATCAACACAGCTATTGTTTTACGTCACAAGTAGAAGTTGTAGATTTAGGTTTATTTAGGGAAAATAACTCACTTTAAAACTGGGTGGTAATGTGAGCTTGGTTGCTGGGAGATGATCGAGTGAGCGAGCGAGGCACGTCTCCTGTCCAATACTGTTAGTGCCCACCACAGAGAAGTACCTGTCATCAATATTAAAAATAACATGACCAAGGTTACTTCAGTAATATTATATCATTTATATTTTGAAATCACCTTAAACCAAAAACTTACGACTATAGAATATTTGATAAATAAGTAATAAGAAGACAGTGTTAGAAGTTTTAAAACTCTATTAATGTTTTATTATACTATTGGCTTTAACTAGATCTGATTATTACAATAATTTTCTACATTATTGATTTTAACTAGACTTGATTATTGAGGTGATTCTAAAGATCAGATGATGCTGTTAAACAGCCAAGTATACTAGACAGATAGGCCCATTTTTACATTTATAAGCTAGCTATATTTCGAAATTACGTACGCGTAGAATTTACATTTTTTTTAATTAATATAAATAATTTTCCACATTAAAAATAGCTTAGTTACTCCTTATAACATTAGCTACCTGCGAGTGAAAGTCCCGTCAAATCGGTCCAGATGTTTTAGTAATTTTAAAAACAAATTTACTAACAGTAATATACTTAAATTTTAATAATCAGGAGTAATATTTACTTCAAAGATGGGCATGTTTCCCTCGACGCCGAGTCTAAAGAAGAAAGTTTATTGGAGTCTACTTTGTCGGTAACAGTCGCCATTACATGTATCCCCTCTATGGCCGCCATCTTGATGCTGTTCTGCAGTAAGGACAACACTCCACTTGAGGTGCTGACATCCTCCGTAGACACTTCAACTTCTATACCTTGCTGTTTCCACAACCTATTAAGTAACAAATTATTATATATAGTAGTCTTTACTAGCTGAGCCGGAAAGCATTGTTTTGGCATACATATAAATTATTTCTGGATAGGGCCATCCTTATCACCTAAAGGTACAAAAATTTAAAATTCTCAGACCGATCAAAAATATAACACTAAAAAATTTCATAAAATAACGATCAAGCTATACGGAGATGTTCGAGAACATTGTGACACAAGATTTATGTCTTAGATAATAATATATATTTTTTAGTTGATTATGATTAAGATCACGTTCGTCATGTTGGATCACTCCGGTGAAAGAAATCTTTAACACTCCTTTTTCCTACCCATAAATGATCTAGAGTAAACATATTATTTTAAAATAACGATCTTCTTAATTTCCATAATTCTTTAATAGTCCATTTATCGCGGATTCATTTAAGACTATGTTTCTCGCTAAATGGACTATTAAACGCTAAAAGAAAAAGAAGAATTTTCTATTTAAAGCAATAGTTCGCGAAATAAGCGTCGTTAACGATACAAACGAAATTTTAAGCATTGTACTATTACTATAGATCCATCCACATACATTATTGATTCCTTTCACAGATACTATGTTTATCTATCACCTGATATAACAAAATTTACTCACTGAACTCTGTAAAATACGTGCGTAGACACACGAGAGAAGTGTAGTCTTAATTTTGTAGCCCCGCGGCTCACAAGTCTGTCCGCCCACTGTAGTCCGAAAAAGTTATCGTCGCACAGTACGAGGTGGCAGTGTTCCGGGGAACACTTAATCCTGAATGCAAAATAATATTTTATTTAAACGATATTTGGTTGCTGATTAATTTGGTTGGTGGTTGTTGTACACTGGATAGCAACTGTCTTATTCTGAGGAGGAAATTCAGTGATAGGATCAGTGAGAGGATATAAAACCCATTCCTAGTAATATAAATCACTATTAGGCACTGCTAATGTCATATACTTTAATAATGAATGTTCAGTTCTATGTCTTAATGATTAATTAGGACTATTAAAAATGGACTATTAATATTTGGAAAATTATAATGCCCTTATTTTAATCAAGGCTTTATGGTAATCCTAAATTTACAAAAATATATTTGTTTTCTGTTTAGACTGTATGTATACCAAAGAGTGTTATTATGGAGTTCCATATTATCATGTTACATTCTACATGCCTGTTCATCATCATCATCATGAACATTGCAATGTCGTGGCAGTATTCATGTAACATCCAAATCTGCATTTGCAATGTGCAAGTAGAATAAAAAAATAAAGAACGATTATTTAATATGTAATTTCTTGAACCAATATATGAATAATTGAAACAATATCTACTAGGAAAAGATAGCACTAAAGATAATAATGAGAATTCAGAAATAGAAGAACTATTAAGAATAGGTAGCGATGCTGAATATAATATCCGGAATGGTACCTGGGCTGTGCTTGAGACAAATCACATAGCCGCAATAGTACACGACCGCGGTGACGACTGGCGCCAAGCAAACGGAAAGCTCTACCGGCCTCTTCCGCTCCGTACGTAATACGGGACAAAGGGCGAACATATCCTCGCTTTATACCTTCACTTATCATTATTTGGATGCTCTGAAATAGAAATATCAATTATTTTCATAACATGATCTGGAGAACCTATTGCTTCTAAAATAAGTATGAAAATTTTTTTCGAAAAGATTTTTACAGAGGGTAAAATTTACCACCAAAATTCACTTTCATTTTCACTCAAATTCAAGTAACCTTCATGATAATAATAATGTTCGTGAGTGAATGAACTGAGTTCTTATTAAATATTATTGTAAAAAAAATAAAATACATAGAATACGCCAAAATTCTTCTGGGAACTGCTCGGAGTTTTCCACTCTGTCACACGATGCACCCGACACGGTGCACGGTGAATACATGCAATGCTAAGAACTTCGTCTCTTCTCATAATAAAATTTTATTTGGTTCCCTTTTATAATTTAATTATTATATTTGTTATCTATATAATATAGGATGCAATAAAAAAATGTTATACATAATTGATTTTAAACTATACCTTAATTTCTTCCTGGTTGTTGTAATAAAATATGGAAGAGAAATCTACAGGCATATAATGTCTACAGTACATCAGGTTGGACATTCCGAATCTGAAATTCTCTTCATCCGGGACGAGGGACAAGTCGATGGTGACACCACATGGTGCGCTGCAGTTGAGGGTGATCTGGACACAATCAGTCCGCCATTGTACTACTTATTTTTTAAGATCGTTGTATCTTTAGTTAATTTAAATGTATTTACTGTACAATAAAGTGTTACAAACAATTTTAATAAACAAGCCATAACATCAACGTCTTTCATTGTTAAAATAAACTTTATATGAGATCCAGTAGATGATGTTTGATTTTAATAATTATATTATTGACCAAAATAAGTAAAGTTACTTACATTTTTTAATTTATCCTTAACACAGCTGATAATAACATCGCAGCCATGGTTCTCCGTTGTAGACAATATCAAATCACCAAAAGTGTGGTCCCGAGAATTGCCAATATGGTTTTCTGTGAATAGTAAATTTAATAGATAGATAGACGGTAGATTAAAAGATCGATAACTGCGACTATTCAAAAGTGTTTCAAGTAATTTTATTTTAAATATTTTTTTATTTAAATAATTTTATTTTTATTTTCTATTCTAATAATATTTTTTCTATGTAACTCGAATTAGATAACCGACGTGGCCCATCTGATATATAAACAGCACTACCTACGGGCATCACGTTATCATGTTGCCACACAGCTTACAAAGTAAGCTGCTTGGCTTGGCTAAGTTAAGACTTAACTCCACGCATATGACTTTTAAGCTCTGGTAAATTTAGTTGATTTCTGTCAAAATTGTTTTATTGTTTACTGATAATTTTTAAATTTAAAGAACGAACGAGAAGCACCGCGTGCGCCGTTCGTCAATTTTATTGTGATGGGACAGCTTTCCGAGAGAGCTTGAGCGGTAGATTAAAAGTAAGATAGCTCTGACTATTCAAAAGTGCTGATATTAAGTTTATTTGAATAAAAGATTTTTTATTCTATTTTATTCTAAAATATAGCATAACAACCTGGTATTTCGGGGAACAATTTCCGTAGATATCGCTTCTTGCGTACATCACCAACAGTGGCAAAGACTTCGCAGCCGTTATTTAGTGCAATAGATATGACTGCTTGTCCTACTGCTCCTGTACCGCCGTGCACTAGGACAATATTCCCAGGTATCAGCTTATATTTAATACCCTGTAGAATTAAATTTTAGATATAGTTAAAATTGACGGCCTTAATGATCTAGCGTTTTAGTACACGGCTTTACTTCCGGTGGATGCAGGTTCGATTCCTCGCATGGTACAAAGATTTGTATTCATGAGTATTATTTTTTCCAAAGTCAGGGTATTTTCTATGTATATTATTAAAGTATTTACAAGAATATATATATCTAAGTATATTTATCAGTTGTCTAGTAGTTCTAGTACCCATAATACAAGCTCTACTTAGCTTGACTAAATAGTTTGAATATGTTCATTAGTATTATTTAAAGATCAAGCGCCATCTGGCGATGTGTAAAATATTAGTTAACTCTATTCATTTATTTTTATTTATTTAGTATTTTCTACTAAAACACTAATTACTCGTTAGTGCTTTAATAGACGCAAGAAGACCACTTCGTACAAAGTCATTGTTAATATCAACAGTTAATTATAACTATGAAAAAAACTTTCAAGCTACTCACCAGACAGTAGAAGGCGATAGCATAAGCCAGTGGTACTGTAGCAGCATCTTCGAGGCTCCAATGAGCAGGCACAGGCCACAACAACTCAGGTACCGCGCTCACTTTGGAAACCACAGATCCAGTTGGCACTAAGCCCATTACTCGCTCGCCGCTGTAAGTTTTACATCAGCAATTAAAATAGCAATTGTAATAAATCGATGAATTACAAAAACATAATTGAACGAATGATAAAAGTAACTGGTATGTAGCTATACATAAAATAATGACACAGAAAATATAGTTTCTGTGTTTTTTTAATAAAAATGCAAAGCAAATTAATGAATAGAAAAATTACAAAAATGAAGCTTAAAGGAAGAAAAACTGTCTAGTATTTATATCGTATATGTATGTTTAAAATAACAACATAATACATACAAAGTAAGTGTTTTTTTAAATAAAATGCAAATATAATAGTTATTACAATTAAGCAATAAAATATTAATAATATCAAGACAATTAACTAATAATATTGCCCTATCTCGTACCCGGCCCAAAGGTATAATGTTAGGTAGGTAGCTATAATGCTGGCAGCATTTCCGTGCTGAAATTCTAAAGAAATCCTTTGACCAAATAAAAATTTTCCAACATTATCTTTGACTCCCGCGTTCTTATCTAATATTAAATTTATATTTAAAAGATGAACTTGATTACTCCACTCTTCATTTGTTAAATTTTGTTTTAAAGAAGAATATTCTCTTGTTAAGTGTGCAATAAATATTTAAATAAATAAACAGTTTATTAGTGTTACCTGTCAGTGACACCGCTGAAATCCATTCCGAATGCATTCGTGTTAATTTTGCTATCTTTGTCCGAAAGTACTGTCGCACGCCTTAAGTCGTACTTATTTATCCCAGCGTAATGAACCTGTATGCAATATATTTTTTTTATTGGGTTGATTGGGCTATTGTCAGATACCTGAACCTGTAGCACTGCGGCCTACATAGATCTATTGTGCTCGCTCTATTTCAAAGTTCGCTATCTAGACCCGTCAGGGACAATAATTGAAGGATATTCTTAGGTGCAATGGTTTTTATCTCCTCGGGAAAGAGTGTAAACTTTCCAACTATTAGAGATATTTCGTTTATGCATGAGTGGGCTACAACCACATAGGATGTGTCCACTACACGTCCTACGTTTCCTCTTCAGTTTGGCAGAATCTGCAGATTTTTTTATTACTATGCAATATAAAGTCTTATATACTAAATTTAATTTTAAAGTTATACAATAGCTTTTTAAAATTAAGATTATATAATATACCTAATTCACCATCATTTCAGCTATTTCTACCAAGAAACAACAATGTTCACTAAACTTAAATTAAATAATCACAGAAAAAAAAAGTGTTATTTCACTTAAATAGGCACATACATATATATACAATTAAAATGGAATATATCTTATTAATATTATATTATGAACGCAAAAGTTTGTAAGTAGGTTTGTTATGTTTGTTACTCTTTCACGCAAAAACTACTGAACGGATTTTGATGAAACTCTACAGTAATATAGCTTATATATCAGAACAGCATATAGACTATAAATTTCACGCGGGTGAAACCGCGGGTACAGCTAGTAATTTATATAGTAGAGGGGAAGGGGGTTGTAAGTAATGGATACCCCATTGCTAGCAATAGTTAATATTAGGCCGACTTCCATACAATTCCACCTGAAAACCATCGTGTTAATAGAATAGAATAGAATAGAAAATCATTTATTCAAATAAACTTAATTTAAGCACTTTTGAATAGTCATAACAATTTGTTTTTTATCTACCACTCGTTCGGAAAGCTGTCTCATCACAAGAAGAACGAGCAAGAAACTTGTGTGTTGCTCTTTTAAATAATCCTTGTAAGTTTACATTTACAAGTCGAAACGTGTGAATACAAACTACCAACAAGCACTAATTTTTGGGTCAAATATAAATATGCAATAAGATTAAATCAGTCGTAGTGATAAGAGCAGACCAGTCCCTACAAGCAGCACTCGTTTCACGAGTATGACGGATGAGTCAGCCATCACTGCGCTCGACCATATTTTAGGGAGCCCAATGACCCGGCCCACCACGCCGCCACATGTCTGGACATTTTAGTGAGCATGACTACTCATTCCACACGACCACGTCACAGCTACAAAAATTACTATATGGTAGTTACAGTAGTCGCACTTTACATCAGGATGCATGCGGCAATCAATACAAAAGCCGCTACGCTATCATATATCAAGAAAGCAGTATGAAAATTAAAATTATAACGTTATCCGCAAATAAACTTATTCTTGCTATATATTGCTATCATCTATAAATGTATCTATCATTCGTGATTAACTCTCATTATTATTAAACTTCGCGTACCTTGACCGGTATTCCTTTGTCTTTAGGTGTTGTCGCTTCAATCCACTGCAGCGACTCAAAATCTCCAAGACGGGAACATTGTAACGTCACCTCATTGTCAACCAGAGGTTTCTCGTTATGTGATACGTAGTATTCGCTACCCCACGTACCCTGTATAACGAAATCAATTAGGTTTAATTCTATAATATTATAATATTTAATTCACTGAACAATTGACAAAACGCCATCTAATACCAATATGTTTGCTTGTTTGTTTGTAATACTTTATTGTACAACTAGCTACTCGCCCCCACTTCGCACGGGTGTACACTGTACATGTATTATATATATAAACCTTCCTCTTGACTTGAATCTATCAATCAAAAAAACTGCTGCAAAATCCGTTGCGTATTTTTAAAGATTAAGGCATACATAGGGACGGACAGACAGCGACAGCGACTTTATTTTATACTATGTATGATGATAAAATTACAAATAAAAGGACACAATTGACTTAAAGAATAAATGCATACAATGGCGGATTTACCCCAAAAAAGGGATTTCTTCCAGTCAATCTTCTGTTATATTATACTAGACAACTCATACAAATAATAAATGTTTTTGTAATTACATAATATACATAGAAAACACCCAAACCAATACAAACCATTGTACCCATGAATACAAATTTTTGTACCGCGAGAGGACTAAACCGCTAGATCACCAAGACCGTAAATTTTAACTATATACAAAAAAACTATTCTAAAAATAAAAAATACTTATATAATTTTTCTTGTAAGTACAGATGTATGGGTAGTAGATGTGAATGAATGTTACATTATGAAAATGTAACATTTGATTCAAAATTTAATCATTCGCAGGCTACTCTGAACGAATGTACTGCAATTAATTAAGCTTCTAAATCAATTTACAAAAATCTACTTACATTATTCAACATATTTACTGCCAAATCCAATTCAGGCATCTGATCTAAACATTGACTTTCATAATCCTTGCTCATGATTACCAAATATATTTGATTTCGATCTACTTCTTTCCTCCACGACGTTATCAGTTCTTTAAGTCCAGAAACTATAGGATACGTCGTTAATACTAATAGTTTGTGGTTTGAAGGAAGTGATGATCTAGTAGAAATCAACATTGGTATATCTGAAGCCGTGCGTACTGACAATGCCGTAACTTCAGATTTCGTATCAGCTGGTCTCCATCTAGCTAATTCTAAACGCATGACTTTTGAATTATGAGCGGATACTACATTGTAAAGTGCCGAAGGCCGCACTTTACAAGAATTATAGTGTTCTTCCAAATTTATGATGAAAGTGTTACGTTGAAGGACTTGATATAGTAATTGACACACCTACAAGAAAAACAAAATTGGGAATTAATTACAAATAATCAAAATGCAATGCGTAATCCTTTTTAATAGTCTCTGGACTATCAAACTTACTTAATAGAAATATTTAAAATAAATAGAAAGACAATTATTCCATTGATTTAAATTTTAACTTATTTTAGCAAAATTCGTCATTGGATGTTTCTTTTCTCATTCATTTTATTTCAACAAACCTACGATTTGTACTGTAACATATCGTTATTTACTATTTTTTATTAAGTTATCTTCCTTTTTCGTCACGAAGAAGATGTGTAAAGACCTGTTGGAGACCTCAACAATTTGTTTAGATAATTTACCCTACATAATAAAGTTAAAACTTTATTATGTAGGCCCTCTACTATGTTACTTCATTCACTTTCATAACTACACTAAATATTTACACCACTACACTATTTTCTATTACATCTTATTTTCTATCAAAAACTTAATATCTACTTACGTTATCATCTGTCGATAAATTCTTTATTACCACAAGGTCAACATTCTTCAAAAGTAGCTCGCGTTCATCTAACATCGTCTTCTCGTCGATTTGTTTAAATTGAATAGTTACTCCAGGTACATTATTAAGAATTTCCTTTACATTGTCATAAATGGCATGACTTTCATTAGATTTTATTTGTATCACATTTATAATATTTTTGTTTACATTCTCAGCTACAATTTGAAGATCAACTTGCAATGAAGATATAAGCTGCGATCATACAAAATTGAAGTTGTTTGTTAGACATACCTAATAAGATAATCATGTAAATTGTGACTGCACCACATCAGTGGTTAGATCATTAGAGATTAGGTTAAGCGCAATAATTTTCAATACACAAAGATTTAATATTCAATCGGGTTCGATTCGTGTTTTTTCTATATAGTGCGTATGTCCTATTTGATAAGAGGTATTTATTAAGTATATCTATCCGTCGTCTAGAACACATACTACAAGATATGCTTAATTTCGGAATAGATGGTGCTACATTTATTTTATTTATTTATTTATTTATTTATTTAATTAACACAATTATTTATTTAATTACATGTGTAGTCTGAAAAAAATTACCACTTATTATTATAAAAATACCTATTATGTAAGAAAAAAACTAATATTTTTATAATGATAAATATATAGATGCAAAAATATTAAAATATTTACATCTATATTTCCAGTTTGGAACCGAGGCACAAATTGGAGAGACTTCAATACGATATCATCCACAATAACTGGTGGGAGATTGTGGAACTTGAGTGATGTCATTGTAACACCGCCACAACTGAAAATAAAATTATATTCCACTTAAACAAACCTAAAACTAATGTGTCTAAGAACATTAATACCATTAATATTAATATAATTATATCAGTTATCTATTCCGGCTTCGTTGATAATATAATGTATACCTACATATATATGTATATTTATTCATATTACAGGAATTGCTAATAGTCTACGTTAAATGGTAACCGTCGCCTGTATATATACAGGAACAGCACTACGGACATCACGTTATCATGTGACTCCCGAGGTACTCATACGTTGCTATTCGAGATGACTATGATTTCGGGGTTGGTATCTTGGCTCAGGTTGTTGTAATTTCGATCCCCGTTTGAATCAGACGGGAGATCGATCGGACAGGGAAGGACTGTGATGTACAAATCTTGCATTTACCATAACATCGACAGTTGACAATGCCTCTAATTTTGCAATTGGGATGGAATTTCTTATTTAGCTTTGGATTTCTTTATAAACTTACCTTATACAATCGTACAACTCCGACTTGCTTGCTTTCATCACAGTTTTATCGTCAATTTCAATTATTTTATTGTTTGCATGATCTTGAATATTGATCAGTAATTGTTGGATTTGCTTGGGTTGCGATACACTTCCGTGAGGGTGTTTCAAAGTGCTCAGTTGGAAAAGACCATCAATAAATGTAACCCAGTTATTATTCCAAAGTACATGACCTTCTGTGAATGATTCGTTCACGTTGTACAGACTACAGAATTCATCTCTGAAAATGGCGTGTAATTTTTAAAGTATTATTCATATGAGTTACAATGAACGATAAGCTATGGAGAAGTAATAAAGCATGGGCAAGGGCAGGTAATGTAGTTCGAGGGAAAGGGGAGGTTATTATAAACGAAGACTATCTTTTAAATGAAGCACTTGAAACCTCATATCCAGTTAATGAAAATTGATGTGACATAAATAAAATATAGACAAGACACACGCAGCCTTATTTCCGATGGTCGCGGATTCGATTTCTCACACGATGTAAACTTTTGTAAACATTCACGTGTATGATTGTTTGTATCGGGCTGGACGTTTTCTGTGTATATTATGTATATATTTACAAAAGAAATCTATGTACTTATATCAGTTGTCTAGTACACATAACACAAGTTCTGCATACTTTGGGACTAAATGACATTGTGTGAATAGTCCAGGGTATTATTATTAATGTTAACGACTTTTCTAAATCGTTTTATATTTTAGGAGAAATCCGAGAATCGCACGGACCTAGATTATATATGACGTAGGTCGAAATACAAACAATACACACCTATAATAATAGTCCCTTTCGTATAAAATCTGGTAAATGTCTTCTGACTTCAGATAGACTTCTCTTGATGAGTCAGTTTGTTTTGATGAGTCGCTCTCTTTCATGTTATTTACGGGAGTTGCTTGTAACGTAGTTATGTAGCCTGTAGCCACTTTTGATTCTTTATCCAAAATCTATAAACAAAATTATCAAATTTAATAGCTGCCTTTACACGTACGCTTTGTTACGCGCGTATTGGATTTCGTGTAGGAAAGTATGTGCTTGTACCTAAATGTAGAAGACCGTGCGAAGCCGCCAGCTCACGTGTCGTATAACACAATAAACAATTTAAAATATTATTCATATGAGTTACAATGAACGATAACCTATGGAGAAGTAATAAAGCGTGGGCAAGGGCAGGTTATGCATGCAGGTAATGTAGTTCGAGGGAAAAGGGCGGTTATTATAAACGATGACTATCTTTTAAATGAAGCACTTGAAACGTCGTGGCATATCCAGATAATGAAAATTGATGTTGCACGCGTTCTTCAATCTCCCAAGCTTTTTCGCCTATTTATAATAATAATTATCATTGCAATCTGACTATTGAGCAATGACATAATTATGAAGTTATTGATAATTTATAAATCGGGTCTTTGGACTATAAAGTCTGTAGAATATAAAATAGAATTTTAAAAGAAAGTCTAATGATATGAATCATACGGGCAATCAATCGCGAATTGTGAAGAAAAAAATTACTTAAATGTATCACGATTGCGCGCGCTGACTTTCCCGCGGTAAATTACGGGCAAATGGATGTATCGTGTGGCATTGAAGATAATACCTTTACATGATAAAAAAAGTAGCTCATTCTATTATGATAATAGAATGAGCTTGAGTTAGGTCAGTTAGCCCATTATGACAAATTCACCAGAAATTTATCACGATGATTACCAGGGTGAATATAGTACCTCAAAACGTCCAGTGCCCCTATGCAGCGTAACAGATAACTTGAGATATCTGCGCTGGTGTAGTACAGGCTGCGCGTATAAATGAACGTTGGTGAACTCCACGGACAAGTTGTGTTTGGGCTCGCCGGCGGTCATGGTGAACGTGTCCCACGCAGCTACCAGCGCCGCGGAGAACGGCAGCAAAGTTTTTTCTGCAAACAATTTAAGCTATTTAATTAAATTCATTAATAAAATGAAATGGGTTTTCGGTTCACGCTTAAAAACATGACACTCAAAATATCATATAATTTTATTGTAATATAACACTTAAAATAAAAACAATAAAATACACACAAAACCTAAAAGAAACATTAATAAGAATTAAAAAATAAGTATACATATATTTAACGAAAGAAAATAGATTTTTTTTTGTAGTATATGCATAATCCTAAGTTTACCCTCTTAAGTAGGTATTTATTACCAAAATAGTTGTCGTAATATAAATTTATATGAAATGAAATTAATACATCTATATTAAAATAGTATCACAGAGATAAAATTTGTGAGTTTGAGTAGACAATATCAGATACTGCAAATTCGATTTTGATAATTATTTTAATTTTGCATAGCTCATCTAGAAAATATATATAGATCAAGAAATCTATAGGTTATATAAGATTACGCTGTGACCTATAGCTGCAATGAAAAATTCTTTAGCAGTTTAAAATTGAGAGGAAATAATACACAATTATTATATAACATTTTAGTAAATTGAATTCTGCAGATAGCTTCAGGAACAAACATATTTACTCGGGATTTTATATATCAAAAATGCAATCTTTTTACAGAATAACTGTAGAAAAATGCCTTATTTCCCATTCATTGGCAGTGAAACTGAAAATGGTAATACAATTGTTATATCATTATATAAATTATAGAAACGAGTTGCCATTAAAAAAATAAGATTACCTCTAATAACATTTCCCTGAAGATATTTGTACTCATCGTCGTGAAGAGTGATGGAGAAAGTGCATGCAGCTGCCGTATTCTTGTTTGCTGACTTATATAATGGTATTTTCCTGAAGAGAAACATTATATAATTATGGTTTTGTTTATAGAATAGCGATATATAACCATTATACTATTACAACAAACTAACCCCCTCCGATCGATCCCCGTCCAGTTCAAACGGGGATCGAAATTACGACCGCCTGAGCCGAGGTTCAAACCTCTAGCAGTGCCTTCAAACTAGAGTCGTATCCGTCAGGCGGGAGTTGGCCTTCAGCCGCTCCATAAGTCCTCCCACGGGTTTGGAATGCCATCTGCACTCGTTGGGGACAGTGCAGATGGCACTCCAAACTCGCTCGGTGAAGCTGTAAAGACCAGCTGCAGCCAAGCATTAGAATAGTTCGAAAAAGTCTACTAACATACCGTTTATATAAATCTTTTTTTAATTGTTTTACATGTGTGTATGTGTATGTATGTCTACATATATATATATCTATGTGTGTGTTAATAGTGGTTAGCAATAAATGTTTTTCTTTACTTTCTGTATACGAGTAATAATACCCTTCTCTATTGTAAAGAAAGCGATTTTATATACTCACCACTCTTCACTGTGGCCCCACTCAACTAAATGCGACAGGAATGGAGTTTCAGTGGAAACAGGAAACTCGATCTTTGGATATAAAACTGACAAGTTGGGACAGTAACCTGCCATGAATAGCCTGAAACAATAACAGGTATTAGGGTTTCTTCTGTAAACTAACGACCCACTTGATGGTAATTAGTAATCTATATATAACTCAAAGGTGACTGACTGACATAATGATCTATCAATGTACAGCCCAAACCACTGGACGGATCGGGCTGAAATTTGGCATGCAGGTAGATGTTATGACGTAGGCACCTGCTAAGAAAGGATTTTGATTAATTCTATCCCCAAGGGGATAAAATAGGGCTTGAAAGTTTGTATGAAACTTTGTCAATTTTAAATCGGGCTGAGACTTGCATGCATAAAGCTACTATGATGTAGGCAATCACTAAGAAAGGATTTTGATAAATTCCACCCTTAAGGGGAACGCGAGCGAAGCCGCGGGCAAAAGCTAGTGTCATATATATACAAGTCGATGGAAAGAAAGCGATAATACTACGGACCTCAAAAATAGTTCAATAAAATATTAAATTATTATTAAACATGGTGTATGTTGTGACCAGTTTTGACGCAATATATAATAAGAAGTTCGCAAATATGTGAAAATATGCAAATAATATTCAGAAAGAAATTTTGTTTTAAGTTGACGGGAAAGGGATGTAATCATTAAAAAAGGATTGAAAAACGTGTTTTATCAAAATAACTCAATAACGCTAATACGAAAAAAATTTTAAATAAAAGTTGTAAAGAAAAATGAATCTGCAAAAAAGGTCTTTTTCATTTTTTTATTATCTGCTATTGTTTACCCACAAAAATTAAAATCCTAATTTATCGGCCGGACAGTCAGTTTACCATAGAATTATTCGTGTCAAGACCCAATTAAGTATGTTATAAATTACTAACTTGCCAATAGCTTCAAGTAAATACAGTGAATTGTCTGCGTGTCCTCGTTTGGTGAGAGGTATGTTGATGCACGTTGATGGCAGGGAACGTTTGAAGATCGCCTGGAGCAGACCGTGCGGAGCCACCTCCACGAGGACAGCATTCGAGGGTATGAGACGAGCTGCTTCCTCAAATAGCACCGGATTCTATTAATCGTAACGTATCTTGTATATAGAGACAGCCGTATAAGTACCAAGCTGAATGATAGTGGTCGTATTCAAGAAAATGAACAAAGAAGCAAAGTGAAAATTTGAATGTAGGCTTGGTCTTCTCCATCTTCGATTAAACTAAGAGCTAACTATGTTTCCAGTATTATACAGAGTTGTGATCTACATTGACTCTCTTTTGTGTAAATTTTCGTTTGATTTTTTTTGTCATTATTGTTGTGTCAATGAAATTCTTTTCTATTCTAAATTATTAATTTAATACTATATAAACTAAGCCTACTTCCAAGCCAAGCAAGATCTAAATGTTATTTTTAAACTTTCGTGTTTAATATACGTTATTCATGTTGTTAACCCGATCTCAACACGAATTTTATGGTAAATGAAGGTACACATTTACCTCTCCCGCAGTTTCGAATAGGTTGCACTGGAGAGAGGTAAATACCTTTATTTACCATAAAATTAAGCGGATTAAGACGAGGCATTTTTTTTTATTTATTTATCTTGTAGTATTATGTCTGGTCTGTTGTACTGAATAGTCTTATCATTAATTAATTATTAGTATAGCCCGATCGTAATATAATACATCGTATATAGTAATATGCGATGTATTTTCTAACAGGGTATTGGGTGTATATTTGTAGTACGAAGCTTTTGTGTTAAGTTGTATTTATGTACTAAATTTTTACCAATAAAGTTGGCTAGTTATATGAAGATGATGAATGTGATGACGAAAGAAATTTTCTTACTTAATAACTGTATTTATTATTATATCATACCAGTAAATTGTTGGTGTGGTATTCAGCCGAGGAATACTTGGCTGCTGGTTCGTTCCACTTGTCCTGGGGTACTGATGTGGACACCCAACGACTGCTACGGGCTTTCGGTGTTTTTATGACTTCAGACAAATACTTTAGTAGCCCAGGTCCTGATAATTAACAGAAGGATATAGCAGTAGGTTTCGAGGATGTCTTTTTAAATAATGCTCTCAAATCCTCAGAGAAGAAGCAACTTCTATTGGATCCCCTTGAATTATATATAAAGACCTAGCTATGACTGTGTGATTCCACTCACATGAAATTTATAGCCTATAATTATTCTAATCTATAAACTATATTACTGTATAGTTTCATTAAAATCCGTTCAGTAGTTTTTGCGTGAAAGAGTAACATCCATCCTTCCAGACTATAGTTGCGTAGCCGGTTATTAACGATTTAAAAAATGCATTTTTATTGTTAACGGTTAATTAACCGAATTTTAACGGGTTTTAGAATCATATTATTATTTTATTATATATCCATCTATTCATCAATACTCACAAACTTTCGCGTTTATAATATTAGTAGTAATAAACATACCAGCATCAGCGATGTACCGTGAATGGTAAGCAATATTAGAGCATGGAACCTCCTTCGCGAAGATCCTCTTGGCAGTCAACTGGGAGACGAACTCCTTCATGACATCAGAGGGACCGGAGATGGTACATGAGTCGGGCCCATTGTGACATGCGACCTGGATCTCTTGTGGACACATGTCTTTGATCTAAATAAAAAAATACTAGCTGTTACCCGCGCCTTGGTGTGTTTCAACTTTCATCCCTTTTTTTAGACCCACCCCGGGTGAGACTAGCGGGTACAATGAGATTCCTACTTTACTCCTATTACACTCACTACCGTCTATTTGACACACAAGAATATATATTCTTTTGTGTATTGTTAATTTTAAAATTGAAAATAAATTAATATTGTTTGTATTTTATATTATTTGTCTATTATAGTATTTTGCTTTTTTATAGCACAGGGGACAAACGAGCATGCAGCTCACCTATTGGTAAGTGGTTACCGCCGCTCATGAGCACCCGCAACACCAGGGGAATTGCAAGTGCATTGTCGGCCTTTTAAAAAGGAATATGCTCTTTTCTTGAATGTTTCAATATCGTGTCGGTTTGCAAATACCATTACTGAAGGTGATTTCACAATGTGGCTGGTTGTTGTGTTGTTGGTAAAAAGTTTCTAGAAAACCGCACTGTGGAGGACCGCCATTCATTCAGATGATTAGAATGGTATTTTAAATTAATTATAGTAGATTTCGACCACTAGTTTTAATAGTTCGACATTGTACTAAACTTACCTCTTCATAACCAATGCCAACAGCCGCCATTGATCCTCTAATAAACGGGGTCTGTACAGAGACCAGACCACGACTGTACGCCGCCAGGATCATTTCCTCCGCTGTGAAGCAACCGTCTGCGTACGCGCATCCCAGCTCACCTACACTGTGCCCTACACAACATAATATAAAGTTCAATCTCAAATGACACACTCAACTGAACCCCTCCGATCGATCACCCGCCGAATTCAAACAGGGATCGAAATTACGCCGACCTGAGCTGAGGTCGAACCCCTAGCGGTGCCCTCAGACTAAAGTCGTATCTGTCAGGCGAGAGTTGGCCTTTAGCCTTTCCATAAGTCCGCAGGTTTGTAGTGCCATTTACACTTTCGCTCTATCGTAGTGTGAAGCTGTAAAGGCCAGCTGAGGCCAACAGCATTAGAGTAGTCCGTAAAAAAATAAACTTTACAGTAAGAATTATAAAAATCTTGTGTCGCAATTTGTTACCAAATTCCTTCGAAACGGCTTTATCGACGTTTATGTAATTTTATGTGCATATCGGGTAGGTTCGAGAAATGACAAGGGTTGACCCACATACATATATTTTTTTATTTTCTTGATAATTTTTTATAAATGATTTGCCAATGAAAAATACTTTTAACCCTAAATGTTCACCCTTCTATCATTAACCCTTATTTTTAATAGCGATATTATTTTAGATGGCAGTACAACGTTTGACGAGACAGTTAGTTATTATTATATTTCTTATTGTTGTTGTAATAATAACGCTAAGAAGTTTTAGCTTTGTAGTATGAGTCCATTGTACAATGTTCATACAGTCAGAACCCATGCTAGATGGAGACAAAGTGGGAGTACCTTTATTGCCACGGAGAACAACGAAGAGATACCATCATAAAAGCCACGACCACACTGTCAAGAGTGAACGACTGAAGAAGAAGTCTAAGTGTATAATGTGTTCTTTACAAGTAAAATAATATTTACCAATAATATTATCAGGCACAAGTCCGAGTTCATTTAGGATGTCGGTGAGACCGATCTGTATGGCGGCGATACCAACGAACGAATGGAGAATGTTATCGAAGATTGTCTTGTCAGTCGATGTGATTATATGTACTATATCCACGCCCTTCGGTTCCAGCACCCGACGGCAACTGTATAACGAAATATTGAAAGCAGAGCTTGTATTACCGATACTAGACAATTGATAGTTACACATTTTTTTTGTAAATATATACTTATTCATAAATAATGATAATATAATATAATATAAGCCCGGAAGACGTCCACTGCTGAACAAAGGCCTCCCCCAAAGATCTCCACGACGTAGATCGTCGTTCCAGCGATCTTGACCAGATCGGCGGTCCACCTTACTTATTATGCATAGAAAACTCCCAGACTATTACAAATAATCAAATCATATTCATGATTACTCATATTTGTATCGTGCGAGAAATCGAACCCGCAACCACAAAAGAAACTCACCGTTCAATAGCGCCTGCAAATATGGGTATACGCATAAGTTGCGTGCCCATACCAGCCCATTGCGAGCCCATCCCGCTGTAAACGAACCACAGCGGCCGCTTCGCATCGTCGAAGTACTCCACATTCTCCACCAGGCCCACTGTCTTCTTTTCCTTGTTAGTACCTGCAGAAGAGAATATAACAGAATATTTATATACAAGCTCACCGTCTTCTTCTCATTATTAGTACCTGCAGAATATAACAGAATGGTTATATACAATACCCCAATAAACCTACGCTCTTACACACGTGGTTATCCTTTCGCGCAGGAAAGAATGTGCATGTAAATGTAGACAAAGAGAACTAAAGAGCACGCGCCGCTAGCTCGCATTACCGCGTTCTTAAATCGTGCGTGCATTAGTGCCATTTTGTAATAATAAATTATAATTACAAAATTGCGGATTATATAATTGTAGAGTTATAGATAATATATTTTTCTTATACGTATTTTTGTAAAATCTGTAGAATAAAATCTAAAATTAAAAACAAAAAGTGAAATGACATTACATCAATTACACGCGACATTAACACAAAAAATAGTAAAATGCAATACACACTATTGCGTACGCTTTCCCGCGCTAATTAGCGCTCGCTCCTTATTATGCGAGAAAGAACGTGTCATGATAAGGCAGCTAAAACCTTGTCTGTGACTACCATCTGTATACAGGTTTTGTGGTAAATAGTTTAGCCCAAAGTCAGGTTGAACACTCACTTTCATCAAAAAATAATTGGAAAATTGAAACTCACCCGGTCGATTAAGTATGAAAAACAATCTAGGTATAGCATTTCCAGAGTTCCACTTTGTATTATAAAAAAAATATAATAATAATAATCTCAGGACAATTCACAGAGCGTCATCTAGACCCACGTTAAGCTAGCTAAAGCTTGTGTTATGGGTACTAGATAACTGATACATATACATAAATTTTTTTAAATACATACTTATTATACATAGTAAACACCCAGACCGATACAAACAATCATACTCATGAATACAAATGTTTGTGCCGTGCGAGGAACCGAACCCACGACCATCGGTTGTAAAGCAGTGTGCTAGACCACTAGACCACCGAGGTCGTCAAAAATATATATTAGTCATTAGTTACTCAACTGACTCCTTAGTTTTATATAGCAACATTACCCTAAGTCACAGCGTTTAATACCATATGTTTTATAAAAATAAACTCATGGATCGCAAAAAATTGCAGATAAACAAGAACATAATATTAAAAAAAAAATTCCACTTAAGCCAAACAGACCAGTTTCGTATTTCCTATACAGCTAACTCTGATTAGAAAGATATCTGATATTTTACCAAGAATAACGTATCCTCTTCCCAAATGTCCAGGGATTTTGTTTCGATATATATTATGTAGAAGAGCAATTTGTTCAGGATCTACGGTCCGCGACTTCATGTCATCCATAATTAGCTTCACGCCGGACTCCTGGCGTGCTGACAATGTTACGAGATGTGGTATGTTGGACTTGTATCGGTCCAGATCCTGAAATTTAGGTATAAAATTAAGACTATGAACATTTATTCTATGTAGTACCAAAATTTTTAGGTACTACGTAAAGACTATGTACATATTTTGGTAGTGCCTATACTATAAACACATAATTTATTAGGTATAAAATGCAAACTGTCTTTAGAAAACTGAGTAAATTTAAGTAGTACCTAAATTATAAACACAGAGTTTATTAGGTATGAAATGAAGTTATAAACAAATTTAGGTACTACATACAGACTACATAATTTAAGTAGTACCTAAAGTATAAACAGAATTTATCAGGTATAAAATGAAGACTATAAACATTTTTAAGTACTTATGGTAGGTAGTGTCTAAATTTGTAATTAGGTGTCTTCATGAAGTTCATTCATAGATGGAGACTATTTACAAAGTTTAGTACTAAATGGCTGACTATGAAATTTTGCTGCTTGAATATCAAACTACATATAGTTTGACGTCAAGACAAGGCAGTGAAATATGTAAATGAAACTTTTAAAGAAAGAAAGAAAGAAGAAAGAAAGAAAAATATTTTATTCAGTGCAATGTAAAAAATACAAACTTTAAAACTATGCAGCTATACTTTTTTAAAACTAAACCATCTCTCATCTTGTTGTAATATGTAGATTAGAATTCTAGTTACCTTGGGCTTATATCTTCCATGAAGTATGACGTGTGCATTCACCCCAGTGACGGAGATGCCATTTATTGCAACATAAGTTCTGTCAAATGGTTGATGTTCAGACAAGATGCGTATACGTCCCTCTCGAACCGCGTCTATATCGTCTCGTGGAGTCTCATAGTGGAGGTTAGCTGCTAACTTCCCTGTATGATAACCTAATAAGACCTGTAGGTGTATAGAAGATACTCAGATAAGTACTGGCATTTAATATGGAAAAAAGCAAAAAATAATCCATTATCCCAGTAACAATGCCGGCTATAAAACCTGCACACGAAATTTGGAAAAAATATACAGAGTTAATAGTAAATACCTTCATAATTGATGATATTCCGGTAGCAGCTTCACAATATCCTATGTTCGACATAACACTCCCAACTGGTAGTGGATTCGTTCTGTTTTCGCAGTAAGCTGCATCTATAGCGTCCAGCTCAGATTTGTCGGATTCAAGAACAGCTAAAAATTATCATTTCATTAGACATTGTTCAATCTCTTAAAAAGCCTTAGTCGTTAATTTTAAATCTATAAAAAGCATTCCTTTTAGGCTAAAAAGAAGGTTCGAAAGTGTTTCCGATTCAGAGTTCTTCATATTTTATTTTTTGTCATTCATCCAAGTTTCCTATAGAAAAAAGAATGACACGATCCGTTTTGAGTCATCGTTTTTTCTGCATGACGGATAGTTTCATTAATTCTTATTTCAACTTTAAATTTATTTAGGTAATAATTTTCCTGAACGTATTTAATTCCAAAATACACTATTTCAACTCTGAGATACTTTAAAGGTCGCATATTTCTTTATAGTCAATATTTAATTACAAAATTTATACCTGATCCATTAGCTTCAACATATTCAATGTCCGAAGGAGATACATTTGCTTTATTATAGACATCCTTAATAAAATTGGCAGCGATTGTCGAGTCACGGAAGAAACCGTATTTAGGGCCCGACACACCTTCCAAAAGACTGAGGTACTCAGCTTTTACACCTATTATTTCTCCATAGACTCTGGAATGTTAGAAAACTTTAGTTTGTAAACGGTGTTTAAGTTGTAAGATATGATTTGGATCTGATATTACTGAAATTAAGGAGCACTACATCTTAGTCCCCTGGAATGAGTGGTATCAGGAGTGTTACATGTTAACGTGATATTCGTAATATATGGGTCATGGTTACTGATTCCTATTACATAAAAAATGTCATTAAGAAGATTAAATTGTTCAGTATTTGTTTCGTTACCTCAAAGCATCTTTCGCCTTCTGTAGGAACAATACATTAACAGCCTCCGATTTTGAGCAACCACTTGCATTTTTGTCGAAACATCTCGTTTTACCGTCCATAGATAAAGTCATTATCCTGAATGAAAGCATGAAACATATATTTGTATATATTATTATTTATTTGTAACAGCAGAAGCTTCACTTGAGTATTCAACGAACACTACAAATGCTAACATTTCTAAGGATGATGTACGAATGTTTGTTACACAAACAATATATATACTAAAATTCATTTAAATCTCATCCCGTAGGGCAGAATGCATCGAAAGCATGGAGTACTTGTTACTCAAATTCACAAAGGTAACAAGGAATACATCTACTGTAAAAAATATAACATGCAGCACATGTCTATCATAAAGCTTTCTTCTAATTAATCGGTAAAAGATTTTAATTCTAAGAAAGAGATAGTCACATTGTGCTTTACTATATAGAGACAAAGATATATGTTTTTTTTTAAATTATGTATCTTGTCGAATTGCAAAATTATGAATCCTCTTGAATCGTGTCTGAGCTAACTTGATTGCCTTGGTTAAAAACCTTTATTGAATCCTATATCCCAAAAGCTACCATCAACCAAAGTCGGGCAGACGAAGTTACAGCCAGAAGTTAGTAAAGTATAAATAAAGAAAGTAAAAGTAAAGGAACTACTATAATAGATAGAAGACTGTGTATGAAGACACAAATGCGAGTCTTCAACAATAGCGCCAACGAAAACCTAGTAAAGTATAAATAAACAAATATATAAATTAATTACCTTCCGTAATGGATAGAAGACTGTGGATGAAGACACAAGTGTGATCCTCCAACAATAGCAGCTATGCAGTCACCTCGTGTCAAAGCGAGGTACGCTTGTTCTAGCGCCGCCAAAGAGCTGCAGCACGCGTCGTCCACCGATAACGAAGGTCCCTTGGCATTAAGCCAGTAAGAGATACGGTTTGCAAACATACTTTTGCTGCACCTGAAACAATAACAAAATTATTTCAATGTTATACACATTGTACACAATTTACTTTTCTTTACGAGAGGTGTAGAATAAGTTAGGCATACATGTTAGTGTTGAGATAAACTTGATATCTTGATTCACTGTTCAGAAATCATAAATTCGACACCAATATTTAGACATCGGCTTTTATTAATAGTAATATGAACTCAAAGCCCTATTATTAGTCAATCTCGAGGAGGTCCCCTATGGATACCATTGCAGTTAATTTCTGGTAAATTCGCTTCGTTCTGTTTACTGTCTACATGTTACAACCTTGACTTCTATTGTCACTCTTCAGAAATCATATATTCGACACCACCATTTTTACATTGGCTTTTGTCAGTAATCCGAACTCCTAGCCCCATTAAGGGGTTATCCCTGCGATGGATCCCCCATCCAATTGAAACGGGGATCAAAATTACGACGGCCTGAGCCGAGGTTCGAACCCCTAGTGGTGCCCTCAGACTAAATTCGTATCCGTCAGGAGCTGGCCTTCAGCCGCTCCATAAGTCCGCGGGTTTGGAGTGCCATCTGCACTCGCCCCCTAACGTCCGGTGAAGCTGTAAAGGCCAGCTGCGGCCAACAGCATTAGAGTAGTCCGAAAAAAAAGAAAGCGGTTATGAGTAATACTCATGTACAAGGTCGGGGAAATCTCGATGTGGTCCCCCACAGAAACCACTGTAGTTAATTCCTTATGAATTCGCTGCGTTACTACGTTACTAATTCTAAATGACTTCACGTTCATCTTAACATATTCCACTGTTACCCCACAATGTAGAATACATAGAAAACATAGATATATCAAGAGACACTTATGAAAACAAATATATTATATTATATTATTATGTATTGTATAGGACTTTTCTTAACTATCACGATTTGTTCAAATACAATGATTGTAATTGTACATACCCAGCAATACCAAATCCTGTTCTTGCTTTAGCAACGTAAAATGAAGATTTTTCAGTTTCCGAAAAGCATGAACCGACGTACACTCCAACCTTCTTGCCTGAGAGATCTTTGGGGCTCACGCCTGAAAAATAAACACAAATAACGAAATCAATTGCACACGACTATTAGATATAAAACATACTTCATCTTCTTTGCTAAAGGGAGTGGCTAGACTTCCAACTTAACAGGAGAAGGTATTGTTAGTAAATGGAACCCCTTGTAACCAGTGGCGTATTGCCGGGAATAGACTACGCTACGTCACTGTTGTAATGGATAAGTCTGACTCAGACTCATCCAGTAAGGGGCCCATAATAGTAATATTATGGGCCCCTCAAATAGTACTACTAATTCTAATACTACTAAAAATAAAATGCAAGATTAATAATACTATTTATCATTACATAGTATAAAACTAAGTCGCTGTCGCTGTATGTCCGTCCCTATGTATGCTTAAATCTTTAAAACTACGCAACGGATTTTGAAGCGGTTTTTTTTAATACATAGAGTGATTCAAGAGGAAGGGTTGCACCTGGGTGAAGCCGGGGCGAGTAGCTAGTAATACTAATAATAATAATATCCCTCTACAATTCACACAACGCCATCTAGTCCCAACAGGGTCAGTAGAGATTGTGTTATTGTTATTAGACAACTAATAGATATACAAATATTAACTGATTGTATTTAAGTATCTTACTTAAATACAATCTTTTTTGTATATACATACATAATATTACATATATAAACATCCAAATTAAAAAACTCATGCTCGTAAAATATTTGCATCATGCAACTACCTAATAACCGAACCAGCGACTATCAGAAGTATAGGGGTTAAACCGTAAGACCATCAGTTCTTGGAAGATATTACTAATATGCTTGGGGAAAAATGATAGATTTATAGATAATGAATAAAATTATTATTAAATAATTTCGCAACATGTATAAACGTGTGACCGATTTCCTTGAACCCTTATTCTTCCTTCTAGATTGTTTACAATACGACCATAATGTACAATGGTAATTAAAAAAAAGTAATTAATTATGAATAGCAATACATAATTATGTGCAAATTATACCAATATGAATATGCAATTAAGTGTTACGATTTCCTTCATAAATTAATTAGTACTTTATTTATGAAAAGTTTATTGTATTGTACCTATACCCTACTCGTACAAATAACAACATAGTTTTGTTCCCCTGAAACAATAAATAATAGCTCTCGCTCCCATGGGAATTTCTTAATTTCTTCTAAGTGCCCAAGTCAGCCAATTCACACATATTATTTATTTACTTACTGTTTATTGTACTAGAAGTAAATAAACATAAAAAAGACCGCCTTATGTGCTTTATTACTCCATAAGGCACAAAAGGCGCCCTTATCACATAAGCAATCTCTTCCAGACAACCTTTGCGTAGAGGAGAGAAGACTAGAGAAATAAAAAAGGCATAGCAATATTAAATATCAATAATAATAATTAACATATACTACTTACATATATATGTATATATATAAATACATTTTATATAATAGTACATGCATTATTGCGTTTTTAGCGCTGTTTTATTATTTTTTTAATGTAGGTGGCCAATAGTGGACATCCATCAGGGTAAATTAGCCAAGCCCAGATTACCAGATTAAAGCGGTCATGTCATGAGATGACCTGAAGACTATATGACTATATGAGTACTGAACATCAATCTAGAATCAAAGAAGCGTCGAAGATCTCGACTTATATTGGTAGACGCCATCAAAAAAGATCTTTTATGTGAAAATATGGACTCAACGACAGGCCAGACAAAAAGCCTCAGGAGACGAATGATTAGGAGAGCCGACTACAATAAAGATGAGAGAAGGCTGGAAGAGTAGCAATGACGTCTAGAAACACTACTCTTCTACATAGAACTTAGTTAAAATTGTGTTACCTAAATAAACAATTTTGAATTTTGACTTACCGGCATCGAAAATGGCTTGATAAGCTTGCTCCAGCATCTTTCTAGACATTACATCCATGTTGCAAGCAAGTCGATAGTGTACCTTGAAGAATTGAGCGTCAAATCGGTCTAGATCAGGTATCTTTCCCGTGTGATGAGCGACTTCTGGATGGTTGTACGTCCAACGCATGTCTTTGTTAGAAATTGGGTTTACCTGCAGTATTAAGTTTTTTATTAATTAAAAGAAATATATCAGTATATGTATCAATAAAAAAATGTACATTAAAAATATAGTTTTTTAATTAAGGTAGCTAAGTGAGGTAAAGCGGTATATTTGCAGGATCCTTAACCTATGTGACATTTCTGAGTGTGTGTTACGCTTCCTTAAGCGTAACACCTCAGAAATGTGCCATAGTATTTTATGATGTACCATTTACCAGCTGGTTTGGTTTTTAAGTCACATTTAACAGATTGAGGATTTTAAAGATCATCCATACCAATTTTATTAATACGACAATGAGTCGTCTGTTTTTCTTTTATATTCTTGCGACTAAACGCCTGAATAGATCTCATTTGATCTCAATGAAGTTTGGCGTGAAGAAACATTAGACATAGACCTTATTTTATCTAAAAACGCAGACGCAATCGTGAATAACAGTATTACTATCGTAGTGGTAACAGTAGTAGTACCATCTATTATTCTCACGTTGTTGCAGAGTATATTGGAGAATTCTTTGACATTACGCGACTATGAGTAGACTTCCGCCATACCCGAAATAACAATTCTACAGTAAAGTAAAGTATTTATTATTCTCACGTTGTTGTAGAGTATATTGGTGAATTCTTTAACATTACGCGACTTTGAGTGGACTTCCGCCACACCCGAAAAAACAATTTTACAGTAAAGTGCAGTATTTATTATTCTCATGTTGTTGTAGAGTATATTGGAGAATTCTTTGACATTACGCGACTTTGAGTGGACTTCCGCCACACCCGAAAAAACAATTTTACAGTAAAGTGCAGTATTTATTATTCTCACGTTGTTGTAGAGTATATTAGTGAATTCTTTGACATTGCGCGACTATGAGTAGACTTCCGCCATACCCGAAATAACAATTCTACAGTAAAGTGCAGTATTTATTATTCTCACGTTGTTGTAGAGTATATTGGAGAATTCTTTGACATTACGCGACTATGAGTAGACTTCCGCCATACCCGAAATAACAATTCTACAGTAAAGTACAGTATTTATTATTCTCACGTTGTTGTAGAGTATATTGGAGAATTCTTTGACATTACGCGACTATGAGTAGACTTCCGCCATACCCGAAATAACAATTCTACAGTAAAGTACAGTATTTATTATTCTCACGTCGTTGTAGAGTATATTAGTGAATTCTTTGACATTACGCGACTATGAGTAGACTTCCGCCATACCCGAAATAACAATTCTACAGTAAAGTACAGTATTTATTATTCTCACGTTGTTGTAGAGTATATTAGTGAATTCTTTGATATTACGCGATAAAGCATAGACTTCAGCGATACCCGAAATAACGATTCTACAGTAATAGTACAGTACCATTCTCATGTTGTTGTAGAGTATATTGGTGAATTCTTTAACATTACGCTACAAAGCGTAGACTTCAGCGATACCAAAAATGGCGATTGTACAGTAACAGTAAAGAATCATTCTCACCTTGTTGTAGAGTATGTCCGAGAATTCTTTGACATTACGCGACGAAGGATAGACTCCAGCCATACCCGAAATGACAATTCTGCCAGGCTCGAGTGACGATTCCAATTTTTCCGATTGAATTATCGATGGATCTTGAGGAGTGGGCGCCATCTTCTTTTCTGACAAATGCCTATAAGTACCTGTAAGTAAATAATAAATGTAGCTCTATCTATACAAGTTCTTTCTTCTTAATGTTTATTCTATTAAAAAATTGCATTTTCATGCAAATGTAGCGTAATTTAGAATATTGTGGATACATAAGCTCTGTAGCATTATTATAGTAATTAGTGGGTAAAGAAGTGGGTGACACATTTACTAAAAAACTATAACAAAATATCCCTAAAGCTGTATAATAATGTATTATAAGAGAACCCAAACCAATGATACTGTCTGAAATAGCTTAACCACATTCGGTGCGTTTTTCACTAATGTGTGGTAAGCACACATACTGTAATGGTAAGCTTACTTAAAATTTGGTATTTCTGTTATTCCAATAGTTACAATATAGTAATACAAATAAAAAGTTACACTTTTCTTGTCATTACTTTCTCAGCCAAAAGGTAGTTGCGAAGGATAACACCGCCGCCTTTTGTATCAATTATGTAAATTTATTATTTTAATTTCTTTCTGTATCTATAAAAAACGAATTCGCGGGCGCAGTTAGTTCAGAATATATGGCTGATCTGCCATATATTCTGAATAAATAAAAATACTTGACATAAACTTTCACAATTTTTCGTCGAGTTTAATAACTTATTGTAGAAAATATTCATAGTAGCTCGTTTTTAGAGAGAAAGGCCTGGGACATACAGCCTTAACCACGATGATTTCCAGGGAGAACAGCGTATTGCTAGCTATTGAGCCACTGGCCCCAATTACGGCGTTCTAGTATCAACATTTCACACTAGTCAGATGTTTTTTAAACAAGTTCGTTTTAGCATTACACGTAACTGAAAATCTTTAGCTCATTCGTATGAACAATCCAACAGTATAAAAATTTGTAAGGCATATAAATTTTAATGAACGATCAGAATAACAAAACAAATACTCTTATATTTAGGTAATAACAGAGTTGCACGGGTAGAGCGGAACGTAAATGTTAACGGGAAATTTTCTATTGAAAGTATTGCTATCGTGCTGAGAGAGAAAAGACGCAATGTCTCTGAATAGAGATAAAACGAATATTGAAGAATACCTACATCGTAATTTATTGCACGGAAACATTCCCCAGAATTCCTGATGATTTTGCCACCTCCTTCATCCCATCAACTACCACTGGTACCCCGCCAGCATATACCGTTAGCGGGTGCACTAGACCATTAACATACATTAAAAATGCCTAGATATTATTTATTCGAAAACCTGGATACACCAGTCTAACTCGCAATATACAAATTCCACTTATTTTAAATCTATAAACTGAGTAAATATCAAAAATTCACCTTGAAACTATGTGTGATCGGTGCACGAAAGCTGCACTGCTGCAGTTGTTATATTAGTTCTATGAAAAAATTGTACAACAAAAACAGTACGTTAACAAATCAAAACGTTCCAAAACCAACTGTGGCTCCACGATAATTCCCTGTTGCTATATAAGTATGTGAATGCAGTGTGCGACAGAATACCTACATTCCAGAACATTTTTAAATTTATAATTATGTAGGAATACACTAACATAAATTACGTTACGTACCTATTCAGGAAATCCCTACCGTGTAGAGGCAGTGGCCATGTTTTTATTAATTTTCCCTCCAAAATATAATTCAAGTAAATATTTACCGTTTTATTAAAATACAAAAATAACATGCATAAGCATTATAATATAAAAAACTGTGGTATGTTTAATATTACCATCAATAGCAAGATTTATTAAACCGAATAATAATAGATAACTTTCTGAACTTTGTTTCTATTATACACATACAAATATTCATTTCAATAAGCATTAGGTATTAATTAGGTACTATATTCACGTATAGGAAACACTGATATATCCCGACATAATTATATTTATTGCTTGACAGAGACCCAAAGGTCTCCTTAGAACTCATTTCGTATTTCTAGTATGGTCTAGTCCAGTCGCTTTCTTGGGAAAGGATTAATCTCTTTGTAACTTAAAACTTTTGCAGTTGATAACTAAAGTTGGTAATTATTTTAAAAGATCATCTTGTTATGCTGTATTCTTTTTTAAACGCTGGATGTTCAATAGACTATTTATAATTTAGTACCTAATTGATATCTATAATATTATCTTAATTCCGGATATCTTGACAATAAAAATGTACGGTATATTGTTAATTTTGCTCGGATAGGAAAACGTTCGAATTATTTTTTATTCTATTTATGAATGATTTGTATCTTTAATTTTAGATCGTCGTTTTTTGGTTTTAGATGGAAAAATTTGGCTGTATGGGAATATTTTTTTGCCCATATGCAAAAAAAAATTAAACTGTTTCGTCAATTTGAATGTCAAATTATTAAGTTCATCAGTCTATCCGTCTTGTAACGCACGATTCCCTTTTTTTTCTATTGTGTTGCTATGCTAACCAATATTACCGTATATTTTAGGAAATAATATTATTATCTGCTTTTGATCTAATTAAAATAAAGAAAAAATCTGTTGTCTGATAATTCCATTCTGCAATCGTATTTAGTCCATACCTGTTTGTAATTCATAGTACAAACTGGTTATATGTAATAAAGGAAAGAACTATGTTTTTTTTATAAATATAAATCTGTAATCCACTATTTTGACATTAATATGCATATTAATACAAACCAAAATGTTTCAAATGCTTTTTTATACGATTAATTTTGTATAAAAGGATACAATGTGATCAGCAAACAGTAATCCAAACCGCCAAGTAAAGAACAAAGTCATGTACAGACAAGTTTTCGCCCAAATTTACATAAAAGAATCCAAAGGATTTGGGTGTATTATTATATACGCTGGCGACATTAAAATGTCATCAAATATCAATCAGTTGTTTTGTTTGTCAGTCAAGCTGTCAGAATCTGACATCTGGTACTTGTCAAAATAAGTTCAATTTCTTAGTTCCTATCCTTTTTCATTTCACAATCACATTATCGTCATCGAATTTCAAATGTACATGTGCTTCTTAGTGTACTGCGGTAAATGAAGAAAGCAAGAGAAGGCTTAATAACTTAGCTCTTCGTAAACTAGAAACTTTTTAATATTCATTACAATGGCAGATATTGAAAAATTGTCCATACGTAAGTTGATTAAACTTATTCATTATAACCCTATTTACACGTATGCAGTTTAATGTTTCTTTTTACAGAAGATGAAATTTACACTTCTGAGAAAAATGGAAACGATAGTACTGGTACTGGAACGGCCGACAAGCCGTTCAAGACAATTCTTCAGGCTATGCGCCACGCCGGGAAGGAGCCGTTCCCTAAAATCTTGGTAGATGGAAAAGAAGAAGGTACAGTGTATGAACCAGCGGCGAAGTCCCAGCTCAAAAAGATACAGAAGATTTGGGTGAGGGAAACCCATAAAGCCGCTGACAAGGCAAAAGCTGAAGAGGAGAGCAACGAGAAGAGATTGCAGAACCTTGAGGAAGCTAAGAAAATAGTGATAAAAATGGACCCAAACTTACCTAAAGCAAAGACTATAAAAATAGCTGAAGGTAAGTCAATCATTGACAATGTTTCTTTACTTTTATTCTTTTTATTTATAGTTTTATAAATTTGATAATACAATTTAGAACCTTCTATATTCAAATAATTTTAACTGTTATTAAAATATTGCAGAAATTGAATGATTTTAATTATATTTTAATAACAATTAAAATAATTTGAATATAGAATGTTTTAACATGATACAAAAATGCCAGTACCAAATGTTTAGGTCTACATTTGCTAAGGAACAGCCAATAATTTCATATAATATGCATTAATTTAATGCACTTGTTTAGATATAAAACAATTACTTCTATTTTCCTGTTTAGAAATATTATAAAAGTACATTTATAAAATTTTTGTTTTGATGTTTACTGTCTGTTATGCAATGTTTTTGTGTAATTGCATCAGCAATGCTATGTGTATATTGCACCACCTGTTATCTTATATGAGTAATGAGAATTATAGAATCTTACTCTTATTTCATAATAACATTAATTACATCACAATTAATATGATTGGTACTACATCACAATTAATATGATTGGTACTACAGTGGTAAAACATTTTAAATATTTTATATTATTTTTATTATAATGATTAAATAGAAAAATGTCATTTTTCTAAAATAGACACTAGAAATGCCTCCTTTTATATAAGTCAATTAAATTAACCACACCGTCTTAATCATTATCTAAATACTTTTAAAATTATATATAATACTTCTGTGTAAATTTAAAACTTTAAAAGAAAAAATAATAAAAAAAAAATGCTTGTCTTGTATAAATGTAAATTTTGAATACTGTCATTTTTCTATTTAACCAACAATATATATATATATACATTTTCTTTAAGACATTAGACATTACATATTCTTGAAGACATATTTCCTTCAATGGAAAATTTAAGGAAATATGTTGTCTCTTCGAGAACGAGTAAAGGTCAAAAAAGTATAAGAAATATGGAGAGACAGAGAAAGTACTCATTATTATTTGATAATAGTGAGTGGTATGGACATTTTCTTTATATTATCTAGACACGCGGTAGCGTGTCAAGCCGAGTTTCAAGTAAACTGTCGAGCAGCACCGTGTGTATATTTACATGAACCATTTGGAGCCACTTTTGACCCCCTCATAACTCAAAAACTTTTTCACATAAACCTGTCAAATTTGGTTCATATATTGAGACTTGCGAGATAAATATGTATTCCAAATTTCATAAACATATCTCAAACGGTTATTTAGATATTAATGTCCAAAAATCGTCATTTTTATCACTGATCAACTATAGATCAAAATTATAACCCACTTCCAGATGACCTAGGAAGTTCAAATTTGGCATGCAGATAGGTAATTAGGTGAATATAAAGGAAAAAATCTGAAACTGGTAAATTGTTATCATTTTACTATAATTTTTCACTTTAATTGATTTTATTTCAACTTATACTGGACGAACACTAAAATTCTATTAAAACGTTGATAGCCACCAATTGACATTGATCCTTGGCAAAATAGCTCATCTTGTACTGGTTAGAGAGGACTAAATGTATGGTCTAAAAATGATAAAAAAAATTAATATTTGATGATAAGTAGGCACTTAATTAATCATTCTCAAACACAACTAATATACTTAATAATGTGATACCTTTGTCTGTATACATAACATGTACGTAATTCTTCATTAAACATTGTACCAATAACAGTTGAGTAAATATAATGAAATAATGGAAAACACTGTATTTGCAATAAGTGCCTTATTGAGTTAATGACATTAAGTTGTGACGCAAAATTTTGTTATTATTATTAATAGGCTTTCTAAGCTGCTTTATATATGCTTATATACGCAACTAAACATAACAAACAAGCTAAATTTGGGAAAATGTGTTAGACCTAGTAAAGTTTTATTTGTCAGGCCAAAGGTGGCTTTTAACCACCCCAAAAATCCTTAAGCAGCTTCGTAGTGAATCTGTCTGGTATAGCTGTGTAGACCAGCTACAGCTAACAGTATGAACTATAAAATAAGTGTTCTGTTTATTTCAATAATATCTTAATAATATTTTCAGCTGGCGATTATCGAGGTCAGCGTATCTGCATCCGCGGATGGGTACACCGTCTTAGAAGGCAGGGCAAGGCGCTCGCCTTCCTGACGCTCCGTGATGGTACTGGGTACCTTCAGTGTGTACTCCACGGGGAACTCTGTCAGACATACAACGCTCTGGTGCTGTCTACGGAATCGTCGGTAATTATATATGGGAAATTAGAGGCTGTACCTGAAGGCAAAACGGTGAGTAAATACAATATTATACATTATTAAAAATTATTAATTATTTTGAAATAATAATGATCTATAAATTACACAATGCTATCTAGTCCCATGGTAAGCAGAGCTAGTGTTATGGGTACTAGATATGGTTAAATATATATTCTTTATAAATACATATATAAGAAACATTCATATCAACATAAACTACAATACTCATGAATATAAATGTTTATACCGTGCGAGGAATTGATCCCGCGACCGCAGTTTAGCACACTGCCTTACTAGATAGACTGGTAGATCAGGCCACCGCGCCCATGTGTATAATTTTGTATTGTTAGATCCTGGAGAGAGTTTGGTGATCCGTAGTTAACTTGCATTATAACTGCAAATGTGAGTTTGTTTAATACATTTTTTCACTTTAGTGGCTTAACCATTATGAAATTTAATATATGATATTATTTGGTCATTCAGACAAAGTCACAGGTAGTCCCAGAAGATCGTAAAATAAAGCTGTCTGTCTGTTTATTTATGATATCACACCTAAACTTCAGCACCAATCTTTATTAATCTTGATAAAGAACTTTGCTACTTGGCTTTACTTCTTTGCGCTAAAACGAAACTTAAAAAGAGTGAAATAGGGAATGTTTTCTATTCGCATGGAGTATACTTGTGTCCTTTCAAATTTGATTTTGATAATATAAAGATCTATTTGTATTTAAGCAAAGTTGTTAATTTGTATGTACAGGCACCCGGTGGACACGAGTTGACTGCAGATTATTGGGAGTTAGTTGGTCTCGCGCCACCAGGAGGCGCGGATGCCATCCTGAACGAGGAAGCCTTGCCTGATGTGCAGTTGGACAACAGGTATTTCTTCTTGGTATTATACAAGTCAAGACATTGAAACACTGCCAAAATATAGAGAACTCAATAAAAGTAATGACCGAGTCAAATTTAAAACAGTATATTATACAAGGATTATAAACGTTTACAATTAATTTCATTCAGAATTTAAGATTCTAGCTCTTGTCGGTGAAGCACTTGCCACTTCTCCTTAAATGTGGCATAAGATAGCTCCAAATTTGTTCTTAATTTGCTCAATATAACTGTGTCTACGACTGGTATTAGATATAGATATTTTCGTTTAAGGTTTACATACATGTTTTATTTAAAAAAATTTCATGAGTCAAAGATTTTCTTAGTGAAATGTATTTATGTAAAAGTTTCAATGAAAATAAGTAATAAAACATTCAAATTAAATGTAGTACACCTTTTAAAATTAGATGGCGTTTGAAATTCTTTTTCTTTACATAGTAGAAAACAGAGTCGCTGCCGCTGTCTATTCGCTTATATCTTTTAAATTACGCAACAGATATTGCAGTTTTAGCAATAAATCTAATGAATCAATTATTATTGATTTCTCAGCTTGTTCTATGTTGTCAACGTAAAACAAGCTTTCAGAAATTCAAAGATTTGTAATGCGTCCGTGCTAAGCCGGGAGCGGTCGCTAGTAATATTATAAATGTAAGTGTGTCTGTTTTTCTGGTGATTACTACCTACCAAATTGCTGGATGTCATTGAAATTTAGTTAGTAAAACTTCATTATATTTTCACATTTAAAGAAATTTAAATACTTTTTCTCTCTAAATTACTCTAAATTACTTTTTACAGGCATATAATGATTCGCGGCGAGAACACATCGAAGGTGCTCCGAGCGCGGGCGGCGGTCACGCGTGCGTTCCGCGAACACTTCGCTGCGAGGCGCTACACCGAGGTCACCCCGCCCACCCTCGTGCAGACTCAATGCGAGGGCGGCAGCACGCTCTTCAAGTTTGGCTTTTTCGGGTATGTACTTATATTAAGAGAAATACCAGTAGAATCAACATCATACTAAAAAAGTAATACCACAAAACTTTTCTCAAAGAAATATACATATTTGCAGTAAATAAAATATATTTCTAGACTAATTATTTAATAGTGTGTTGGTATGTAATAAACATTGATTTCGATTGCAGAGAGACAGCATACCTGACACAAAGTTCGCAGTTATACCTGGAGACTTGTTTGCCCACGCTGGGCGACGTGTACTGCATAGCACAATCATACCGTGCCGAACAATCGCGCACTCGGCGACATCTAGCGGAGTACGTGTTATTTTATTATATATTAGCTAATCCGCGTCACATTTTCATCGTTAGTTTGCAACATTTTTAAATATGTAAATTTGAATGTATGTTTATGTTTATTTGAATGTCTGTCTGTCTATAACTCAAAGGTGACTGACATAGTGATCTATCAACGCACAGCCCAAACCACTGGACAAATCGGGCTAAAATTTGGCATGCAGGTAGATATTCTAGCCCCAAAGGGATAAAATAGGGGATGAAAGTTTATATGAAACTTTGTCAATTTTAAACCGATCGGGCTGAGACTTCGCATGCATAAACCTACTATGACGTAGGCATCCCGTAAGAATGGATTTTGATAAATAATATCCTATTGTGCATATTTATTTTCAAATTTAGGGACTTTTGTATAACTTTTGTAAACTTACAATTTTATAGCAACAAAGTTGAAATGATTATCACAGGAGTATGATTTTTTAAAATACCTATCTACCTGTGGAGCCTTGATCCATCTCTTGCTTCCGATTTATTGTCGAAATTTGGTACAACCTGTATAATATGGGCCTAGACTATTATAATATTAATTTGCCTACAATATGTTATCATTATTATTAATACTATTTGAAATAATGTATTACAGATACAGTCATGTAGAAGCTGAATGTCCATTCATCACGTTTGATGAGCTGCTGGACCGTTTAGAGGACTTGGTGGTGGATGTGGTGGACCGCGTGCTGGCGTCAGATGCTGCGCAGCTTGTGCAAGAACTCAACCCGGACTTTAAGGTAAGAAAATGAGAGAGAGAGAGAGCAAGCTTGATTGTACTTGTTAATGGTGCATACATCTATTTACATTTAAGCAATTTTGAATAGTCATTACTTTTTTAATAGAAATAATCTTTATTCAAATAACATAGTCACATTTTTTTTTATTCTACCGCTCATTCGGAATGCAGATACGTCACAAGAATGAGCAAGAAACTTGTGTATTAATCTTCCGCTCATTCAATCAGCTATGTCATCACAAGAAGAACGCAATAAAATTGCGTACTGTTCTTTTAAATAATTGAAACCTTACATTTTTAAGAAAATATCGTTTAAAATCTGTGAATACAAACTACCAGCACTAATTCATTAATCTAAATATGAAATCCACAACCACCTGGTTGAATAACTAAATAAGAGTAAATCAGTCGTGATTAGAGCAGATCAGTCCCTACAGTAGCACGTTCACGAGTATGATGGATGAGCCAGACATCACTAAAATAAATAAACATTTCATTAATGTTGCAGAGACCACGTAGGCCGTTCAAGCGTATGGCGTACAGTGAGGCGATAGAGTATTTGCGCGCCAACAACATTACTAAAGATGATGGCTCCTTCTACGAGTTTGGAGAGGTAAATAACTAGGTTTGTTACCGGTGTGTTTGAGTGGTAAACGGGGAGGCCTGAATGTCGACCTTCAATGAAATTTTAGTCTCGATTGGTATTCAGTCCCTTTCGGAGGAGTATCATTACAAAGAGTGCAAATCTGATCTCTTAGATCGTTCCGCACTTCGCGCTCCGCTCAATCATATAAGTTACTATGGGACCCAAGACCTACTATACTTATAATAATACCATGACAAAATTAATAATATGAAATTAATTATTTTAAATTATTAATTAATTAATAAAATAAAATAAAGTTTTCTAAATTATTAATAAGAGTTTATTTCGACTCGCCAAAATTTAACATGGTCTGTTGATGAAAGTCGCTCACCCCGGTTTAGATATTATATATTAGTATGGATTTACTAATTATACTTTTTCAGTGTATCATAACAATTTGATTTCAGGATATACCAGAAATGCCGGAGCGTAAAATGACAGATGCCATTGGAGAACCAATCCTGCTGTGCAAGTTCCCATTGGAGATCAAATCCTTCTACATGTCTCGGTGTGAGGAGGACCGCAGGCTCACAGAATCTGTGGACGTGCTTATGCCAGGCGTTGGAGAGATTGTCGGCGGCTCTATGAGGATATGGAACTACGAGGAGCTCCTCGAGGGTGAGTCAACTTTCAGACAATTGCCAGACCTTATATTTATAACGAGTTTTTTTTTATATTTTTATACCCATTAGCCAACCAATTATAGTAGTAAACATACTGATGGCGTATATATAGGAATAAAAAAATATATATCCCTGGAAAATTCACACCGCGAATTTGAATTTGAATTTGAATCAAACCCCCGACCATCGGTACTAAAACGGTGTGCTAAACTGCTAGACCGCTGAGCCCATCAAATAAATGTAACTAACGACAAACATACAGCTAATCTGTATTTTATTGTATGATATAAAATATTAATATTCATTTGTATACAAGTAATGGTTTCGGAGTAAAACAGACAATACAGACAGTCAAGAATGATATGTGCCGATTTTCATGTAAATGTGTAATGAACGACATATTGTTATGCAAATGAAACGATACAATTGTGTTTTAATATTGAAGAAATAAATTTGTAATATATTTACATAATTTATTTGGTCCTTCGTGACCTTTGCTGCAAATGTTTATTTAAGTAGACACGTATTTATGTTATTTATATAACATAAATATCAATAATATATTTTTTTAATTAATTTCAATGAACGACATCTATTAATTAATAATATCTGGTGTTGGTCTGTTCAGGTTGCGAACACTGATTAGATTTTTTGTTTTTTTTTTTGCAATAGCATATGCTGGTGGTCACTCTATTCTCCCAAATTTGAATTTTAATGACTGTGTATTATTGTAAACGTGTACAACATTTATTTGAAAAGAATACGAGATGAGTTTTTTGTCAGTTCTTCTCATCTCGAAATCATTCCGAACTGACTGTAGATTTGACATATCATAAGAGTCTGTAATAGGCCTACATGAATAAAGATATTTTGAATTTTAATATCTAGAGACAATTCACACAGCGCCACTTAGTAACAAGCAAGGCAGAGGTTGTGTTATAAACAACTGATATAAATATTTAGATTTTTTTATTATACACATAATATACATATTTATATTATACTAGCTGTGCCGGCGATTTCACCCGCGTGAAATTTATATATATTATTCTGATGTATAGCTATATTACTATAAAGTTTCATCAAAATCCGTTCAGTAGTTTTTGCATGAAAGAATAACAAACATACCATACTCACAAACTGTTGCGTTTATAATATATAATGTTAGATGTGTTATGTATTTGTGATTAGTAGTTCATTCATTCATAATTTAAGAGCTACGCTCTTGTCGGTGGAGCTCTTGCCACTTTCCGCGATCTTCCATCATGATTAGTAGTAAGTAGACAAAAATAATGTATAAACTAAATTAATTATATTATACTATTTGAAAACATGTAAACTGTAATTATATAATGGCCAGATCACCGAGGGTCTAGCGGTTTGGCACACTGCCTTACTTCCGATGGCCACGGGTTTGAATCCTCGGACGGCACAAACATTTATATTCATGAGTATGATTGTTTGTATCATTCTGGGTATATTCTATACATAATATCTATATATTTGTATTAGTTAGTACCCATCACACAAGCTTTAGCTAGCTTAACTTACGTCTAGATGGCGCTGCGTGAATTGTCCAGAGATTAATATTATTATATCATTCTGTTTCAGGGTACAAGCGTGAAGGCATCGACCCATCCCCATACTACTGGTATACGGACCAGCGGAAGTTCGGCTCTGTCCCCCACGGGGGTTACGGGCTCGGGCTCGAGCGGTTCCTATGCTGGTTGCTGGCCAGACCCCACATTCGAGACGTCTGTCTCTACCCACGCTTCCTCGACCGCTGTACACCTTGAGGTGTACAAACTCCGTTCTCGATGCTTGCAGAATATGCGTATACATTATACAAAGGATAAAATAATATTGAGGAATTTCGACACTGCATTTGTTTTAAGATATACAGTGATGGCCCGTTGCGTATATATATATATGAATTATTAGCTGTGCCCGCGGTTTTATTGAAATATATATATAATAAATTTATTGCCTACTAGCTGACTCGCGCAACTTCTTCTACGTCATACACACTTGAAATTTATCATTACATTTCCCCCAATTTACATCATATCCTTTTAAATTGTAGCCTATGTGTTATTCTGATGTATAAGTCATATTACCGAACAGCTTCATTAAAATCCGTTATTGTATGAAAGAGTAATATCCATCCATATTCAGTTTAGTAAGATGTGTTATTCAGATGTATAAGCTATATTATTAGAATCCATTCAGTAGTTCTTGCGTGAAAGAGTGACAAACATCCATCTATCCTCACTCACAAAATTCCACGTTTAAATATTAGTAAGATATCACGAACATTACGTGTATAATGTGCCATCGTAATCTGTAATTTCACTTCCATCTCTCAACCGTAACACAAACACATCTTAAAAGCAACCAGTTTGGCGACAGAAATAGATGAAGAAATCTACGTTTTTGTACAGTCTATTACTGTCAAATTTGCACTATTTTCTCTGCTAATCATAACCATTTTAGTTTCACTTATGTAGGTACTGATAATCTTTATGACACAAATGAGAAAGACGACATTATACGAAGTCTATGACGGTTAAATCTTAATTATCTCTAAAAAAAATCTTACAAATCTGAAATACACTGCATATAATTTTAGACTCACTTACTATGTAGTGATAATCTTTATGGCACAGGTATAAGTAACACCTCTAGTATTGCAACCGGCCCTAGAATACATATCCTAGGTCCCTAAGATCCCCAAGGATGTGTAATTGTTAAATTATCTTACTAGGTACCCGCCCTGATTTCGCACGCGTGTACCTTTATTATACACATAAACCTTTTCAATCACTCTTATCTCTGGCTAAAAACTGTATTATATACCGTTGCGTAATTTATAAGATCTTAGCGAACAGACAGCAGAAGTGACTTCTGTTTATAGTATGTAAAGATGTACAAGGTAAAACACTTTTCTAGTGGGCATTATTGAAATTCTCAGCAGGACGTCCTCATATATGATTATGTATGCCTTATTAAGGATTAATTTTTAATTTAAAAAAGTACTTTTGTTGTACATTTTTTTTATTACATTAAATTATTTGACAGCTTGCTGATCTAAAATAAATAAGATAAAACAATTCATTAGTTTTATTGTTAGTTATAATTTAGTTGGATAAATTTGTCGATAATTTTATATTTATTATTCCCTTCATATATTTATGTAATGGGAATGGTAAAGAACTTGCCACACCTGATGGTAAGGGATAATCGAAGCATATGATGATCAACTACATGGAAATAAGTCGTAGTAATTAGAGCAGACCAGTCTCTGCAAGCAGCACTCGCTCACGAGTATGACGGATGAGCCAGCTATTACTCTACCATATTTTAGGGAACACAATGACTCGTCCCACCAAGCAGCTATATGTGTGGACATTTTAATAAGCATGACTCAAGATATTTTAGCCTTTATTATAAGTTAACCTAATAATACAAACGTGATTAAGGGTAATAGTACAAACGTGATTGATCTTTTTAAATTGCAAAAACGATGTCTCAGAATAATTGCTAACATAGATAACAGGGAAACTTGCAAACCATACTTTATTAAATATAAAATTTTAACTTTACCGTCAATGTACATATTAGAAGCGTGTCATTTTGTTAAATGTAATATGCACCTATTTCCACAATATACCCGCCCTCAGGCATTGCGACCGCAATGTAGATTGGCAAGACCATTCTCGAAGCTACAATTATTCCATTCTGGCCCTTACGCAATGTCAATAAAAATTTACAATAAAATACCAATTAACTTAAAAGGTGAGGATGATTCTAAAAAGTTTAAAATAGCTCTAAAAAAATATTTAATCGCAAAGAGTCATTATGCGCTACAGGAATTTTTCAAGGAAAAAAGTTAGTTGTGTTTGTGCCTGTTTGTTTTAATTTAATGATGATTTTTTATTTTTTATACTAATCAACGATACATATATATAATGTAAAAATTTAATTATGTAGTTTATATAAGATTTATTAATGTGATTGCTGTGCCCTTTCAGGGTTCATGTTTGATTCTATACTTTTAGTAAATTAAGACCAATTTTGTTACAACATGTAATAGCAATAAATAAATGAATAAATTAATACTTGTTTGAAAAAACTTAAACTTAACTTGACGACCTCGGTGATCTAGCACACCTCTTTACTTACAATGGTCGCGGGTTCGATACCTCGCTCGGTGCAATCACTTGTATTCATGAGTATGATTGTTTGCAATTCAAACAATCAGTAGTTTAGGTATTTTCTATGTATTCACACAGAAAATTTATATCAGTTGTCTAGTATCCATAACACAAGCTCTGCTTACCCTGGGACTAGATGGCGCTGTATTAATTGTCCGGAGTTATTTACTATTAAAACAAAATCTTTATTTTCTATAGGTCCGTTTGTCAATAGGCAAATGAAGATTGGGTAAAAAAAATAACAGCATCAGTAATTTATGAAATTATTTATATTACATCACTGTCTTTAATTACATGGCATAAAATCTTGTAAATCATGTTTTACTTAACATGTAATTATAATAAAATACAAATCATTTTATAATTATTACCACAACGAGTTTATTGTCATTACTCGATTGAAACTGCATTCTTAAATAGTAATGGATTTTTGATTTAACACTGCATTTATAATAAAATCATTTTATATTCTTGAAGATCTATGTTTCCTTAGTATAAAATTGTGTCTTGAGTATTATATATTTATATATTTAATCTCTAATGGTAAACGTAACCAATAAACGCTATTTAATCTAAATTCAGTCAGTCTAGTTAAAATTTAAGGTAGCCACTCTGCGTCTGAGTCCATATTCCGGTTTAATTCACCAGATGGCGCTTCGGTGAGGTCCTCTTTGCTGCTGGCTACCTTATGGTACACCTTTTTGCCAGCTTCTACCACGTATTCGACACCGTCAGCTGTAATGTAACCAGGGTATCAGAACAAATAAGATAATATTACATAGCATCTGGGAAGAGATCAGATTTTGTTGCGCGACTTTAATAGTAATTGACCTCTGTGGTCTAGCGGTTTAGCATACCGCCTTGCTTCCGATAGTAGCGGGTTCGATCCCAAAACAATACAAACTTTTGTATTTCTGCTTATGCTGGTGTGAATATTGTTTAAACATCATTTAGCTAACTCTTCTTTTAAATAGGCCTGAAATGGTTAACCCTTGACGACCCTGTTGGTGTACCTAGTTTGCACACCGCTTTACATCAGATGGTTGCATGTTCGATTCTGTTCGATTCCTCGCAAAAAGCAGACATATTTTTGAACCTGATTGTATCGATCTGGTTGTTGAATATTGAAGTATATTACAGACTAGCTGTTTCCGCGACTTCGTCCGCGTGGAATTAAACTTTATTTTTCTAAAATAAAAGTAGCCTAAGTTACTTTTTATTACCTGCCAAAAAAAGTCCCGTCAAAATCGGTCCAGCCATTAGCCGGAACAAACAGACAGACAAAATTTGTAAAAAATGTTTTTTGGTGTATGTACCGTATTTATAACGTAGTAAAAAACGGTTATTTCAATATTACAAACAGACACCCCAATTTTATTTATTTGTATAGATAGCATAAGTGGTCTAGTACCCATAATGCAAGCTCTAATTATATTGCAACTAGATCGTGCCCTGAATTATCCAGGATTATTATAATATTTAGATATCAAACAGCAACGACCTCTGTTCAAACACTTTAAACAAGTTGACAGATACAGATTTCTATCACCTAGGGGACCCAATAGAGTTAATACTATCCTGGGTAAAATCAATAAACAAACAAAACTCTTTATAGTTACCAATAGCTCCACCAGTCTTCCTCACCGCCTCTCCGATGTTGTGAGATGAGAATGTATCTGGGTCTATGTTAATATTTACACCCTCTGTTGTTCCGTTCACATGCTTTGGGCAATCGCTCTGTGATATAATGGACAGGTCGTAGGGATCCACGCCATATGCTGACAATTTCGACCGCATCTGTACAAGAAATTTTTGTATAGGTTTACCAATTGGATTATAAAACCAGTTCACGTTACGACTCCGCGTTGAGTGTACGCATTTCTAATGTTATATATAAAATTCTCGTGTCACAGTTTTCGTTCCCATACTCCACCGAAACGGCTTGACCGATTCTCATGAAATTTTGTGAGCGTATTGAGTAGGTCTGAGAATCGGCCAACATCTATTTTTCATCCCCCTAAATGTTAGGGATAGTCCACCCCTAAATTTTTTTTTTATTTTTTAGACAAAATTTTTAGTTTCTATTTTTTTATGATACAACATACAAAAATACATACAATCCTAAATTTTCACCCTTCTATCATCAACCCCTATTTTTTTATAGCGTTATTAATAGCTGTCCCGGCAAAACAACGTTTGCCGGGACAGCTAGTATTTTATATAATAATAATAATCTCAAAACAATTCACACAGCGCCATCTAGACCCAAGTTAAGCTAGCTAAAGCTTGTGTTATGGATACTAGATAATTGATACAAATACATAGTTTTTTTTTTGTAAATACATACATATTGTACATAGAAAACACCCAGACCGATACAAACAATCATACTCATGCATACAAATGTTTGTGCCGTGCGAGGAATCGACCCCGCGACCATCGCTCGTAAAGCGGTGTGCTAGACCGCTAGACCACCGAGGTCGTCAATTATAATAATTTTCTAATATTTTACAATACACTTTGATAGTGATAGATTAACTTGCTAATGTAGTAGAAACATTCCATCCGTATATGTACCTACTCACTATCTATAATGGATACTACAGAAAATAAATTAAGTCGCGACATCTCAGCACAATATATATAACGCTATAGTGGTAAGATGATAACCATTGCGCTACAGAGTAGATATTTTTATCTTTGAAATGTCTGCTTATTTCTACAGACTCGTGAAATCGAAGAGTTACCAAAGAACATGATTGCTATAAAAGCTTCAATGATTGTTGTGCAAATATATAAACATGTATTTATATTATTATTATTACTATATATGTTTATATGTGTAGTATGATGGTATCCTGAGAATATCGGCGTAATGGCACCTCGCCAAGCCATATGTATACTACACGGAGTCCTATCAGGTACCACATATTAGTAATCCACTTGTGCTTAGTAATTTTTTTTTTATATTATTGCTATGTATCAATTAAATGTAAAAGTAGAAAATACAGTACAAAAATCTTTCTTCTTTCTAAATATAAAAAATCAACATATATAATCACTTACTTTGTCAACAAACATCCTATCAAGTTCCTTGTTCCTGGATAGTATGGTAGCAGATCGTCGGTGCGCAAACGCAAGCTTCTGACATGTGAATATGGCTGCATATGTAGTATAATCTGTGGCCATTACCGTATAACTTGCTGAACCGGCAACACCTGATGATTTTAGAACCATTAGAAAAATGCAACATAGAAATAGAAATAATCTTTATTCAAATAAACTCATTACAAGCATTTTTGAATAGTCATATTTTGATTCTACCACTCATTCGGAATGCAGATTCATCACAAGAAGAACGAGCAAGAAACTTGTGTGTTGCTCTTTTTAATAGATGTTTTTTTTTATATAAATAATTACAGTATAACAAGTAAGAGGCATGCGATAAACAACATAAAAATCGCACTCATTATTAGTGTAATTAGATAATATTGTCAGTGCTATGGATTTAGAGTTTATCGTTAACGAATTCTTCAATTTTATAGTAAGCTTTTTTGCAATGGAACTGTTTTATTTGACATTTAATCTTTTTTCTGGTAGATTTAAAACAGACTCTGGTATTTTATTGTAAAACCTTACGCAATTTCCATAAAACGAATTACTAACTTTAGCCAAACGACATTTAGGTAAAATCAGTTTGTTATTGTTACGTAAGCTTTTATTAGTGCAATCACTAACTCTTTTGAAACTGTTTATATTTTTCCTGGTATAGATGATATTTTCATAAATGTATTGAGAAGCAACGGTGAGGATATTTGGTTCCTTAAAACACTCTCGCAATGACTCCCTGGAACCCATACCATAAATGGAGCGACAGGCAACGTGAACATAACTTCATGACTGTTACCGCAGGTAGAGTTGGAGACATTATAAACTGTCGATATCGTGATTGCAACACTTGTACATCATGTCATCCTATAGATCCCTCGTCCAATTCCAACGGGGACCGAAATTAAGGCAACCCGAGTCTAGTTTCAAAACCTGAAAAGGTTGGCCTTCAGTCGCTCCATAAGTCCTTCTCCGTGTTTGGAGTGCCATCTGAACTGGCTTCCTATTGTTGGGTAAAGCTATAAAGGCCAGCTGCGGCCAATAGCATTGGACTGGTTCCAAATGAATATCATATTACTCTGGAATGGTATTACGAGTGTCACATGATTCTTTTTAAATGAGATTGAACTCCCGCCATGCCGTGAAAAAATGTGAGCATAATACTTACTAAGAGGGAATCGTATTCTCATTCTTCCAGGCACTGAAGGGTCCGGAACAGTCAATATACCTGTGTACCTGGAAACCGTAAAATAAAGACAATTAGGTCGAAATGTTAGTTTAGAAAATGCTGTATATTTTTTTGTTTGGGTGTTGGCGAACAAACTGACATCCCACCTAAGAACACAGAAGAACAGAAGTAAGCTTTACAGCTTACTTCTGTTCTTCTCCTATCCGTCGTCTATATACATAAACAGAATACGGACATCACGTTACTATGTGACATCTATGATATGACGTTGCCGTTTCCAAGTACTAAGACGTCATATCTCTTATTCTGTAATTTCACTGCCTAATCTATAACCGAAAGACAGTAGACCAGATTGATACCCCACGCTAACGACTGTTTTCAGGAACTACTACCGTTTACTACCAGGTGGGCCTTCAGCTTGTTTTCCATTCCAATTACATTGAAAGAAATGTACAAATGGACGGACCACGGCCCGTTTACGATTTTTTTATACGTATAATAATAATAGTCTTAATCAATTCCCTCAAGGTTGTTATGGTTTGCTGATTCACCATCAAAGACAAGTCTATCACCACATTAGAGGGAGAAAATAATAAAGTGTATATCAAAATAATAATAATATCCCTAGACAATTCATAGAGCGCCATCTAGTCCCAAGCTAAGTAGAGCTTGTGTTATGGGTGCTAGATAACTGATATAAATATACAGATATATTTTTTAGTAAATACATGTACATAATATACATAGAAAACACCAAATATTGTACCGTCCGAGGAATCGAACCTACGACCTTTCGAAGTAATGCTGCATACTTAACCGCTAGACCACCGAGACCCTAGATAATATAATCAGTTACCTGTAGTCATGTTTTAGAGGCGTAAGACCGAGTATAAAATGCTGTGATGTTTGCTCCAATTCATATTTCCCAGGCTCATCTGTTTTGGTGAAGTTGTATGTGATGCAGTGAGATGCTGTCGATGTTTTCTGTATGACGTACCATACTCCTAACATCTGAAAAGAGGGGTAGGAGATTGTCAGTAATGTGGACTGATAACTCCATTACTAGTGATGTACCATGTCAGATTGACCTCGACGCGGTTCCCTCAAGACACCATTGTTGATAAATTCCGGTTGAATTTGTCACAATGGGGTAAATGACTCATGATTATTTCATAAGCTTCCACTAATGCTTCGCCAGCGTAAATCATTAGCGCAGGCGGGTGCACCATTCCATTATTATCCATAAAAAATATATCAGGGTAATAAAGAATGAATCTTAAAAATATTAAGAATATATTAAAATGCGAAAGTTTGTGAGAGTATGAATGGATAAATGTATGAGTGGATGTTTGTTACTCTTTCACGCGAAGTTTACAGTAATATAAACTATATACATCAGAATAACATATAGGCTATAATTTATAAAGATAGTATGTATAATGAGAGAAATGTAATGATAAATGTCAAGTAAGTGCGATGCAGATGAAGTTAACGGAGCAGCTAGTAAATAATAATTTATACAAATAAATAAAATGTAGTGTCTGTTTGTAATTCCAAATTAACAGCTTTCACTACAGTATATTCGGTACGTGCGTTAAATTGAGTTAAATTCTTTATTTCTGTCTATTTCTTCTTACTAATCTCTGAAACGGCGGGACCGATTTTGACAGAATTTTCACACACAGACCGCTAACGCACTTTAACACATTAAGCTACTTTTATTTAATACCATACACAGTCGCCGGATATATAGAGCTAGTATATAAAAATCAATCAAAACTTATTGATATAATTAGGGTACATACATATAGGTTTTACCGTTTTAGTTTTTGAGAAAATTGTAAGACCAGACGCGTCTATGGGACGAGAATGAAGGTAAAGAGGAAGCCAGAGTCAACAAACAAAACTATATCCACTAAAGACAGTTTACATTATCCACAAACAATATCATTATAGGGTGGTTTACAAAATTAATTTCAACATTTTGACTAATTCACACAATCGTAACTAAATATCCTTGTTTTTATAGTTGAATGACCAATATGTCACCTTTGCGTTCCTGGTATTTAGAAAGTATGTTATCAGAGCCGGTTTTGTTGTCGTTGAGTGTGATGACTCATTGTCACATCTGACCGGGGTCAGTTTCCTCTCATTAGCGGCTGTCTGTCCGTTTACTTGTATTGTATACCATAACGGTAAACATATATGAAACCAATGTGCCCGCGGTTTCACGCGCGTGATTTGTAGCCTATAGATTATATTATTGTAAAGTTTCATTAAAATCCGTTCAGTAGTTTTTGCGTGAAAGAGTAACAAACATCCATCTATCTAACCATCCACACTCACAAGCCTCCGCGTATTTAATACTCTCACCTGATGAACATCAGGTGAGGTTGCGTAGTGATGATGTGGTCTAAGCTGTTACACGCAAGCTCAAATAATGCCTATTCACTCTTGACTTGAAAGACCCAATGTTGTAAGAGGCAGGAAAAATAGACGCTGGTAGAGAGTTCCACTACTTAGCTTCTCGTATAAGGAAAGATGATGCAAAACGGTTAGTTCGAGCAGCCGGGACATCAATAGTGTAGGGGGGTGGAGCCGCTCTCTACGTTCTGTCAGTCTTTGCGTAAAAGAGTAACAAACATCCATCCATCCAGACTCACAAACTTTTGCGTTTATAATATTAGTAAGATCATATTTTCATTATTAGAATGTTCTTTTGTGTGTTAATTCTTGTTGCTGACGTACTGGCCACATAGTTTTATAGTTATGCTTCATATTTACATTGTATGTTCTATTAAGATATTTATTCAATATTTTTGTATACCAAACATTACAGTCTAATAAAGAACTTTGACAGACAACAATTATAATTAAAAAAATAGTTTTAATTATAAAAACGACCTGACCTAATGGTAAATGGTCACCTATATACGTTATCATGTGACGCCTGTAGCATCACTCCTGTGTTGCCATTCCAGAGGATAAAGGCTTGTTAACCTATAATTTGTGATGAGACAGCTTTCCGAACGAGTGGTAGATAAAAAACAAATTGTTATGACTATTCAAAAGTGCTTAAATTAAGTTTATTTGAATAAATGATTTTCTATTCTATTCTATTCTATTCTTTCACTCCCGTACCTCAGCCTATATTCAAAACACATCCTACAAACCAAGCTGTGTATTTACCAAAATAGGTTAGACAGGTATTCAAGCTGACAACTTTGTTCAAAGTCTACATCGCTACTGCGCAGTTTAGGAGCAAACTACACTTCTTCTGTAATAATAATTATTTATATTAATAATATCAAATGATAAACATGTGGACTTGATAAACCTATCCGTGACCTGCGATTACTTCTTAAGTTCCTATTTGTTATAGTCTACTTCTAAATATATAGAAACGTAGGGTTTATGATAATTTTCATATCTCGAAATTAAGATGTGTCTTAACATTAAAAATTTCTAAAAAAATATATTCATGAAGACCAAATGAACTAGATATCGAGACATTTTTGCATTCAAATTCAAAATATCTTTATTGAGGTAGGTCTATTACAGACTCTTATGACAAAATGTCAAATCTACCGTCAGTTCGGAATGATTTCGAGATGAGAAGAACTGATAAGAAACTCAGCTCGTATTATTTTCAAATAAAAGTTGTACATGTTTATAATAATACAGATTCATATATAATTTCTAATTTGGGAGAATATAGTGACCACCAGCATAGATTTGTTAGTCAGCAGAATGAAACTTCTTTGCATAAGATATTAATTTTAATTAAGTAATATTAACTACAATGCAAATATATTTTTTCCGACTGCTCTAATGCTATTGACCACAGCCGGCCTTTACAGCTTCAACAGACGATTACATGTAAATAGTTGAGTAAATAGAGTTTGTAATAATAAGTTTTTAGAGTCAACAAAAACCGTGAATTCAACAATACTACAAAGGATTGTATTTTTAAATTGTTTTATTTATCATTCTTGTTGTTAACCAACACAATGAAACACTTTTTTAAAGGAAACCAACCAGAAAGATTATCTGTAAGGTCATTTAATTTAATTTCAATACGACTCTATTAATGTTTTGTTTCACGAATAATTTAATATTGTTTGATTCAATTCATACTTATTATTGTTCCTAATTAAAAAGACTACAAAATCCATATAGATGCATAAAAAAATAAAGTAGAGTCTAATTTAGATCATTTCTATTTTGAAATCGGTTACAAATCTGTAGCTTCGCGATAGAGCGAGAAAGGTAGTCAACTGATTTAAACATATTCATAATTTTATCTACAATCTTCTAAAAGATCTTAACCGTCTAGAACTGCAGTAAGTTACTATATACTAGAACGTGTATCTAAATCAGCACTAGCAAGCCCCTATTAGATCTGGCTGGGAAGGGAGAGAAACACGAGTAATAAAGGTGTTTGACATACGTCGGTAAAGAGGCCCCTTAAACCTACAACGGGTTACAAGTTCCAGGAACTGTTCGGAGTTTCCCGCTCAGTCACGAAATGGACCCGATACCCGCACTGTGAAATCTGTGGAATGCTAAGAAGTTCCTCTATCTAGGAAGCTATATTTTCAAAGACTAATATGAAACATGACCTATATTATAAATAGCTAGTAGTAATATAAATTTATTATAAAATAAAAAGTGTAACGTATATTTTTTCCTTAAACTATAAATACCTGATTCATTTCAAATCCCGGCATTGGCTCGACAATGGGACATGTCCCCAGATGGTAAGTATGTGAGAATGCACTCCCACATACTGCTAACAAAACAAACACGGATAAACTGAACATTTCTGAACAACGCGTGTTCACTCCTCGGCCACAATTCACAGACTGATCAGTTCACTTACATTGCTACCAATACTACCCATTCATATAAAACACATCAATGCTATTTCAAAATAACGAATGTGTATTTTCCTAGAAATGTTTATAAAAGTGTATTCATTTATTGCAGAATTGGATTTCATTGGATACTTAACTGTTATCACTGACTTCGTTTGCATAGAAATTGACATCATCATCTAATTTTACCGAATTCTGACATTAGTAGGTATGGAATTTTTTATTAGTTAATATGAAAGTTCGTATGGATTTCTTTTCAATAAACAAACCGTATCATTCATGAATACAAACTTTCATCCCGTGAGTCACCTTCTTGAAGTTTACTTTTCACAACCATATTATATATGAATGATATAGTATTTATATGCAATAAAAGGGTGGGATAAGTAGAACTATCGCAAGCAATATAACCTGGTTGACTTCCACGAACGGTTCTCAGCACGGTTTCTCATGGAAGCCATTATGGTTGATAATTCGCCAAGTCGGACTAATTAACCTAACTTATTCTATCATCCTCTACTGGTGACCAGCTAGCGTTCACCATTAGCGCAGGAAAATTTACCATACATCCGTTCATGAAATCCATACAACCGCTGAATATTCTTCTTCAATTTTTAAACTCCCGACTATAATTGCGCTGGCAACTAATATTGAAGCATTTTTGTAAGTATATTGTTTTTGATTAGTATTCCCATTTCTCTGCAAAGCCCGTCCTTTCTCACTAATGTATACCACAGATAAGATAATACCACATATCTATAGTAGTATTATAAAGCTGAAGAAACGTAGCTTTATTTCGATGTTTTAACGCACTAATCTCAGGAACACATAGATTTAAAAAAATAGTTTTTTCTTCGACTAATCCGAGCGGAGCATCAATGAAAATGTTCTAAAAACGGGGATCATTTATTCCTTTTGAGAGCAGATGAATTTGCAAATAATATAAATAAAATAATCAGTATTTAATAATCAAACACTGAACGATTTCAAAATATTGCAGACAGATAAAATGAACTTCAACACACCAATAATGATGGCCATTGAAATATCCTTTTCCACCATAAAGGGCTATTGTAACGTTATAACTATGTATTTCCGAGCTGTGGTCGCTTCCCATGACTTGATGACACCCTTCATTTTCAAAACCGTATGCATGGAGCATACGGTTTTAAAAATGTTTATTTTTTGTATGGGTACACGGGACATAATGAAGGTCATATAATCGACGGCTTCGGTTCTAGACACCTTTAGCACACCACCTTACTTCCAATGGTCACGAGTTCGATTCCTCGCACGGCACAAACATTTGTATTCATGAGTATGGTTGTTTGCATCGGACTGAGCTTTATCTATGTTTATGTATTTAAGAAATAAAAATTATATCTATGTATTTGTATCAGTTATCTAGTACCCATAACACAAGCTTTAGCTAACTTAACGTAGGTCTAGATGGTGCTGTGTGAATTATCCTGAGATTATTATTATTATTATATAATATTTATAGGTTCTTACATGACATCAAAATTAATTTGAGCATTATTCTACATATTCTATTTCTCACTTGACACAAGTGTGCATTTAAAATTTTAATCAACGTCATATTGTCAGATTATTACAAATAGACATTACTATAATAAATAAGAAAAAGAGAGATAAACTCTATTTTTAATAATGTTCTATTTTAAATAATGTTCCAATTAAATTTCCATTGTACAAACTGAGCTGTATCTTAGTCTCAAATAAAAACTAATACAATTGTTGCTTGTATAATAATAACATTTAAAAGTAATGAACGAGACAAAACGGTCTATAACTCAGAGGGGGCAGTGAGTCCACAGTCCACCCTCTCTGCTATTCCACATTAACATTAATAAATGATTTTTGTTTTGATGTGATGTCCGTGTATAGGTGACTGTTGCCACTTATTAAATGGGAGACGGTGTTTTGCAATTGCAATTTAATAAAAAAATTACAAAAAGAGTAAGCACAATCCAGACTAGGATGTCCCAGTTTCTTTAGTATCCTAGGACGTCTAAATAGTTTTAAAGCAGCGTCCTGGCTTTTTAAACTTTATAATTCTCTTTTACATTTATATATTACCTAATTTAACTATCGCAACACTATTACTGTGTGCAAATTGCCAGGACAATTCAGGAAAGGAAAACTTCATGATTCACGATGACTTCATCCTGATTTTCTAAATTTGAAGTTGGCAACCCTGTTTTATACACTTTCACAATTAAACGGCCGAATGAATTTTAATTAAATTTAACGTGAAAATATATCTATTATTTTATAAAAGCAGACAAAGTCGCTGGTAAAAGCTAGTGCAATGTCAGTTCAACATGAGTCATATAATTTAAAACGAATATGATGAACTAGGTTGTACGTAGAATGAGTGAATACATGTAGGTAGCTTGTGTTTATCTCCACTCGTTGAACTCTGTACGCGCTCACTGATTATACAGGCTGTTCTTATTTAACTCTATTCTTGACTCTATCCTGATGGACTTAGCAGCGAACTGCACGCGTGCATTTCGCACTTATGCACATATGCAGGTCGCAGTGAGAAAGGTCTAATCACCGAGTAATACAAACCAAAACCCTTAATAAGAAGAGCACAATAGATCTATACAGGTCTATTCAGGTCTCTTAAGCGCCTAGTAATAGCCCAAATCCCTTAATAAATGTTAAATATATTATGATTTTTATAATTTCACATTAGTTTCTAGTAAATTAAATTCTATTTTCTAGTTGTATCATATGTGAAAATATATATAACATTTTTAGACACATAAGAAACCCTCCCGCGTTACCTACTAGTATATGCCACGGCGCTATGTTACTACCTAATAAAGTAGTTACGTAAATTTTTATTATCGTTTAAACAATTATAATGTATCCATTACAAACATATAACAAATCAAAATTTTCCTTATTGTATGTATTAAGTTTAAAAAAAATTCACTCTGTATGTGTGAGTTGACATTCGCAGTTTTGAAGGGACATCGAGAAACCGGTCCACTAAACGTAACCAGATTTACTATGGCGTGAGTCATGAAGCCTTAGTATTGTTGTAGGGTGACAACAAAGACTGACGAAGTGAGTAATATGTACAAGTTGACATCTATTGTGTCAATTTAGAGACGCTTCATTTAAAACTACTCGTACCCGCGATTTCTTATTTTTCGAACTACTCTATTAATGCTTAATTCATAAATATGTAAGTGGCATTTTGGAAATAACAAAAACATTTACCCATTGTTGCACACACTTTAAATTTTTCTACCTATTTTAAATGTATTTTCTTTATAGAATTGTCATATTTTTATTGCCACTTTTGCCTTACTATTGTTTGTGTTAGTATCTTCTTTATATTTATCATTTTTTATCCATTGTTTGATTTATATCGCTCTATGCTACATTTTGTTCGTTCTGGAACGGTACATTCAGAAAGTTGTTTCTTGTTTTCTATCATACTTGTTACATTGCCTTGTAGACATATTCAAATAAAATTTCATCGAACCTTGATCCATTTCATCATAATTCCTCAAACCGTTTTTACATGAAATATTCCACACTAAGAAATAGATGAACACTCAGAATCTTACGATTATACTACATGCAAAGACTAGCAACCAGATCTGGCTTTACTCGCAATTGATGATTTCGCGCAGTAGATAGGAGACCATATTTTATATATATTATTAATAAAATCTACAGCAATATTCGATTAAAACTGCATGCACTTCCATATAGTAGTTTTAGCGTTACAGACTAACATTTTCTTAACATCTATAATTTAAAGTATTACATGCGCGTGTAAAACTTGTCTCTATGTTTCTATGTCACCTTAGCATATGAGTGACTAATAGTGTTTTAACAAAATATGTAAATTTCTGCATTATCCATCATCATCTATCAAAATCCTTGCGTAGAAAAAATCATGTTATGCCTTTGAGGTGAATCATTCAACATATATACAGATTGCTCAAATGAATAGACATATGTAGGTTAACAAAGTAGTCATAAACAAATCATCATAAAACGTTATTGTGCTTTGCATTGCTGCTTAGATTCAATTTACAATTTCTTGATAATTGTCACTCTGTTTACACATTTCGATAAATTTATGTGGTATCTGTGGCTTTATTAATTATCTAATACTAAACGATGCGTAAATAAATAATAAAAATTTAAAATTATGTCCCCCAATGTTCCTTTGTGAATAAATAAATTTACAAACCAATCACTGCAACTTCCTTCTGAATTTTGAATTTATTTAAATAAATATTAATTATATAATTAAATAAATACAATTAATAAAATAATTATATTCACATAAGTATCATAGCAATTGTACATTGTGTAATTGTTTAAGATTTACTGTACGTATTGTCACCGTTACAATCGTAAAGTTAACCGTGAAATGAGATTTGATGACGCAGTATCAGCTCTATTGATAGCTTCCTGTTCATACATATACGAGTGTGTACATATAATAAAACTATAACTGTTTGCTATCTGTACAGCTCAGGAAGATCATGTATTCTAATTGAAAAAAATTTCCGTGTTGTATCGACGAAGGCTATATGTATATAAAGAATCATTGAAATAAGCAAAAACTAGAAAAACATTTCTTCTTCTGTAATTTGAGAGCTTCATCTCTCTTATGAGGTAGACAGAGTTAGACTATCAATGTCGCCTACAGTACAATACTTTTAGAGAATTCAGCATGGAGTTTTGGACAGGCCTTTAAATAAACTTTAATATAAAATTTATTTAAAGATCTCCTACGCGCACGTGACACCCTGGTGTTTCAGGTATCCATAGGCTGTTTACCATCTGATGGGCCGTATGTTTGATTGCCACCATCGTAGTATAAAAAAGCGTACAAACAGCGGGAGCGACTTCTTTTTATACTATTATTCTTTTTATATGTAGGTACAGATTACGTTGCTGTTTAAAAATTCCTGTTTAAAACATGACTAATGTTTTTAAACATAATTTAAAACAATGTTTATTTAAATAAAATAAAATGTCAACATGTAATTGTTTAAACTTATTACCGAACTAAAGCGGTGACACTAAACTGCTGCAACGCCGAGCTATAGCACCCTGTATCTACATATAATTTTATGTGTTGACTGTCCAGTTTTTTTTATGGATGATAATGGAATGGTGCATCCGCCTGCGCTAGTGGTATACGCTGGCGGGGGACCAGAGGAGGATGATAAGATGACCATGATGTCAGATCAGTTAACCCATCGTGACAAATTCACCGAGAATATATAGTATAACGACGGTTTCCAGGGGGAACCACGTGGAGGTCAACCTGACTGATGGACTGATGATGAAGGTATGTTAAATCAATGGATGTTCGAATAATCGACTTAAATTATCATAATTTACTTCTTTATTATTTGTATATAATAATATATTATCACATAGTATTATAATATTGTGAGTAGACCTTACTCTAAGCTAGAATACGAAATAACAATATTTTAAATATTTATTTGCATTAATATATATTAACATTTAAGTATTTTAGATTCTAATAATATTAACTCTACACAATTAACACAGCACCATCCAGACCCAAGCTAAGAAACGTTTGTGTTATGGTTACCTAGATACAAATACCTGAATATATTTTTTTATAAAAATATAAATAATGTATATTACATTCAGAACACTACAAACAATCATACTCATGAATAATTGTACCGTACGAGGAGTCGAACCAATTACCATCGTAAGGTGTGCTAAACTTGTGCTGCACTGCCGCATCCGAGTTGTTGACCGTTTTGTCTCGAATATACCTCGTAATTATATTATAAACAGCAATTGTACTAGTTCATTATCTAAGATAAATAAGGACGATAATTATTAATATTTCAGGTATTTTATTAATTACAACTGACTACTCCATCTGGGATCACAGACGTGAAGGTATATTTAATATTAACACATTTTAAAATGTTACTGTGAGAATAATTGGGTCTTGTTTAAGCATTAATTTCTATAGTGGTGATAGAATCAGCTTCTAACGTTAATGTAGCTTGTTGGTCGTTCAATCTAATTTTAACCTTTCTCTCTGATGATTCACTGTAACAAATTATTAATTTATTAACAGACTATTGGCAACTTTTCTACTCCTCTTTCAAGTCTCTACAACCCTTTTTTCCATTAAATAGTAGCCTATATCCTTTCTCAGAGTGTAGACTATCTGTGTACCAAATGTTATTTAAATCGGTTCAGTAGTTTTGGAGTGAAAGCGCGACAGACAGAGTTACTTTCGCATTTATATTATTACTAGCTACTGACCCCGACTACGCACGGGTGTACATATATTATATATAAATATATAGAAACCTTCCTCTTGAATCACTTTATCTATTAAAAAAACAGCTTCGAAGTTCTTCGCGTAGTTTTAAAGATTTAAGCATACATAGGGACAGCGACAGCGACTTTATACTATGTAATGAAGATGATGAGAAAGGAAGTAAGGATTAGATAGCCTTGCGTCATTGACCTAAGAGGAGGTATTCGTCATCTCCTCACAAGAATGTGTTCACTCTATTATTAAGTATACCTAACATGATAAAATAACCATTACTGATTAAAAGCACACTCACCTATTATACAACACAACAACAGTCGTATCGTCCGGAGTTACTAAAGCGACATTGTCGACAGACTTCGACAACAGTGGCTTGCTCTGTTCCACATCGATCCTTAGCGACCCTCTCGGTATAAACTTGGAGAAATGACCCATGGCATAGAAAGTCGGTTGTTTTACAAACTCCCCATTTTCAGGGAAGACTATAATGGGCGAATCTACGTAATTACCGACGTAGGTCGGCCCTCCCTTGTCATTTAGACACATGTTCCAGTCTATCCAACCTACTAGGTTGTAATTTAGGTCCTGGAAATAGTAATATTGAATTATAGCTATTTATAAAACATATATTTATAAAACATTAAAATGATTATGAAGTACAGCAGTACGCGGAAGAGGATTTTTTTTTATACTACAATGGTGGCAATCAAGCATACGGCCCCTCTGATGGTAAATGGTTACCGTAGCCTATTGACGCCTGAAACACCAGGGGTATCATGTGTGCTTTGCAGACCCTTAAGAAACCTCAATATACCCTTCTTGAAAAACCTGTAGTCTCGTGAGAAAACCTCGGCAGGAAGTTCATTCCACAATCTAAGTGTACGCGGGAGAAAGCTCCTCTGAAACCGCACTGTCCGAGATCACTTAGGTTCCAGCGTGTGGGAATGAATTCCCTGTCGATGGCGAGCGGTGCGATGGTAAAAGGTGGCCGTAGGCATCATGTCGAACATTTCCTCAGAACACAGTCCGTTGTATAATCAGTAGAACAAACGAAGCGAAGCGAAGTCTCGCCTCAAGCTAAGTAGTTCGTTACCGCCAGAGAGATTGGGATAATCGACAATTCTCATAGCACGTCTCTGAACCGAGTCAAAATCTGATATCCAGGTGCTGCTGCCAAAAGATGAGAGCAGTATTTTATGTGCGGCCGAAACTGTGACTTATATAAGAGAATTCTCTGGTCCGCAATAAAGTACCGCCTCGCTCTATTGAGCACACCGAGATTTTTTGAAGCCAACTTCACCTTTTCCAGGTGACTGTGGAACTCAACTGTACTAGAGATGTCGACACCGAGAATCCTAATACTCTTAGAGATGGTAACGGACGTGTTCTGGAAATGCGAAGCCACAGCAAAAGAGGTTTTCTTAGCGGTGAACGCGCAGGCTTGTGTCTCAGTAGAAATGAATTGAACTAAGTTCAGATTGTTACTAATGTGAAGCATTGCTAGCAATGTACCATGTAAGGTTGACCTCCACGTGGTTCCCTTGGATATCATCGTGATAGATTGCTGGTTAACTTGGCACGATGTTTATACATCAAAAATAATCCAGAATTGAATTACTTACCTCTAATATATCAGTAAAGTACGCTACTGCTCGATCCCAAGCTCCCAACTGGACTTTTTTTTCGAAAAATAATGAGCCTAGAAAGAAGAAACATTTTGTGCATATATAGGTAAAATACCGAAATTAAAATAATACGTTTTCCTGTTACCTATTTTGTACATTTTACATAATCTTTATTAAAATAAACTTATTATAAGTAATTTTGAATAGTAATTTTTTTTTATTCTAACAAAAATTCGAAACGCAAACTCTTCCCAAGAAGAACGTGCAAGCAATTTGCTTAATGTTCATTGTTATGTAATAGGAATGGTAAACAAGCTGACGGTACATTTGATGGTAAATGGTAACCGTCGCCTATATACAACAACACCAAAAGTATTAGAAAATTCATGCAAAACATGCTACGTTTTGTATATAACAGCGGTACCGTGTAAGGAGTCCTATACACCCTGTACTGGTTGGCACGACAATTCCCTATTTTTAAATATTTATATTTTTATATTATTTGCTATGGTTTTGTTATTACTCTATTGCCCTTGCTATCTTATATAGTTTGTTGCGACATATATTTTTATACTATACTGTTACTTTTACATATTGCGCCTTTTAATTACCACCATCATTGGCTGCACCGACCCCAGCGCCCTATACACACTCCCACACAGAGGGGTCGTCGTTAGCCCTAACTATTGGCTCGGTAGTTAGCTGTCCCAACCTCGCTATATGATATGGGTCACCATACGAAAGAATTTGTTAGTATTTAAGTTCAAAGTATAATACACATTATATCACCTTTGCATCCTTCTGTGGCCATAATGAACTTGTCAGGATAATTCTTTGTGATAGTATTAAATACAGCGGGAGGCGTTATGGTATCTATATAGAAATGAACAGCAACTCCGTCTATGTATTTTAGGCATTCTGGATGTTCTTGCACCATCTACAGTCCATAAAATTCAGTTAAAAACGATAATAATTTTTATTCTTAAACTCTCAATATCCCGTTTGAAAATCAAACTGCACATTGAGCGTCAACTCGCATGCTAAGATATTTAAGCGTAAAGTATTTGTGTCAGATATTTAGTATCCATAACATAAGCTTTGCAAGCAAAGGCTTGAGACTAAGTATCTCTGTGAGACAATTCACAATTATCCTGTGATGTTTATTATTATTAAAAGTACTTATTCCGTTTATCGCTTTAAAAACTTTAAACACAAGGCGTCACTCTTGTATATTAGATTTGCTAACCGTCCTCTTTTCCTAGGACATGTCTTAGTGTTTGTAGTAGACGGGGTTTCGAGATGCCCTGAATAGATTTTAAACAGCATTCTGTGATTGGAAATTTGGTTTTAAATTTGGAAACAAAAATTAATATTACAACTTTATTACTGCGTCCTGCAGGCGAATTATGAACTCTTATTACCAGGCAGTTTAGGCTTAAACTGAACTGCCTGGAAACTGACTGGATTAAAGAGTTATAGAGATTTAAAGAGTTCATAATACGCCCCCTAATTTTAAATTGAATAATCGAAACTACAAATCCTGTTTCTTTAATTTGGGGTTGGAAACTCTACCTTACGTTCATGTTTGCATGTGTGACAAACTACGCAATAGAAAATCAAAATTTAGTAAGTATATCAATAGTTACCAAATTGAAAAAATAGAGTACTAAAGGACGCTGGTCATCCACGCTCAATATTTTAATATCTTTAAACGTTGAATTTCTAATCAATGGTCCCAGATCGTTCGCTATCCATTGTCCCTGAAATAAAAACATTTTCCAATTATAGATATCTTATATAATAAAATGTCTGCGCATGATATCTTATCTCACCCAAACTACATCGTAGGGGGGAAGGGGATTGTTAGTAACGTGGACTGCTGATTCCATTGCCAGCAATGTACCATTTTTGGTTAATCTTCACGTGGTTCCCCCGGAAACCATTCCGTTAAATTCCTGGTGAATTTCGTGCTCATCTTAACATCCTTCACCGGTACCCCGCCAGTGTAAACCGTTAGCGCAGGCGGGTATACCATTCTATTTATCATCCATTAAAAAAAACACATCTTAGAAAGCAAGATGGCAACAGAAGTAAGAGACTTAAAAGTACTCTCGCAGACGACTTCATACAAAGTATACATCGATAATTGATCTTTAGTATCTATTTCTGTGCTTATACATATCCCATAATACACAAAGATCAATAAATATGTAGATTATTATGTTACCAAACCTAGCTCGGTCCTCTCTACTCACCCCGTAAGAATCTTGGCCTGAAGATACTAAAAAAGGATTCTTACCATATCTTCAGCTGACCATCCAAGACAATTTATTTTGGTCACTCCTAAATCACCATTAACCGGCTCGTTCGTGGTTGTGATGCCCCATATTGGCACACCCAGTGCTGTGTACATTTCAATAAATCTGAAAAATTGATGTGTACAAATTAATACTCATAATTTAAAAATATAGGTACCTCTATATATGACGAACTTTAATTAGGTTAATTAAGGTAAGAATTTTATTGACAAATGCACTTATGACATTGTTTATGCTTGTTTATGTTTATATATTTTATGGATGATAAGTAGTACTACTATTTACTAAATGTGTATTTTAATCAAAATAAAGCACTCGCTTTATAATTGCATTAACTTGTAGCGATTGTGGTAATATGGAGCCAAATTTATTTATTTTTATCTACTTTTTTTCTATATCTTTAATGTAAAAAACATCGGCTCTTAGAATTCTATAGTATGAATAGATAAAAGTGTTTGATGTTGTTGTTGTATTTTTTAAATGTAACTGGAATGGTAACGGACGGTCCACCGAATGGTAAGTGGTAACGGTTATATATGTACGTATAAATAGCTTTGTAAATCACGTCATCTTGTGAGGTCTGGGGGTACTAAAGCGTTGTCATTTCAGAGAAAGTTAGATGCTATGTTCGCACTCCGTAATTTTGTCGCCATATCTCACCTTTCTGCTGAAAAACGACTAGTAAGCTGCTTTTGTGACTTTTAATTCACAAATTGTATTTATTATATTGTAAAATATGAGTTCTTTTTGTATAACGTTGGCGGCGTTTATATAAAATAAGAACATACAGCGAACGTAGAATCAACTAAACTGACTGCTTACTTAAACATTATTAAGCAATGCAGTTCGTGCAGTTCACAATACTACTACTAGATGACGCTGTTTAAAATGCATGCAGATTTCTAGTTGGCGGTGTTAAGATTTTTTTGCTTTGAATGACCCTCCCTCGGTGCGCCATGTTTGTTATCGCTTCTCGGCCTTTTGGCTAAGATCAAAGTGTAGTATCTGTTCTTTTCAGCTTAATATCTGAAAGTTCCCTCACTGAGGGACCAGTATATTAAACTGATTTTTGTAATCCGACGGGATGTTCGGGGCTCGCTCCACTCTCGTCACGGGTCGGCCCGGCATTGCAGTGCCGCCGGGATTGGCCCACATATATCATTCACTATCAACATCATCCCTCAGCAACCACCAGTACGGGGGTAGTCTACACGTCGTACGTTTTGCATATTAGCGTACGACGTGTAGACAAACCCAAAAATCTAAAAATAATGAACAATGGAATAACTGTAGTACATACCTACTGAGTATGCAATATTATCTTGATTGTTGTACTACTATATATATACATATATAATATATGTAGGGCTCTAGTTAGTTTGCATATTTCTCAAAAATTTAAAACATATCATTTAACTATCACGGCAATAACCGTCTGTCTACTTTGCCTTAAAATAAACGGAGTAATTAGGAAAAAATCACAATGTTAAACATGAGGTGTTGAAATGTTGAATTTAGGCTACAAAAGCAGAGAAAAATGTCCTACTACTTCTTTTTTTTTGTGGATTGTAATGGAATGGTGCACCCGCCTGCGCTAACGGTTTAAGCTGGCGGGGCACCAGTGGAGGATGGTAAGATGAGCATGAGGTCGGGTCAGTTAGCCCAGCGTGACAAATTCGCCAAGAATTTAACACGATGGTTTCCAGGGGGAACCGCGTGGAGGTCGACCTGACATGGTACATTGCTATCAATGGGGTTATCAATCCACATTACTAACAATCCCCTTCCCCCTCCTGCTACTACTATATAGTATAATTGGACTACCCGACATGATACACAGTTTAGCAATATAAATTACCCCCTCCAGACTAAACTATTACAGAGGGGGGAAGGTGATTGGTAGTAATGTGGATTCATGACCCATTACTAGCAATGTACCATGTCAGGTTGACCTCCACGCGGTTCCCCCTGGAAACCATGGTGATGAATTCCTGGTGAATTTGTTACGATGGGCTAACTGACCTGACCTCATGCTCATCTTGTCATCCTCCACTGGTGCCCCGCCAGCGTAAACCATTAGCGCAGGCGGGTGCACCATTCCATTGTCATCCACTAAAAAAAAAACTGTTACAGACAGGGGGGAACAAGGTTGTTAGTAATGTGGACTAATGATCCCATTGCTAGCAATTACCATGTCAGGTTGACCTCCACGCGGTTTCCCTGCAAACCATCGTGATAAATTCGTGGTGTAGGAAAATACGCAAGAAAGATCTACGCAACCCTTTAAGTTAGCATTTAAGGAATGATTATTAGAAATATGCTTGCATTAAAACTATATACAGAAACATTAGGTAAATAAATAAAATCTTTTTAAATTTTCAAATTCTAGAAAAACTATAAATATGTATAATATATAGAATTATCCTTACTAATATTATAAATGCGAAAGTAACTCTGTCTGTCTGTCTGTCTGTCTCGCTTTCACGCCAAAACTACTGAACCGATTTAAATGAAATTTAGTACGCAGATAGTCTAGACGCAGAGGAAGGACATAGGCTACTTTTTAATGCGTAAAAAGGGTTGTAAGGGGTTCAAAATGGAAATACAAGGTTATCTTTATGCGGTTGAATCCTTATTCGTCATCTTTTCATTTCACTAGCTAACAACCAATCAACACATCGCGTGCGTTTGCGCCATTCGCCATCTTTTCATTTCACTAGCTCACAACCAATCAACACATCGCGTGCGTTTGCGCCAATAAGGTATCCATCACAGAGAACAAGACCACAGATAACATAATGTAAAACGAAAGATCTTGCCGGAAACATGACGTTGACGTTTAGTGAAAATATTGTTTTTTGACACTTTTTTATGATAAAATCGTATATCGTGTGTATGTGTTTTTTCTTTAAACCTGAAATTGGCCGATTGCGAGACAAATTTGGCGATTTTTTTTATTAATTTGTTTTACGGCTCTGGATACAAGCCCAGTTTAGCCCAACTTAAAGTTTTACAATTTAAATTACAAAAATTAAAGTCAATGTCCAATGTTAAATAATAATAAATGTCAAATGTTGTTTCCCTGTTCTGACAAACTTAAAAAAAAAACTTAATAACAATCACAATTTCTTCACATTTTATTATTTACATTTTTTAAAGAATGTTGTGGTGTGGCACTATCCGAAATTAAATTATTTACCCATTTTTGTAGGTTATACAGAAATAATGTGTGGGTGTTTATTTAAAAAGCATTAACACAAAATTAATAAAGTATAGGTATTAATAAATATATGGTTGTTGTATCAAAATAGAATTTTCTTATTTTTCACTAAAATAAAAACTAACTGTCTTTTTTATAAAATAAATGACCTTTTCATTGTGCCATATATTATGGAACTATTTAAATTATTTAGCTGATTGTAAGAAACAAAATGTTGGTTTGTAGATTAATACTGTAAAATTATTATTTGTACGGAAACGATAAAAATATATTTTTGTGCTGCGACAAAAACTAATATTATAAATGTGAAAGTAACTCTGTCTGTCTGTCTCGCTTTCACGCCAAAACTACTGAACCGATCTGAATGAAATTTGGTATACAAATAGTCTAGACCTGAGAACGGACATAGGCTACTTTTTAATGCGAAAAAAGGGTTGTAAGGGGTTAAAAGGGGGGATGAAAGATTGTATGGAAGAATCGTCATTTTTGAAGCTAGAAGCTTGAAACTTATTTTTGAGACTGTTGATTAAATATAAATAAAAATGACATTCAATGTTTGTAAAAAATTACCTTATAAATTGACTTACTTAAGGTGATACAATGCATAAGTGCTGTAGTATTCGGGCAGCAAATGACTTTTTCCAGAGAAGGCGTGATTTGACTTCATCCAAACCGGTGGCGACCACGTCGTCGCCAGCACGTGTACTGACGTCGATGATGCTTCAAAAATGGCTTTCAGCATTGGAAGCTGAAATATTTAACTTAACACTACACTAGCTGTGACTCGACTTAATGTTTTTGTAACAAAAGATAGCCTATATCCTACGCGATAAAATCTATCTTTCATTAATAAAAGTAAAATGGAAGATGGTTTGACACGGTTTGTGGAATGCGTAGTATACAGTATTTCATTTGTCTTACTGCCCGTAATTGTATTACATTGAGGTATCTAGGTAACTGCCCCATACATACCTTCAAGTCGTAGTCTTCAGACGTGAGATTGAAGTGTGTCAGGTTGACGTCATCCTCTGGTTCGTCATTGTAGGCATAGGCGTGAGTCGAGAAGTCTGTGCCACCTATAGGCAATCGCACCACATTATACTCCAGGCCAGTACTGCTGAAGTAAGAGCTGTGGAAGATTTAATACATTTAGAAGAAGACAGCTAATTGGAAATATTATTAGTGACATAATATTGTAATTATGTAAATAGACATATTATAGTTTAGATAAAGGTACTTGGTGATCCTATTTATTACTGGCTGTTGCCTCGACTTTACTTTATTAAATGAATTTCTCAAATAAAAGTAGCCCAAGTTACTTCTTATAACTTACGCTTCAAAATCGGTCAAGCCTTTTTAGAGGTTAGCAGGAACAAACAGACAGACAATTTTTTTATGTAAGTACCATATATACTTTCTGATCCACTTAGTGAAGGAGAGGCTGTTGTTTGACCTCCTAGATGGGAGTTTCCTTCTTTAGGGCTCATGCAAGTTCCATAGCCTCGGTGTTCGAATTGGAGGAACAATCGTCAGATTTTTAGCGGGTAAGAATTCGGCAGTCTCCATCGGCCTCTATGTCGGTGGTGGATGTGAAAATTTTCCTGACATAAAAAAAGGTACTGTGCATCCCACCACATTATTGTTATCCATTAAGAAAATATTTCTTGACTCATGTAGCTCAGAATAGACGTATAATCAATCATTTGTGATCTATCATACATAAGGCGAAAAGCTATTGTAGTAGGTAAAAATAACATTACTCTATAAGATACTGCATTAATTGTGGGTCGCTCAAGTTCTTCCAATTTAAAGCAGTGGAGTCGGTCACGGCTCCACCAAACCCTTCTATAAACTGGTATTTTTTGTTCGGGTCCAACGTCAGTACCGTTTTGAAGATGTCTGAAAGTAAGTTAACATGATCAAATTAAAAAACCTTATGTTCAACGACTTTATGCAAAGTTTGTGACTGCCTCTGTATTGCCTATTTCAGCCGCCAAGCAACTTGAAACATTTTGCGTCTTATAAAGTTAATAGCTTTTTTATGAAAATGGGCAGTAAATTATACAATATGATGTCTTCATATGTACTTACTAATCAGTAAACCAGCACATCTCTTGATATGTTGGATCTACTGTTTAGTACGTTCAAACAAATTTCAGATTTGTTGAGACAGTGAAAATATAGAATTCCGTATTCTATCGCAAATAGTCCTCAGTCGGAATGGTACCACAGGCGTTATATGATAGCGTAATGGCTATAGGTAATTATTTCCACCTATCTGTTGAATCGTCAGGTAGTTTACCATTTCAGTTACATTAAAAAAATATAAAATGTGCTGTAAAATGCACGTTAAGTATTTGAGATATATCCTCCTCCTGTGGTTATACCACGGACATAACGTTGTAAAAATTGGCGCCTCTTTTTTTTTACAGGATACAGCGACCAAAGTCATTGACGCAGCATGTAAGTAATGTAATTTTCATAAAATTACCATCATTTTCGTACGACTCCAACTCGCCAAAGATTTTCTTAAACCTGGAACCTTCCTGTAAGAATATATTTACTTTTGTTAATGTTGATAGTTGGCAGTTTGTATTCTTAAATATGCTATGCTGAACAACAATTATTTAAAAGAGCAACACGCAAGTTTCGTATTATTTCTTCTTGTAATAAGTCTGCTTTCCAAATGAGCAGTAGAATAAAAAGTAAAAAAAGATTATTTACATGTGCTTACAATAAGTTTATTTGAATAGAGGTTATTTCTATTTCTACAACATGATTTAAATACGAAACCAAGGGGACCCGACACCCGGCACGGTGAATCTATGCAATGCTAAGAAGTTCGTCTCTCTCCCCTTTTTCTATCTTGTTGAATGTTCGACACTTACCTTAGATGAAGTATATGCAATATACGCGCCATCACCGTCAGGTCTGGCCCTAGTGATCTCGTCACAATACGTCGTGTTACAAACACAGACAACCGATTGACCTTCTATCTGACGAGCGGCACACGTTTTATCTGTGAATTAATTTATTATATTTTGGTATAATGTAACTTTTTATGCTATCAAAATAAATAATTGTAATAATCCATGGATAATTTACACAGACAGTAAGAAAGTTTGGTAGTTGTGTAATGCGGACTAGTGACCACAATTCTAGCTATGTACCATGTTAGGGTTGATGTTCATGTGGTTCCAGCAAGAAACCATGATAAATTCCTGGAGAATTTGCCACGATGGACTAACCGACCATGAAAGTCGGTTAGTCCATCGGACTCCTTACGCTGGCACACGCTTATCACGTTACGCTCATCTTATCATCTTCCACTGATGCCCCGCCAACGTAAACCGTTAACATATTATCCTTTTATACATTATCCCCATAAAAATATGCAATTCATATTTAAAAAATGTACATAGAATACCTACTCATGAATACTTTTACGCGAAAAACATTTGGCTCATGAAAGAGCAAGGAACTAATCGTTTTATCTACTGTAATGACACACAATATCGTATTGTCACTGGAATAGGCTATGGCGAATAAACCAAATATGTGTATATATATTTATATTATTCACAACTTATTACACCTAATAATATTTACTTTTTCCATTCTATAATTGCAAATATTGTTTTACTTTCTTCATTTATGTGCTGAGACAATTAAATATGTTACTAAGCAGATTGTTATGAAAATATTGCTTACTTACTACAATGCCACTAGTGAGGTTATATATTTACACAAGTGTTTTTTCGTATTATGTATCATAATAATGGGAATATCTGTATATCAATGCTTAAATACATCTTATAATATGCATAAAATAAATCTAATATACTTGTGTAAAAATGAGGTCCCGATATTTTAGCAGTGTTTCAACCGCGTTAAACATTGCGAAGTATTGAGATTGAGTTCCCAATACTTCGGCGATGTCAAAATAAATAAAACCAGGTACGGTCCCTAGATTTTTCTTTTTTTTAAATAATAGCCGCGTCAAATATTAAAAAGTACATAAATACATGACATGTATCTTAACATAGTATAAAAAAAAGTCGCTGCCGCTGTTTGTTCGCCTATATCTTTTAAATTACGCTACGAATTTGAAAGCGGACGGATTAGTAATTAGTATTGAAGTCAATCACATCCGCTTTTTCGAAAACTGAGAAGCCCAAGATGGCGGCCTATGAACAGCGACTCTAACAAAAAAGGCATTACACGAGCAGCCCGCGAACAAAACGGACGAGTCGTGCGCACGTAACGCGCACGCACGCACCTAAAAATAATATATTTATCGATAATATTCGTTGCGCGAATTGACAAAGACTTAGTATTATAATAAAATATTTACCAGAATAAACGCCATTAGCCCAGAAAATAAGTAGCACAGATATAAAAGTACAGAATTTAAAGTAGATCATTTTTACTATATTCCAGTGTGCTTACACATTGAAAACTACGTTTATACTAAACTTCCACTATACATTTCAATATTTAAATATCCATTGTCAGGTATTGTTAATTAGTAAAATACATACATATGCTATTTACACACATACATTACATATTATCTGTATTAATTAAAGGCAAACATTGTGACGAAAATGGTTTATCACTAGCTTACAATAACTGTGGAAGAAACTACCTGACGATTTCTCTTTGCTGTCTGAATTGGGGTTTTTAAGAATGGTTTCAATTATTTCCTTTATTTGGGGACTTTTGTACAAACTAAAAGTACAGGTCAGCCCCATTGTGCCCTAAAACTAATAACTACATCACCAAAGAGGAAATTGCCTTAGTCGCACTATCTGAAGGATCGGCGAAAGCGCTGTGAATGGCATCTACATTCAAAAAGAAAGGTACAGTCAGGTTTCTTAAGGGTCTTTTTTATTTAATAGCTGGTAAAATAATGCACCCGTTTGCGCTAACGGTTTATACTGGAGACCAATGAAGAATGATAAGATTCTTCAGGTCAGCCCATAGATGAAAATTTTTTAAAGAAATTATCACTATGGTTTCCAGAGGGTTGACATGGTACATTCCTAGCAAGGGGTGACTTTAGTCTACATTACTAAAAATCCCTGTTCCCCCCGGTTTCTGCAAGGTGAGCGTTACCTGCCTGGTGTTTTAAGTATCCATGAGCTACGGTAACCGTTTACCATCAGATGCACCGTATGCTTAATTGGCATCACTGCAGTATAAAAAAAGTGTAACTGTTGCTGGCAGCTTGTCTATAATTCTTTTTAAAACTTTGTGTTTTGTATATGTCACTTTAGACTTCTTGGCTTTGAGCTCTTTTGGGAAATATACAAATTTATTACAATTATTAAAGATTTTTATTAACAGTCGTTGTGTACCCGCTCCAGTCACAGTAACTTGTATCTTTTTTCTTATTTTGCCTGGCCTTAGTCCTATTTATTTGGGGTGGGCCGGTCTGGTCAATTTTCGCCAGTACGATCTATCCTAGGTCGTCTACCACTACACCGTCGTGTACTTTTATCTACCGCAACACTACGGGACTTATAATTGCGTTTCCAGCCTATTAAGAAGAAATTATCTCCGTCTAGATTTCAATATAGTATCGGTTCGGAAATACTATTACTGGAAGGTCATTCCACAATGTGGTTCTGCGTTTAAAGTGACGTCTTTACTTCCAGAAATGAATCGTATGTAACACATTCACCAGGAAGCAACTACGACGGTTTCCAAGGATGATAATTTCAAGAAGGAAGAGCGAAGTTCCAATTACCAACTAATTTGGCCCAATTTTAGGGGGCCAGGAGTGAGTGAGTAACTGATTGCTGAAACACTAAAACGAAATGATTAGATTAACGGTCACGGTGATCTAGCAGTATAGCACACCGCCTTACTTCCGATGGTCGCTGGTACACACGTTTGTATTCATGAGTAGGTATGGTTGTTTTTATCAGTCTAGGTATTTTCTATGTATATTAGCTGGCACGTGCAACTTCGTCTTCATTACACTTACTTGACATTTAACGTTATATTTCGCCCAATTTACATAATATCTTTTTAATTTATAGCCTATATTTTTCTCTGTTGTATAAGTTATATATTACTTTAACTTTCAACAAAATCCATTCAATAGTTTTTGCGTGCAAGAGTAAGAAACTTCCATACTCTCAAACTTCGTGTTTATAATAGATATCATTAAGATTAAAAAGATAAGATAAGGTAAGCAATAATAAAAAAAAGATATGTATGTAAGTATTTATAGCAGTTGTCTAGTTATCCACAAGCTGTGGTTAGATTGGGACTAGATAGCGCTGTGTGAATTGCCCTGAGATATTATTATTAAAAACTATTTTCATATGCAGACTATAGTCCACGGGGAACGCTTTTAAGTTTTATAGATACAGGTGTCATAATTTCCAGTCACCACATAACGGTAAGGAAGTTTCCTTACATTTATTTGAACAGCGGCAGTGTATTGTATGTAAAACTGACGTTAATAGCAAGAGTGTTAAATAAATAATCCTACAAAAGAGACAATGCGACAAAAGTTACAAAACTAAAAATAGCCGAAATTTAATATATATATACCTTCCTGAATGAATCAACGCATTACCATGGCGCCCTAATCTACTGAAAACAATATATCCATTTACGAAAGCAATATTGCCTAATATTAATAGCTTACTAACATTATAAACGCGAAAGTTTGTGAGTATGGATGGTTTTATTATCTTTTATTCATTTACGGCCTCGGTGGTCTAGCGGTTTAGCACACCGCCTTACTTCCGACGGTCGCGGGTTCGATTCCTCGCACGGCGCAAACATTTGTATTCATGAGTATGATTATTTGTGTCGGTCTGGGTGTTTTCTACATATAATATGTATGTATTTACGAAAATAAAATATCTATGTATTTATCAGTTATCTAGTACCCATAACACATGCTTTACCTAGCTTAACTTGGGTCTAGATGGAGCTGTGTGAATTGTCCTGAGATTATTATTATAGATTATTATTATTATTCAATCCTATCTCTAGTGAATTAGACATGATGAATACCTTTTACCATTGCACCGCTCGCCACCGGCAGAAAATTCATCCCGACACCCTGAAACCTAATATAAGTGGTCTCGGACAGTACGGTTTCAGAGGAGCTTCCTCGCGCATACACTTAGATTGCGAGACTACAGCATGGTGTTTTTCAAGAAGGGTATATTAAGAGTTTTAAGTTTCATAAGAGTCTGCAATGTGCACGTTACACCCCTAGTGTCTCAGGCGTACATAGCATCGGTAACTGTTTACAATCAGATGGGCCAAATTTTTTTTGGCACCATAAAAAAATCTCCATCGATGTCTTAGCACTAATATTACAGGATAAGAGGTGACATGTTAGTTTTTTGGAATGGCACGTAAAGCCTTTATATGCATAATTAGGTGACAACTAAACAAATGCCATGCACCACCAAGTAGGTGGTCAGCTTGTTTAACATTCCAAACAGGTATATTTTATTTTATAAAATATATTTTACTAATATCATAAACGCAGAAGTTTGTGAGTGTTGATGATACTCTTTCATACAAAAACGATTAAATGTGTTTGGGAAACTACTCTGCTACCAAAATGTTAGGGAAACGTCAGTCACGTATCTGTATGGTTCTGCGGATTTCTTGGGCTTCAGGGTCTCGAAGGTATCTTCGCTAGCTTTCCAGTTTCACAGTAGGTTTGACACAGTTCTAATTTATTTTAATTCACAACACAATGCGCGCGCGCGTCAAGGCCGCTGTACGGTCCGTTTGTTACTAGTTAAGGGAGGGGAAGGCAAAGCGCGGGAACACAAACTAACGGACTCTAATATAATAATCTGTGCTTACGATGATACCGGGTAGATTTTGAACAAAATGTTATGTACATTATTACATATTATTTTAATCAATCTTTACTATAATATTGTTCATACATCAGAATAACACATTCCTAGGCTATTAATCTCTCGCGGATAAAACCGCAGGTATGGCTAGTAAATAATTTATATGGAACGTGGTAATTACTAGGTAATATATAATGTTTTAGTTGTAGGTAAATTAAAAACATTTACCCGTTTCCTGCAATTAAACAATTGTGTCGTTTAATTATAAAATAGATATCTATATAGTCATTATTTATATCTATTTTTTTAGTGCAGATAGATAATAGAATAATGACGTCTTTAGAAGTAGCGCACAGTATTTTTTTTGACACAAGCGTATCTAATCCTAAGCTAAGCTGACCCTGTGTTATAGATTCTACACAACTGATATTAATAAAACATCATTATTACGTAGTATAAAACAAAGTTGCTCTCGCTGCCTGTCCCCGAAGAAATACAATCCCGGATTCTTCAAGTCTATGGTGAATAGATATCTTCTGGGTAAGCTCGCTACATCCTAGGTCTAACCATTCCATCAGATGAGGTAAGACCAAGTGCAAACCCATAGATAATAAAAATAAATTAAATCTTTAAAACAACGCAACGGATTTTGAAGTGGTTTTTTAAATAAATAGAGTGATTCAAGAGGAAGGTTTTGGAGCGTGTAGCTAGATATAATTTATAAAAAATATATATTTATTATTTATATCTACTTTTTTATTGAAGATAATTGGAGAATGACGTCTTTCGATTTGTAGAAATTTAAAACAAGTCTTGTGTACATAAAATTAAGTAGGTAGGTTTATTGTTCGTGATACAAAAGAATTTACAGTATTTTATTGAGCACTTATTCAAGACAAGGCTAGACTAATGGCCATCTACTATTAGCCTAGCCTTGCCCCGTTTTTTAGTTAGTAATAATAATGATAAAAGGCGTAAAACCCTCGGCAGGAAGTTCATCCCACAATCTAAGTGTACACGCGAGGAAGCTCTTCTGAAACGTGGGGATGAATTCCCTGTCGATAGCAAGTATACAATGGTAAAAGTTATTCATCATATCTATATAAAACATTACAACCATTATTTAAAAGAGCAACACAGAAGTTTCTTGCTCATTCTTTTTGGGATGAGACAGCTTTCGGAATTAGTGGTAGATTCAAAAAGTAAATACGACTATTGAAAACTTTTAAATATACTTTTGAATAGTCAAATATATTTGAAAAAAGAATTTTCTTTTCTTTTTTATTCAACAATCACATTCTTAAAATATTTATTACTCCTGCTGAGGAAATGTACTAATATTAAATGTGATGCATTATTATTTTTCTTCCCACCTGTGTACTCAATAGTTTTGCCAACTTACCCTGTAATTAACTACATTATTTCACAATATCAATCGTAACTTACCTTACATATATACTTATATATATAATATACTGGAAGGCGGCAGATATTGGTAAAACAGAAGTACCTACCCCTCACACGACTTCATATAAAGTCTATCTCAGTAAATTAGGGTAAGTGATAATAAACGGCCTCGGTGATCTAGCGATTTAGCACACCGCCTTACCTCCGAGGGTCGCAGGTTCGCTTCCTCGCACGGTATATCAGTTGTCTAGTACCCATAATACAAGCTTTAGCTAGCTTAACTTGAGAATAGACAACGATTATTATTATTACTATTAAATAAAAGTTGGTAAGACAGACATACACTCTTATCAAATCAAATCAAATCATTTATTCGCAGAATACAGTACTTATAGGTGTATACAATATTAACGACGAAACGACTTTAAATAAAGTCTACCTCGGGTGAGTTTGATTATATGACGTTCAATTAAAGAAAATTGATTTCATTACTAATTGTTTATTTATCAAATAATATAAATCACAAATTTCATAGTATACATAAAATTACTTATTACACATACACTAAGAACGTAACTCAATCGTTGTTATGGATTTTGCATCTAAAATCAGCGACACCTCTTGATAGTTGCCAACTTTAACTTTGACAGGCCTAGTGGAGCTGTCCCTGAAAAAAAGTTGTAGATTTTTAAGTAATTTGAATGCAAAAACATTATGTGACGCTCTAGTACCACGTGGGGCATCAGGTTCTTTACCAATAGCTGCCTCTTTACATACAGTGTTTCACGCGCGAATTTGCTTTCACACAGGATGGAATGTGCATGTCAATGTAGACAAAGTGAACGAGAAAAACAACCCTTACATTTTGTCACTGCCATCTCTCATCCTTCAAACCAAAACACAGCATGCAAAGCAAGCTTCTTTGCGGCTACAATATGTGACACAAAAGTATGCTGTCCACTTTGAATAAAGTATCTGACACGATTATTTATTTATTTACGTCATACTAAGCGAGCTTATAGTTTCCTAATATGCCCATTTATGTGGATGAATGTTTAGATGTTTTTTACTCTTTCATGCAAAAACTGATATTCCTATACTTATGAAATTTGGTACACAGATAGATTAAACAGATGGATATTCTAAGAGATATCTTTCTTCGACTTCATTAAGCAATGCGAAATATAAATACCTAAAAATAATGCCAACTTACTTATTATAAATTATTACAACCACAGTTTTGTACGGAGTAAGGAACGCAACATGAAGTAGCGACCGATAATAGAACGGTTTCGACTGCGTCACCTCCACTCTTCTCGAGCCTCTTGGCACAAACTTCGAGAAATGCCCCATGGCGTAATACGTCGGTTGCTTCAGGAATTCACCGTTTTCTGCGTCCACTATGATGGGTGAGTCCACCATATTCCCAGCCCAGTTCGGACCGCCTTCTTTATTTAAGCACAAATTCCAATCCAACCAACCAACCAGGTTGTAATTGAGATCCTGAAAGAAGGAAAGGTAGTTAGACTCTGCATTGACATATAAACACTTTTACACTTTGTCACAATAACCGTCTTTTTATTATTTTTATAATTTAATTTTTAAATAACTTTATTAAATTGTCAATAATATCACTGTGACAAAGTACTAAAAACTAAATTTGTACACAGGTTAGGACTACAATACTGTATATACTGTCTGTTATTACTATTGAAATCCTTGTGTGATTACTAGAATTCGAATGCTAACGCTAACTCTACTACGCATAATATAGTAATATAGGCACTATATCTGAGTAATCAACGTCGATTTTCTAAAAAGTCTTGGGTACCTCAGTCTCAACTATTTCAGATACTGGGCACCTTATATGTAAGACGCACTTGTATTTCGGTTGTTCTATATAAATAAGGCAATGAAATTATATGTTACTAGACATGTCATCTTAGTTCCCCGGAATGAACACAATTCAGTGATATCAGGAACGTCACATAATAACGTGTTATCCATACAAGAATAGGACGTGCATGTATATAGACATAATATCATTCTGATCATCTGCATGAATGGCGATCCTCTAATGTACCTACATTTTTCCAGAAACAATTTGCCACGCACAACCACATTATGGATCACCTTCTAGTAATCGTATTTTCGAATCGAGAACCCCATCAATATGCTTGCTTTTCTAATTACATAAAATCTTACCTGAAAGATATCGTGAATATAAGTATATGCGCGTTGCCAAGACCCCAATATCACTTTCTGACTCTCCCACGGATTACTACCTGAAAATTATTAGTTTTCACTGAAGGACGGTTAGGAACGAAATTTGATGGGCACAGAGTACTTAATATGGGTAGGTACATATAGAAAAGAGACAGAGAGAGAGAGAGAGAAACAGAAATAGTAACATTCTTTATTCAAACTTAATATTCTTATATTGCTTTTGAATAATGATATTTTTATTTATTCTACCGCTCATTCGGAAAGTAGATTCATCACAAGAACAACTAGTAAGAAACTTGGACGTTGTTCTCATAAATTAATGTTGTTCATTATTATATATTTAAGATTTTGTGTGAATACAAACTGCGAAATAGAATAGAATAGAAAATTATTTATTCAAATAAATTTAATTTAAACACTTTTGAATAGTCATAATATTTTTTTTAATCGACCGCTCATTCGGAAATCTGTCTCATCACAAGAAGAACTAAACTTGTGTGTTGCTCTTTTAGATTATCCTTGTAAATAGAAAGGCAAATAAAGATAATAGCTACTTTAATAACAAAATATACTTTATTGTTTTATTGTATATTCTTGTACCTTTGCATTTCTACTTGTGTGTATAATGTACTATCACAGGTACTACTATCACTCTTTTACCCAGCACAAATTTATATAAATAGCACTGTGTAAATCGGCCAGGGAAGGATATTATTATTTCAAATCATAGTTTATAAAGTAAGCTGCTTGGCGGCTGTAATAGGTGAGATAGACATTCCCACGCAAAGGACACACATACAAAAATTTGTACAACATACATCGTAAAATAAAAAAAATACTAGATTGATTACTATTGAAATCAGATCAAGCTGTTTTCCTTTTTTTTTGGGAAAGTCCTCATGGACATCCCCCATCCCCCACTCCGGGAGAGGTAAACGGGTACTGCCGGACTCTTATCGGTTAAAAACACCAAGGTGGCAACCCCTGACAAAATGTGAAGAGAAGGTACTTCTCGTCACATTTTATCAGGGTTACGGGAATGCGTGAGCAGTCCCAACGGCGTTGGCCCGCTTATTCAAATCCTTTCTCATTTTTTACATCATTTATTATTTCACTTATCTACGCAAGCTTCAGTACTTTTAAAATCAGAATTAAGTATTTTACTTACCTACGCAAGCTTCAGTAGAAATGATGAATTTATCTGGGTAATATTTAGAAATCAACGTTAGTAATTCTGGAGGAGAGACTGCATCAAAGTAATAGTGTACTGCTATACCATCTATGTACTGCAAGGCTGTTGGACGTTCTTTAATCATCTGGAAGGATAGAATAGAATTATACTGATCCAACGAATTTATAAATATAAAAATTGAGCATGGATGGTTTTAACTTTTTCTTAAAATTGGAACATCGCTCGTTTTCAACAAATTAGGCTACAGATCAGACTCTAGATTTTTAGCTAACCCTAATTCAGGTGGGCTGTGACATATAAATATAAATAGGATATAACTAGAATTCTATTAGTTATATTGTCTTTATATTTTTAGAGTAAATAATGAATTATTAAATTCATAAAAAAAAAACAAAAAAAACGGTGGTTATTTGTGTGATTTATTGTTGTATTTGATTAAATAAACGTAAAATATAAATTATAATGTCGTTTATAAACCAAACAATATTGGTTACTTTTTATAACAATATCTAGTAAATTCCGCGACTTCACCAATAAATAAATGTACAAATTACCTTTTTTTTGTTATTATTATCACAATATTCTTCCGCCAAACATAAAATTAAATCTTACCAAACCAAAAAAATATGGTAAAGTTATCCTTTGATCATCGACCGCCAGAATTTTTAGTTTATTGAACTCCGAATTGCGGATTGTAGGTCCCAAGAAATCAGCTATCCATCTTCCCTGTAACAAAGCGACCAGCATTTTTCAGCCTTTACACGATTTTTCAGGCCGGTTTAGGTGCGCGGAAGATTTAGCGCGGTAAAGCCAGAGCGCGCAATTGCGATTTTTTGTTTTCACTCTTTCGCGTGTATGATTCACGTCATTTCACTTTTTTTTAAACATTATCCTAAAAAAGATAATGTTTAAAAAAAAGATCATCCTTTTTAGGATGAAAAATAAAATCTGTGGAATAAAAATTCCACAGATTTTATTTTTCAAGGACTTGTTTAAGATTTATAAATTATCGACAACTATATCATTTTTAACTAACTAACTAACTAGGTTTTTGTTCCATAGTTAGATATCCGCCATTGGAGGCAAGGGATTGTTAGTAATGTGGGCTACTAACTACATTACTAGCAATGTACTATATCAGGTTGACCTCCACGTGGTTCCCCCTGGAATCGCCCATCCCTCATCGTGATAAATTCATGGTGAATTTACCACGATGGACTAACTGACCTGACCTCATACTCATCTTATCATTATCCACTGGTGCCCCGCTAGCGTAAACCGTTAGCTCAGACGGGTACACCATACCATTAGCATTCATAGGATATCCGCCATTTTGTAATGGAAATTAACTATTACAAAAAGGCGTTAGCTAAAGCATGCATGGTTGAAGGATTCGGGAATGCGCGAGTTGGTGGTACGTACTGTCTTTCTCGTTCTTTTAGTCTACATTTACATGCTCATTCTTTTTTTAATTTATTCATTGTAATGAAAATAAAAGCAAAAATATGGAGGTCTATGTCTTAGGAAATACCAATGAACCGAGGCAGTGAAATAAATATAAATAAATAACAAAAGTTAACTTGTCCATCAGCATAAAGGATATAAAAAAAATGAAAGGTACTTATACAAAATTAAGTCATTAACCGAACACTTGGAATTCTTTCTTACCATATTCTTCGCGGTCCATCCAAGAGAATTGAATCTGACAGTACCAAAGTCGCCATTAATAGGTTCATTTGTGGTAGTAATACCCCAAATGTTAATGTTTACCTCCTTGTACTTTTGCACGAACCTAAAAGAGTGCAGATATAGCAGTAGCACATATGCCGTTACAACTTCATCCTTAAGGAGTTGAAGTAGTCTGAAGAATCTTATAATTAGCAGATAGAATGTCCTTTTAATAATATTAATAAAGCTGACCCGCGCAACTTCCTCTGCATCCCGCTTACTTCATGCGAAAGTTTGTAAGTATTAAACATCCTTCCATCCATATATCCATCTGTGGATGGTTAGCTTTTTCAATGAAAAACTATGGATTTTGATGAAACTTTACAGTTATATAGCATAAACATCAGAATAATACGTAGGCTATAATTTAAAAAAATATTATCTAAATTCGCGGGAAATTATCAATTATAAGCATAAGGACGTGTAGAGAAGTCGGAACCGCCTATAGGCACCCTTACCCTGTTATATTCTGACATTATATGTCAGAATATAACATGGTAAGGGTATATATATTATGGAAGGATGTTTATTACTTACAAACTTTCGCATTTATCTATTAGTAAGATAATACAAAATAATTTACACGATAGCGCATCTAGTTCCAAACACAACAACTGAAACTAGAACTTATACTTAACAACTGATAGAAATACTTAAATACATACAATAATATTCATAAACACACATGTTTGTATACTGCGACGAATCGTACCCGCGACCATCGGAAATAAGGTGGGGGGCTAAACCGCTAGACCACCAACGTCAACACTTGTTTTGCAATATAATATTAAGGAAATAGCACATAAAGAAACTGCACATAATATATAAAATGTCACTTGAATAAATATAGAATTAACAAAGCATAAAATTCTGCGTAATGACGAAGTAAGTAAATAAATGTACTATTTGTTAATTCTAAAAATATCAGAAACAATACACCGAGAACTTGAAATAATTCAATATAATATTCTTTGTCGATGGTCTCAGTGGTTTAGCACACCGCTTTCTAGTCGCGGGTTCGATTCCTCGAGTATACTCTTGCGGAGCACTAATTGAGAATGATTTTATGTTATCTAATCCTTCAACCAAAACACAGCTTACAAAACACTTGGCATAAAGCTGCTTGGCAACAAAAGAAAATACGAAAAAGGTATGCCAAGGCACCTGCAGAAGGACTTATGTGGCTGAAGACCAACTCCCCCCTTGACACGAGAATTTTATATATTAGATTATTATGTACATACTTGAGATGATAGTCAGCATAAGTCTGGTAATACTGTGGTAGTAGATGACTGGCTCCTACTAGTGCATGGTTGGATTTCATCCATCCCGGTGGTGACCACGTGGTCCCTATTACGTGGACTGGGATCGGCGAATCTTTCTTTATTGCCTTCAGCATCGGAATCTACATTAATAGAAACATACACAATAATATATTTTAGTAGCTGTGCCCGCGGCTTCACCTGCGTTAAATTTCAGTAGGTATATAAATTCCAATAAAAAGTGTACCCTATATGTTATTCTGATGAGCTATATTACTGTAAAGTTTTATCAAAATCCGTTTAGTTTAGTTTTTACGTGAAAGAGTAACAAACATCCATACTCACAAACTTTTAAGTTTATAATATTATTAAGATTAAGATGACTAATAATATACAGTTGTACACATACTTCATATGCGATCTATATTAATATTATAAATGGAAAATTAAGTATATCTGTCTGTTAGTATGTTACCTTTTCACCACTAAACAGCTGAACGAAATTTGCCAATAAAATATTTTATATTATGAGGAGAGCCATAGGGTATCTTTTATCTATAATAAAAAAGACGAAATGCCTTTATAATATCCTATTGTAAAAAACTATTCGTTGTCATAGTATAACTGCAATAAGATTTTTATCTTTCCATATATATAATAAAATAAAATATATGAAATAATAATAATAAAGTATAAAATAAATATATAAAGTCTACCTTATAATCATAATCCTCTCTGGTTAAGTTGAAATTAGTAAGGTTGACGTCATACTCGGGAACTTCGTTATAAGCATAAGGACGTGTAGAGAAGTCGGAACCACCTATAGGCACCCTTACCATATTATACTCGATACCAGTAGAACTGAAGTACGATCTGTAACATAAAATCATACTTATAGGGTTAGCAAAGAGTATTTATATAAATAAATACCCTTCAATGCACACCATACAAAATGTAGTATAGTACATTTGGCGAACTTTAAAACCATGCGGCATTTTCTACCAGTCAACCATAGGTGGTGCAGAGAATGATTGTTGACGGTGAAAAAATATAATTAAACATAAACGATATGAAGCAAAATATAAACAGAACGATAAATATAATATATATCTCAGAGACACAAAATTATATTATAGATATAAATATACACATATATACAAAATAAACTTAAATATGTACGAAATAGTCAGTCACAGAACTAAAGAGAGTAGATTAGAAAAAAATGGAAGAAAGAAAATTGACAGAACAAAAAAAGTTACGAATTGAGATAATATTCCGTAGTTTACGTTTAAAAGAAAATTTATTCGTAGCGGTTTTGATATCAAGAGGTAAGTCATTCCAAAGTTTGATAGCCTGAACGGCGAAATGGCGGCTGAATGGACGAAGCCGGACAAATGAGCCGGGATATGAAGTAGAAATTTTCTACTTGTGCGAATCTGTATTCACTGTTGATTGGTGCTGTCCCCGTGGATATGAAATTTACTCCTACTATAATCACGAATATTTGGATCATATAGAATAGAATGGAGAGTATATAGCAAACGTACATTTCTACGATATTTATGTATTGACAAATACAAAAAAAAATAAAAATATATAGTATATATATATATATATATATATTATTTATGACATAGGTATTATAAAAAGAAGAAAGACTGCATCGGCAACTATAGGCCAATTTCTTTACTACCAGTGCTCTCAAAATTACTTGAAAAGATCATTAATAAAAGACTCGTATCATTTCTGAATGACAACAAAATTATATCCAACAATCAATTTGGATTTATGGCTGGAAAATCTACGGAAGATGCGGTCACTACATTATCCGAATACACTGGGAAACTAATAGACAATAAAAACAAAAGTCTCGGTATATTTCTAGACCTTGCCAAGGCATTTGATACAGTCTCTGTAGCCTTGCTCTTGGATAAGTTGGAATTATTGGGTATACGTGGCATTCCACTGAAATTGTTTACAGACTATCTTTCTAACAGAAAACAACGTGTGGTTATTGGGAAATACACTAGTACTGATGCAGATGTGTTGTTTGGGGTCCCACAAGGCAGCGTTCTTGGGCCTAGTCTGTTTTTAATTTATATTAATGATTTATGTAATCTAAACTTAACTAATGGACGTATTTTCACGTTTGCAGATGATACTGCATTAATATTTCGTGGAAGGAATTGGACGGAGGCTAGGGCTATGGCTGAATTAGGACTTCAACAAGTAATGAAATGGTTAAATAACAACATTCTCACTTTAAATGTCTCGAAAACAAAATGTATACTATTTGGTATCAATCATAACAACCTGCCTTCAGTATCTAGTTTCCAACTTAAAGCGCACACCTGTGATATGGATGATAATATGTGTTCATGTCATTATATAGAAAGATGTAAAATGCTTAAATATCTAGGAGTGATTCTCGATGAGTGTTTAACATGGAAACCTCATATCAATGATATAATTAATAGGGTCAGACGTTTAATGCCTATTTTTAGAAAAATTAGACATGTTGCAGACTTCAGACTACTAAAATCAATATATTTTGCACTGGGCCAATCTATTTTATCATACTGTATTAGAGTATGGGGTGGCTCTCGAAAAACAATCATTCTACCACTAGAGAGAACGCAACGTTCCCTACTTAAAATAATAAAATTCAAACCTTACCGATTTTCCACAAAAGAATTATACTTGGAATATGACGTACTAACAGTAAGGCAATTATATGTAAAACATTTAATGAAGTATCAACACAAAACTGTTATATATAATCAGGAAGCATATAAAAATCTAAGACGAAAGGACAGGGTTTGCCTAACAAAAAAGTTTAACACTTACTTCATTACAAAGTTTCAATGCTTTGTTGGACCGCGAATATATAATAAGATAAATAAAATATTAGATATACATCACTTAAATTTACACCAATTATTAAACAAATTAGTACCATGGTTAAAAACGCTCGATTACGATACTATGGAACAATTGTTTAGAATATTATCCTAATTTAAATAATATAACGTAAAATAAAAATAATTAAATAAGTATATATATATATATATGTTTATATATTGTATGTAGTGTGTGAATATATATGTATATATCTATATGCGAAATATATTTGTTGTATGTATTGATATGTTTAATGAATATAAACAACACTTAATGTATTATGTGGTTGTGCGTATATGTAACATATAAATATATATATAACCGTTTTTGTTTTTTTTTTTTTTGTAAAAAACATGTTTTATTAAAATATAAGATAAGTTTCTACATTTAGTAGTCGCACTTGCAAGTATCTATGCACCGATTGTAGTTGGACCATACGATGTGACGCATTCATTGCCTCAACGATACGATTTATTTTATTTTTAAGTATACCCTACATTTGTCTTATTTTTTCGTTCACCTCTAAAGAATCGTATAGCATGTTATCTTTAGGTGGGCAATGGTGTCTGAGATACAGGCTAGGCCTAGTTTAGACACTACTGCACTGGACTTGATATTAAATAGTTAAGAACTATTGTATATATATGAATTAATATAGATATATAACCGTAGTTAAGTCCCTTTTGTATTTGTTTTTTTTTTGCACAATAAAGTTATTATTATTATTATTATTATTTTTCTTATTGATTACATTTGCACCGCCTACTGTTTCTCTGCACAACCTGAGGTTGACTGGTAGAAAATGCCGTAAGGCGTTAAGTCCGCCATATGTACTTTTACCTTGGTATTTTGTGCATTGAAGTTATATAAATAAATTAATTAATTAAAAAAAACATATGAAGTTGACAATAGCAGTTGCTTTAGCTCTTGCTGATAAGAACAACCTCAATGATCTGCCGTATATGTGGTTTTCAGGCATGCAATTTTCAGTTGTCGCCCATAACATAAGTTCTGCTTATATTGGGCCTTGATGGCGCTGTGTGGGTTTCTTGGGTTATCATTATTAAGAATGGGGCCTCTAGGTCCCATTATGATTAATCCCTCTTCTCTACTGTAGTGAAATTAAATTAAGTAAAGTAAGTAATACTTTATGATGTCCTCTTTCAGACGTATATCAGTAAAGTTACTCCAATTGATAGCAGCTGAATCAGTCACCGCTCCACCAAAGCCTTCAATTGTTTGGAATAGCTTCTGCGGATTTACCGCTAGTGTCGTAATTCTTTGGCCTGAAAATAAATATCTCTAAAATAAGCAAATAAAAGGAATGTGCTAAATTTTTTTTTTGGATGCAATTTAAAAGGCAAACAAGCTGACGACCTGATGGTAAACGGTAACCGTCATCTGTATACATGAACAACACTATGAACTTTATGTTATCATGTGATAACACAACTAATGCACATTCGAGAGGACTAAAATGTAATTCCTCTTATCTCGTAATTTCACATGCTTTGTACTATTCTACAACCCAACTCGGTGTACAAAGCAAGCAGCTTGAAGATTGCTATAGGTGAGACTGAGGTCACTCGCGAAGACGACTTTTTACAGAATCTACCTCTATAAAAACAGTTTGTTATAGAACCCAGTAAATTTTATATAAATTTTTATTGTTATTACTCACTTTCATTATGATTTAATAGGTTATTAGATATTTCTAATAATCCTGTTGTTTTCTTGAATCTGGCACCGGCCTGCAACGTAATACAATTAGTTTTTAAGATTAAAAACCCAATCCTAAATAGATAGTGAAAGAAAAGGAAATGGGAGAGGAGAGAAGTTAGGACCACAGATTAGACGTGTTAAGATGAAAACAGAGAAAAGAAATACAATAATAAAGATAATGCAACCTCAATTAGACTTTGTAATAAGTCCTCGACGTAGTCTCTCCTATTTCAGCCACCAGCAAGCCTTCTACTCAAGCTGTGTGTGTGATTTTCAAGCTGTGTTTCGGTTGAAGGGTGGAGGGCATAACATCTTAGTGCAGAATGATAACGCATGAGTGGTATCACATACGCCATTTAATAAAGTGACGTCTAAAATACTGTTCATGTATATAGGCCTCAGTTACCAATTACCATAAATAAATACATTAATAAATGCTACAAAAGTACTTAAAAAATACATATGAAAAACATTATTTCACATGATACCTATTCAAAATCCTTTTGCTTAGGCCATTAAGTTTGAGAACACACTTCTCGCTTATATTGGGTGCGCTCAATCACTTGCTAGCTTTAAAATGTCAATCAAATCCCATTTTCTTTGCCTTTTTTTAAGTTTTACTTTTACTCCTCTTATTTGCTTCTTTCAATGTGTACTATTAGTCTATGTAGAATTATGTGTGTGTAATATAATATACATATTATTATTATTTATGTATGTATTATGTTTGTTGCTATGTGTACCACCTACTTATTCCCTCATATCTTTATTTCCTAAATTCTTATTATCTGCAAGAAGTAGCTTAGCGATAAAACTGCCTATTGTACTATTTAAAACATTTAAATTAATACTTTTTGTAAAATAATAAAAAAATACACTGCAATGAATAACATTATGGGAGACTATTTGTGGCAACATTTTAATTAATCTCACCTCAGAGGATGTATATGCAACATATGCACCTACATTGGGTGTAGTTCTTGTGGTCTGATCACAATAGGTGGCATTGCAGACACAGACCACCGACTGGCCAGTTATTTGACGGGCTGCACATGGTATGTCTGTAAAATAAAGACAGAATAGAACAGAAGTAGCAAAAGTAGTGCGTATTATGGCAATAATAAATTGAATAATGGAATGGTGCACTCATCTGCGCTAACGGTTTACGCTGGCGGTGCACCAATGGAGGATGATCCATCGTGACAAATTCACCAAGAATGTATCACCCTGGAAACCCAGGGGGAACCGCGTGGAGGTCAACCTGACATTGTACATTGCTAGCAAAAAGATCATTAGTCCACTTTAATAACAAGCCCCTTTTCCTCGGCGGTAAAAAGATAGAAAGATCTTTACAAGGCTCTTAGTAGTAGGACCAAGAGGATCACAAGTAAACTTACGTCATTAGGAATAATATATTTTTTGTATGAATCTATGATACAACATTTTAATTAAGCACGGCTTATTAATGCAAATAATTTGATGAATGAATGTCTTCATATGAAAGCCCAATTAAATTAGAATAAAATAATGTATATGTAACTATACAAGATTTTATTTGTTTAAGGGGGTCTTCCTATGTGACGGCCTGTTTTTTAGGGATATTTTAGGATTTTTTTTCTACGACCAGTAAATATTTAGAGCTTCAAGTTTTTTATCATTTATTAACACATATTTGGACAGTATAAATATAAAATTTCAGCTAAAAATATTCAGTCAAACTAGAGTTACAGCGCTCTGAACACCCCCGCCTCGAAAAAAAGAGCTCCCACTTCCTCCACGATTCCGGCTGATCGGCTTATCTGAAAAAAAAAAAAACGGCGTTTTAATTTGTAGGCTTAAAAGCATGGAATGACCTATAATCAAATGAATATAAAAAAAATTGGATTTTTGATAGACATTTGAAATAAAAGTTGCAAATTAAGCGTTTTTTTTTTTTTGTTTTTTGCTATAAAAAAAATCGAAGTTTTGAAAATTTTCGATTGATAATAGTTCATTCCATGCGTTTACATATATTGAGTGTGCCCTGTAAATTTCAAGTAATTCGGTCCAGCCGTTTCTGAGATACAATGGAGGAAAGTTTGAAAAACACAGTTTTGAGAAAAACGCGTTTAAAGTTTCAAGTCCGTTAAAAACTATTAAAATATCAACTTACTCTCAATCGGCGATGCCTGGTCCATAGAGTATTCCTTCCTCTTCCTCGTGAAACTCTTTTAAAGCAGATTGTTCAGCTCTTGAGTCAATCCTGGCTTGTTTACCGACATCACTTACGCGCCGCTCAGAGCGTAAGATTCGCTTTTCATCCCGTTTCTCAACATACGCTTGGGCTTCACGACCAACAGGGCATCCCATAATCGACATAACTTTTAAAATACCTTGAAAACCTTCATTAAAGATAATAACTGCTAAGTAGCTAGCAATTTCAACAACTTTGGGACCAGAATGAAGATGTTTAGGAGCGAAAGTCCAAATCAAAGAATTCAAAGATTCGTTATTGTTTTGTGTCTCTGCTCCTAAACAACGAATTAATAATTCGTCTTTCGATAAATCTTCGAAAACCGGTTTGATAGCTTCTTGGACTTGCGGAATTAGAGGTTTTTTGGCCGAAGGTGATGTAAATACCGTATCATTTTGGTGGGTAAAACGGTTTCCACTAAACTTTCTTTTTTTACTACGACCAGGATGAACATTTCCACTCGTACTTCCTTTCCGTCCACTCATTATGAAAAAAAATAATTTGTAGCTGTTGCTCTCTTCGAAGTTCAACCAAGACTAAAATAACTTCGGTAAAATATTATAACAATAGAAATTTCTGTTTAAGTCTGTAGAAACGTGTCTAAACTTGTATAAACAAATATATTAATAAAAGGGAGGCCAGGTATAAAGCCGACGGTACACAATAGGCCCGGTCTCTAACTGCCAACTCACCGCTCCGAACCGCTCTTTCTTTTACCTGCTGTATCTTTAAAACGACTTCGAATTTTCTAAAATCGCTTTACTACCGTATTCTAGACATGTTAAGGGAGCAATTTATGAAAAAAAAAAAAATCGATTTTTTCAACCCATCACATAGGAAGACCCCCTTAAACCAAATCAGATTTTTGCATTCATTCAATTCTAATCTCATAAGGGCGATGGCAGCTCTAATAAACCGTAGTATAGCTCTTGCGATAAACGGATATATATACAAAACTGCTAATGATTCTTATTCTAGGCCTAAGAATATAAGTTCTCATGCCAATATTCTAGTACTAACAAATCGTTTATTAAAATAATCTTACCAGAATATATTCCCACTATGCACAATGTTATGAACAACGAAATTAGAAGTATGTAATTGAATAACAGCATTGTGAACCCGATAGTTCACATACACACTGGCACAGAGACCATTGGACGACTGGGATCAATTACGGACTCAAATATTTCCCAAGTGACGTGCTCCCAACTCGTTACTTATCATTTGTACAAACATTATCTATTACTATTTTTAAACAAATAATTGAAGTTAATTAGTTAAACTTTAATACACAAAAATAGATGAGCTAATTTCATGATATTGACATTCTCAATTATGATTATATACTGTATTGTTAATGATTTTTATTACACTGTCAAATATTTCCTAAGTGGCGTGCTTCCAACTCATTAACTTATCATTAGTACAAACATTATCTATTATTATTTTTAAATAAATAATTTAAAAACAGTTATTAATTCATTAATCATTCTTTAATACACCAAAATAGATGAGCTAGTTTCATGATAAGAGCATTCTCAATTATGATAAGAAATTAGGATTAATAACAGTATTATTGACGGTCACGGTGGTCATTAGTGGTCAAGCGGTTTACTTCCGATGGTCACAAGTTCGATTCGTCGCACGGTACAAACATTTGTATTCATGAGTATGCTTTATTAATCCTTCTTTTATATTAACGACTTCGAGTACTTGATTTGTATCCGTACTTAGCAATTAATGATTTAAATTTCGGTTTGAATAAAGCAGGTGTTCGCTGAAATAACTATTATATTACAAGTAATGCTCATTGTTTTATTCGTTGCTTACAGCACAAATAAGCTAATATTACATACTTACAGTAAGCGAATATATCTCTATCTCCCTCTCGCTTTATATGATATAAAAGTTGTCCTAATGCATTCATAACAAACAGAACTACACCGTTTTTAAACTACTATCAATGTTTATATCATTATGACTAACATATTCGTATCTACTATATTAAAAAATAACTAACAATCATTGTTTTGTGAATTGGTCTTTTAGTTAATTATTAGTCTCGCATTATCAATGATAAACTGTTGAATAAATACAGCATCTATATACATATAATAATGTGACCGACCGGCGTCTGTACATGGAACATACATATATGAGAATATATTGATAAATTATCCAATTCTAGTTGTTTTGGATACTTTATTAACATAATAGAACCAAAAAAAACATAATATTTAGTATTATAGGCGACGCACTACGGTCTTAAAATGTTTTATTATTTTTCTTATATGGTTCATTTTTATTATTATATATATGTGGTCAGCTCTACAAGACTGTTTATAACTGCAGTAAGTTTTATACTAGAACGTACATCTAAAGTTATATTAGCAGGCTCCTACTAGATTTGTCTGGGCAGAGAGACAAACATGACTGGTGAAGGTGAGTGTTGAGCTACACCCGGGTCACAAGTTCCGGGAACTCCTCGGAGTTTACCTCTCTGTCATACGATGGACCTGCATAAGAAGTTCGTCTCACCGGTATCGGTGCGGTTTTCAATAATATATTTTGATATTCCATTAAATCACTCAAAGTGCTGTGTTTTAATAGATGAAAAATGATATGGTGCACCTGCCTGCGTTAACAGTTTACGCTGGCGGGACACCAGTAGAGGATGATAGGTCAGGTCTGTTAGCCCATTACGGCAAATTCACTAGGAATTTTTCACGACGGTTCACAGGAGGAACCTCGTGGAGGTCAGCCTGATATGGTAAATTACTAGCAATGAGGTCAACAATCCATATAACTAACAATCCCCTTTCCCCCCCAAAATTTTTTCTTTATCTATATACAAACAAAAAAGTTATTAATATGAAACTTAAATAAAATAATACAATTTATTTAATATAATTAAAATTTTTAACAAAATTTAATACAATTTATATAGGATAGTGTATTTATTCATATAAATTGCACCTAACCACATCCATTTGGTATTTCGACTGTGGTGACAGAGTCTGCTTCCACCAAAACGGACGCCTGTTTGATTCCCAACTTCAACCGTATTAGTCTGTTTACACTTTTGCTGTAACAAAAACAAAATTGGTAAGAATATAATAATATAAATAACCATGAATTATTCACATAGCGCCACCTAGTCCCAAACTAAACGGAGCACATGTTATGGGTACATAACAAACATCCAGACCAATACAAACAATCATACTTATGGTAACAAGTGTTTGTAACAGGCGAGGAATCGAACCCGGAACCATTAAAGAACTTAAATTTGAACTTAAAATTTATAGCTAGAAGAAATAACGTGTGTATATCTAACTGGCTCGCCTATGTACGCGGTGTTGCTGTATTCAAACACTATATTAAGGTTTTAATATATCAAAGATAAATATACTATGCGTATGATTAGTAAAAATCATGGGCTCCTACCACGTCTTATTTTTATTAAGTTCCCGACTCTGGTGAAATATCGGGAACTTAATAAAAATAAAAATAAAACGTAGATAGAACGTAGAAATAATAACTGCATCAAATTTAAAACAATAAATATATTAAGGTTACTTAAGGGTCGGCAACGCGCATGTAACACCCCTGATGTTTCACATGTCTATATTGCCCCTCCGATCGATCCCCCTTCCAATTCAAACGGGGATCGAAATTACGACGGCCTGAGCCGAGGTTCGAACCCCTAGTGGTGCCCTCGGACTAAAGTCGTATCCGTCAGACAGGATTTGGCCTTCAGCCGCTCCATAAGTCCTTCCGTGGGATTGGAGTGCCATCTGCACTCGCCCCCTAACGTCCGGTGAAGCTGTAAAGGCCAGCTGCGGCCAACAGCATTAGAGTAGTCAGAAAAAAAAACGTCTATAGGCTAACCATTACCGACTGCATGCTAGTTTTACAACGGCATAATATAAGATGAAATGGCGCGAAGAATAAAATAAATACTTACTCATTATATAGTACAACGACTACGGTATTGTACGGTGTTATAAAAGCTACATTATTGATAGTCGCGTTGCTCAATTCCTTCACTTGTATCCGTATTGAGCCCCTTGGGATGAATTTGGAAAAATGTCCCATCGCGTAAAACATGGGCTGCTTGACAAATTCACCCCTCTCCGGGAACACAATCACAGGGGAATCTACAAAGTTCTGCACCCAGTTTGGACCACCTTCGCTGTTCAGGCATAAGTTCCAGTCAATCCACCCAATCAAGTTGTAGTTGAGGTCCTAAAAACATGCAAAAATAAATGTCATAGGCTTCACACGGGTGCATTACAATCCTTAAATTTCTTTAAATTTCTGTACTTTTGTATGCATATAGTATATACATATATAAAACTTCCCTCTTCAATCACTCTTTCTATCGCTGAGAACTGCTATAAAATCCGTTACTGAGTTTAAAAGATGTTAGATTTGACATATTTTTAAATTGTGTAGCATATTTATTAGTTGTTTAGTATATAGCATTTTTTAACATATAATTATAATGATTAATTTTGTACCTAGTTGAATTGCAGTCTGTTTTAAGTTAAAGTTTCTTACTTAAAGATTACTGATTCCTGCGACACAAACCTTGAGCTTAGTGCAGGGATTGCTCTTAAAATATTTTGTCTATGATCATTGATATAAAGTGTACCAATAATAAATAAATTAAGCATGAAATAAACGATCAGAAATAATTCCACTGTAATTAAAAATTACATATTTACACACATTATTAAAGATTTAAAATTAAATGACGTTCTATTTAACATTGAAAAATGATATTTATTTATTTATATTTATTTATAAACTCTTTATTGCACCAATCGAATTAATACATAAGAGAATTAGACAGAAAAGAGATATGGAAGTACAAAAGGCGGTCTTATCGCTAGAAGCAATCTCTTCCAGACAACCTTTAGGTAGAGAAAATATAACAAAAGTGGTAGGTGGCGCATGAATAGAATGGAAGAATATATATATAAAGGTAATAATAGGGATAGGATAATAATACCAATAAATATTAGAAAATAACACACATTATTTATAAAATATATACATGCATAGATATAAAAATATAAATTTACAAAAAGTTACAAGCAATATATACATACACATATAAATATATAAATACAAGTACAAAACAACAATGTCATATGCAAAGAAACAAAACACATAGCAAGAAGGAATACAGGGAGATTTAAGTGGAAAGGTAATGGGATTTAACCGAGCTCTTAAAAATGGGTAGTGATTGTGCGCTACGAATGGAGTAAGGTATAGAATTCCAAAGGCGAACAGCATGGACTGAGAAGGATTTACTGTAAAATGAGGAACTATGTGAAGGAGTTTTAAGGAGGAGATTTGATGCACTACGCAAGCCATGGTTTTGTGCCTCTCCGAGAAATGAAAATCTTTCTTTAAGATAGTTAGGAGTAACAGGATTAAAAAGAATGGAGTAAAGAAGAGAGAGTATATGCCAGTCACGGCGAAGGCGAACAGGGAGCCACTTGAGCTGTGAACGATAATGTGAAACGTGGTCATATTTGCGTAGTCCAAATATAAACCTGATGCAGAAATTTTGAAGACGCTCAAGTTTGTTTAATTGGTCTTCGGTGATAGATGATGATAGCATATTTTTGAGCATTTTTTTATAAAAATGACCATAATTTTAACAGCAGTTTAGCAATTTTTCAATTAATCGTGTTGACAACACTGGCTACTGCAACAACGTAGTATTAAATGAATAGGGTATGACTTAAATGGATGTTGAATAAAATAAAAATTATACTAACTTCCAGAATATTAAGAATATATGTCACAGCTCTGTCCCATGATCCCAAGTCCACCTTCGGCTGCTGCCACGGCATGGCTCCTGAAAACCGTGGACTATTTATTATTACTATACTAGCTGTATCCGCGACTTCGTCCGCGTGAAATTTAACTTTATTTTTCTGAAATAAAAGTAGCCTAAGTTACTCCTTATTACATCAACTACCTGCTTAAAAAAGTCCCGTCAAAATCGGTCCAGCCATTTCAGAGATTAGCCGAAACAAACAGACACAACTTGTAAAAACTGTTATTTTGCTGTATGTATATGTATGTATTTATATTTATATGCATGTAGTAAAAAATGGTTATTTCAATATTACAAGCAGACACTCCAATTTTATTTATATGTATAGATGTATAGATGACTTTTCTTTTTTAAATTGGTCAAAATGAACAAATACACATCGAAAGTCATAATTTTCGTTAACTTGTTTTGGAATTTGAATAGTGATCATTGCGATTAGAGGTAGTCGTTGTAAAAAGTCGCCTCCGTGGGTACCTCCAATCCGCCTCCTATCTGCCGACCAGCAGCTTACTTTCTAACTTGTGTTTCGGTCGTAGGATGAGATGATGATAGCTAAGTAAGATAATATTTGAGTTCTACAGAATGACAGCGCTTGAAGGCTGGTCCACTTTGTAGTCATTTTGTCATATTATATATATTTGTACACGGTATCTGGTAGAAGCCTGCTAATTCAGCTTTAGATACACATTCTAGTCTTTCATTTCTTCACACACGGTATCTGGTAGAAGCCTGCTAGTTCAGCTTTAGATACACATTCTAGTCTTTCATTTCTTCACACACGGTATCTGGTAGAAACCTGCTAGTTCAGCTTTAGATACACATTCTAGTCTTTCATTTCTTCACACACGGTATCTGGTAGAAGCCTGCTAGTTCAGCTTTAGATACACATTCTAGTCTTTCATTTCTTCACACACGGTATCTGGTAGAAGCCTGCTAGTTCAGCTTTAGATACACATTCTAGTCTTTCATTTCTTCACACACGGTATCTGGTAGAAACCTGCTAGTTCAGCTTTAGATACACATTCTAGTCTTTCATTTCTTCACACACGGTATCTGGTAGAAGCCTGCTAGTTCAGCTTTAGATACACATTCTAGTCTTTCATTTCTTCACACACGGTATCTGGTAGAAGCCTGCTAGTTCAGCTTTAGATACACATTCTAGTCTTTCATTTCTTCACACACGGTATCTGGTAGAAGCCTGCTAGTTCAGCTTTAGATACACATTCTAGTCTTTCATTTCTTCACACACGGTATCTGGTAGAAGCCTGCTAGTTCAGCTTTAGATACACATTCTAGTCTTTCATTTCTTCACACACGGTATCTGGTAGAAGCCTGCTAGTTCAGCTTTAGATACACATTCTAGTCTTTCATTTCTTCAGTCATTTCTTGATAGGCATTGTTGCTGATTCCTCTCACTCCCACTTCGACCGCATATTTTTCCGTTAATTCACTGTTCCTTTGCTTTCGCCCGCGTGAATTTCAGGCCTAAGTATTATTCTGATGTATAATGCTAAAATATTGTAAAGTTTCATTAAAATCTATTCAGTAGTTTTTGCGTGAAAGAGTAACAAACCATCATCGATCCATCTATCCATCCATACTCACAAACTTTGGTGTTTATGATATTAGTAAGATTCAAATAAACATTATCACATATATTTTACAAAATTATTGACAATGAAAAGTCTTTGAAAAGTGCTGAAAAAAAAACGCTGATTAATAGTTTGACGTATCATGTTAGTTGTAGTTTTGCCGAGTATGTAGTCAAATATTGAGGAACATTTTCCACTGTTCTTAAAATTAAAAAAACATTCGAATGTTATTTATTACTAGTTGAACCGCGGATCTTCGTCTGAGTCACACTTTCCCCATTATCCCCATTAACAAACTTCCACGTCTATAAGACTATGTAATATTATGTTATCTGTGATAAGACGAAAGATTAATGTTATTTCTCTAAACTGTGATTACTAACCTTCACAGAATTCCGTCGTCAATATGAATTGATTTTTATACAACTCCTGCGTTCTAGTCAATATATCGGGTGGTATATATTTGTTCATGTAACTGTGTACTGCGATGCCATCTACGTACTTCAGTGACCCTGGGTTCCAATCGACCACCTATAATAACTAAATTAGATTAGTTCTTAAATAATAATTAAAGTAGGTCTTAAAAGGAATGTATCCGAGCAATAACATTATGATGTATTCGATCTATGTCCGGTAAAATTTTAATTAAAGGTATTGCATCAATTCGCTTAAAGACCTTGCAGATGCAAGGTCTTACCCAACGTAATACTTAGGTAAGAGGAGATCCTCTTGCCTATATAGAATAGACGCAATATCTTTAATCAAAATTTTACCAGAAATATTTACGTTCAACTTACTCGGATTACTCTATTATTACAGTATATATAAAGCTATTTTTTAATACTCCTCAAATGAGTTTCCAGAAAAACGAAAATATTTAATAACGTAAATTTTACTATTATATTTACAGTAATAATAGAGTAAGCAGAGTAGAGAGGAACGTAAATATTTACTGCAAAATTTCTATTGAAAATATTGAAGTTGGTTGAAGAGAGACGTAACGGTCAGTCGTCGTTCATATGTATTAATACTTACAGCATCAAACCACAATGGTATAGCTAGCCGCTGGTCATCTACAGCTAATATATTTACTTCTGGTTTCCAGTTCTTTATCGTCGGTCCCAAATTGTCCTTTATCCATTGGCCCTAAAAAGACAACGATCACAGAAGCAAGTTCACTCTTAAAATAGTATAATCGACAGATGTAAAGTATTAGATCGATATCGCCATCGATAGTTATCAATCTTTAATTTCAGCCTCAATGCGTAAAGTTAATTTGTGGGGTTTAAGCCCATAGTTCCGTGATAATGATAGTGATGATTGATAAGAGATTTTATTAATCGCCTTGGTTAAATGCGGCTCGAACACTGATTTTATTGCTAAAGCTAAATAATGAGGTGAAATGCATTATAGGTGAATTTGCATGTATCGGCAATTGTGTATTGCAACACTGTTATTAATTTACTATTACATTATGTTAATATGAACAAAGCTGACTTTACAGACTTAATGTAACTGTGTTTATCTAGATATATAAATAAAATTGGAGTGTCTGTTTGTAATATTGAAATAACCTTTTTTACTACATGCATATGAATACTGTATCCAACGCATTTATATTCATATCTCACGTTCACATCAAGATAATATTTTTTACAATTTTTGTCTGTCTTTCTGTTTGTTTCGGCTAATCTCTGAAATGGCTGCACCGATTTTGACGAGACTATTTTTGGCAGGTAGCTAATATAATAAGGAGTAACTTAGGCTGCTTTTATTTTCGAAAAATAAAGTTAAATTCCACGAGGACGAAGACGCGGGTACAGCTAGTTTCGAAATAAAATTATCATACTCACAAATATATTGATACCTAGTGGAAGGCGACGAGGGACAGCAGTATTTTATATTTTATTTTATTTAAAATCTGAGACGTTAATGTTTTAACAATCCTATTAATAGAGTCATTACAAAAATAAGATAAAAAGACGTACGAAAGTTTGCACAGTCCAACCCAAACAGTTAAACTTCGGAGGCATCGCCGCACCATCTAGAGGCTCGTTCGTGGTAGTAATGCCCCAAATTGGGATACCTTCCTCCTCATATTTTTCGATAAATCTACAAATTCAAAGAGATAATTAAATAAATCTAAATTTTAAATGAATACTGAACAAAATAAACGTCTTAAAATTACCTTAATTTATATAATTATATATGATGCATAAAAGTTATTAAATTCAATAATATTATACCTAGATTGTTGTTTACGCAAAATTTACATATTTTTTCATTGTTCGTTAAATAGTGACATTGGTATTAAAATTTTATTATATTTTACTTATTGAAATTTTTAATTGAGAATGTTTTATTTGTGTATTTAAATATTAAATATATGAATAAAACATTTATATATTTCATATTTAAAAAAATAAACTTAAAGTCCTCTTAATTTTTCATTGTTAGCTGGTCGATTCTTAACGAGCTCACCAATTTTTATCGTTTGATATTGGAATGTATCGTTTCACTAAATTAACAATATAAATTATCTAACTGTAAGTGTACTGCTGCTTTGAAAACATACTTTTTATGATAATCTGCATAGGTTTGGAAAAACTCTTCTTTGAGGCGACTGATGCCTAAGAATTTGTGAGTGTTCTTCATCCACTTGGGGGGTGACCACGTGCTAGATACGATGTGGATTGGTGTTTTGGCCACTGCGGATGCAGCTTTAATGAATGGAATCTGGAAAAATGAGGACTTTGTACAAAGTACGGGTACTTCTATCTCTACCTTCACTATTTTACAGGGGAAAAAAGGAATTGGTAATAGTAATAATAACCCGAGACAACACACAACGCCATCTAGTCCTAAGCGAAGCAGAGGTTTTGTTATGTACCAGATAAGTGATATTTTTTTGGTAAATTTTATACCAATACAAACAATCATACTCATGAATACAAATGTTTGTACAGTGTGAGGAATTTCACCCTTAACCCGCAAATCCACAAATCGGAAACTAGACCACCGAGACTATCTGTTTGTAATGGCGTGGCGTCATTGCTAGCAATGTACCATGTCAAATTAACCGCCATGTCCTTCCCCTAGAAACACTTGGTGACTGCTAAAATTTTTGGTGATTTCACTACGATAGCTAACCTGACTTCATGCTTCTTATCATCCCTCACTGATGCGCCGCCAGCGTATGCTGTTTACACAAGTATGTGCTCCATTTCATTATCAAACACGCATACGGCCCATCTGATGGTAAATGGTTACCGTAGCCTATAGACGCCTAAAACACCAGGGATACTACGTGCTCGTTGTCGACCCTTAAGAAACCTTAATATACCTTTCTTAGAAAACACCATGCTGTAGCCTCGACAGGTAATACATTCCACAATCTAAATGTACGCGTATAAGTGTATACGTCTAAGTGTATTTTTTTCTAATAATACAAACCTTGTAGGTGTAATCTTCATAAGTAAGACTGAAGTTACTAAGTTTAACATCGTTTTCTGGGTACTCGTTGTATGCGTACACATGGGTAGAGAAGTCACTACCTCCTATAGGTACTCGCATCATGCTGTACTGCAGACCCTTATCGCTGAAGTATGAGCTGAAAGAAAGAAATTAGTCAATAGGACCTAATATAATATAGAGGTAAGTTAGACGAATTAGCGGTATCTTGCAAAAATAAAGTACCAATAGAAGAAAAATACTCATATATAATAAAACTTAGTAAATGTGTTAAATAAAATTCCCAATTGCGTATAGCGTCTTATAGATACTTTATTTATTGTTGTCGTTTGGCTGATAATAGTATTTGTTATATATCAATTTATACATTATTTAATTCTGATAGCAATTTATAGAATAGGAGGTAAACGAGTTTGCGGCATACCTGATGGTAAGTGATTACCACCGCCCATGAACAGCAGCAATACCAGATAAGTTGCAGGAGAATGGGATAGGAGTGAAGAAGATCAGCATCTGGAACCTCGACTCACCGTTCGAAACGCAATAACATTTGACGCCAGTATTACGAAGAGGTATCACAGTACTTCCCGATTCATTCGTGCTGCATTACCATGCGAGGTCATAGACCGTGCTCTACCACATTAAATAAGCGACTTTACTAAATTTCTAACATACTTAATGAAATGTTGTTTAAGTTGCGGATTGGTTAGGTTCAACCAGTTGATTCCAACTGCATCCGTGACGGCTCCACCGAAACCTTCTACAGTCTGATACCTCGTATTGAGGTCCAACTCCAGGGTACTGTATTGATATTCAACTGAAAAATGTAGAAAGATTATACTGAACAGTACCATACTATTTGTACTCATTCACTGAAACGCTCTCTAGACTACCAAGTCCCAACAGTCCTCTGCGGAGAATCGTGATAGGAAACTACGCCGTCTGAATAGACCTTTTTGATTATTGAGGGGTTTGAGCTACTGCCAGGTGTTTTAAACCAGCACTACGACTATTATGCTCGACCTTCTTCAAAGTTTGCTACCAAGATCCGTCAGAGACAAGAATTCAACGATATTTAATTTTAGGAACTCTTTTATCGCCTCAGGATGTTTAAAAATCGCTCGATATATTTAAATCATAGGTGGCGGAAGGCGAACCTACCGTCATTTAATTCTAATTGTTTTGGTTTTTTCTCCACCGAACAGTCAAAAATACAACTTAACACACTTTCATTGTTTTTGTATCGGTCAGATTCGAACTCATGTCCTCTTGGGAGTATTTCTAGATAGTAAATCACTAGGCTACGGGCTTTCTCTGTTTATATCACAATTACTTTTACATAAATGCGCTCCTAATATTATTTTTAAATTCTATAACAGTTTAAACACTAACCTGAGGGTGGAAAGTACTGCAAACTGGAAACATACTTTTCAAACCGTTTTCCAGCCTAAAACAATGTTTATCAAAGTTAAAACTGTTTGTGCAAATTAAATAAAAAAAAAAAATAACGGCATCTGGCTACGTCTTACTTGAAGATACTGTTAAAATATTAGATACTCAACAAGAAATTTAACGTACGACAACAATTAACATTTTTAAGGCAGGCAGGCAGAAATAGGTGAGGTACCCATGCATAAAAATTTGGACGAAGTGAACTTCGTTAAAATATATACTCACTTTTGATGATGTATACCATATATACTGGCCACAAGCGATTTCCTCTCGAGTTACTTCATCACAATAGGTTGCATTACACACACATACTACCGATTTATTAAAGTACGGTCTCGCCGCGCATTTTTTGTCTGAAAAGAAAATTTACTATCAAAATTGCATAGCAAATAAGAAATGATAATGCCTATGCTTGCTTCTTCATGTGCATAATTTAAGCGACGCGAATCCGCGCATCGCTGCGTCATAGCGAATTCAAATGTCACTTCTGTATAATATGCTTTGGATGTATGCATTCTACAATATATGATCTTTTCGGCCCATTTGATGGTAAACGGTTGCCGTAGCGTCTATAGACTACGGCAACCGTGAAACACCAGTTCTTGTTGCCGACCCTTATTTAAGGTACCCTTATTTAAATACCCTACACATATTCCATGGAATATCTTTTTGAACCTGCGTGCATTATTAAGCGTACGTAACATCACTTCGATACGATTTAATATTACCATTAAATCGTATCTATATAGTTTTAGGGTGCTAGATATTGAAATAAATAATGTCATTTGTATCACACGAGACTATTGGCTATCGATGGATTTATACATCCATTATAAACATATATTCGCCGATGCACCTCGATATAGTAGACTCGTGCTATTTAAAACTCAAGAATGCATTATCTGAACACTATTAGCACATTAAATAAAATATTAATAGTTTCTATATTACGAAACGTGAACTATATCGAAGTAAGTAAATAAACATGTTATTCTGAATGGAGAAGTTAGAGCCAATGTTAATTGCCGACGTCGTAGTGAACGCAACACTAGACACGTCCACACTTCGCTGGATATTTTTCAATTCAACTCGGTAGGAGGCAAGCCTACAGACCTGTAAATAAATAATCAAACCTCTGTGTAACGTTCTTTTGTATGTACTTTCGAAAGACCAGTACTATCAATTATCTTATCAATCTATGGGTCTATTGTTATCTATTCTTATATGTAGGTATAGTATATTAAACAAGAATAATTATTGAAATGAAGAAGTATCATATCAATAATATTACTTATGTTTGAACTCATCTAGAAACTTCTGAAAAATTTCTAGATGTATTCTCCCAAGAAGAAGCAAGTCCAACGATGCATCATCCTATGGAATACATACTAAATATATTTCAATCAATTTGCTGTGGACATAATAGATAAAAAACATATTTTTGTAAATATTTTTTTCTAAGTTATCCTAATGCTCACTGTACTCGTTGTTTTTTAATATACAAGCAACATTGTCATATAAATTCTATTCTCACCATTGTTAAACGACTCTGCGTAGAATATCACAAATAATATAAAAAGCAATTTTATATAGACGCAAGAAGACATCATTTTGCATCGCGGAACGAAACTACAAGAATTGTTAAAATTGAAGTTCTCCAATTTATATTACTGTATATCAACCTGCTGGCGTATAGATTATTTAGACAGCTGTTAAAATCAAAGGATGTATAATGTACCGGATGGTAAGCAGCTTTAATAACAAAAAAGTCACAATAAAATTAGTGTACTTATTCTTTAGTCTCTAGGCTAGTTAAGAATAGTTGATTTTATTTAATGTTAGACATAGACATCTATATAAATAAACTGGCATTAAAAAAAAAGAAATTCAATCGAATTTCTTGCCATTTCTTCTCCATTCAAAGTTCGACGTTCATAAGCGACTAAAATGCCCTACATGAATAAATGATTTTTTAATTTGACTTCCGATGGTCGAGGATTTCATTCCTCGCACGGTACAAACATTTGAAAGCATGATTAACTCATGAATCAAAAATATCAGTTTGGGTGTTTCCTATATATATTTAAAAAAATGTATTTATGCCAGTTGCAATGATATAAGCTCTGCTTAACTTGGGAATAGATGGCGCTGTGTGAATTTTTCTGAATTATTATTAAGGCATAGCAAAAATTAATTCCAGCACATATGCACCATGGGAGTTGGTAGCCTTTTAAAAAAAATAACATATTTTCTTCAAGGTTTCAATATCGTATCGGTTCGGATATACCAGAAATGGTATGCAGGAAGACTATACAATTTCGGCATAATTTTTTTGGAAAAACGCACTGTAAAAGACCAAGATCATACATCAAGGCGATCAAGATGTAATTTAATTTTTTATTAACAATAAGATACTTGTTCGTATTACAATCTTCTCCCCTATAAACTCAGTTTAAATAGTTTATTTTTGTCGATTAGATTTGATCGTAGGACCTCTAGGGTTGAAAATCGGCTAGTATACCAATACATTCTATGACGCCGTCAAATTAATTACTTATTATGATAGAAATAGAAATAGAAATAGAAATAATCTTTATTCAAATAAACTCATTACAAGCACTTTTGAATAGTCATATTTTGATTCTACCACTCATTCGGAATGCAGATTCATCACAAGAAGAATGAGCAAGAAACTTGTGTGTTGCTCTTTTTAATAGATGTTTTTTTTTATATAAATAATTACAGTATAACAAGTAAGAGGCATGCGATAATCAACATAGAAGTCGCTACGCACTCATTATTAATGTAATCAGATAATATTGTCAGTGCTATAGATTTAAAGTTTTTCTATAAAAACATTATTATCGTTAACGAATTCTTCAATTTTATAGTAAGCTTTTTTGCAAAGGAACTGTTTTATTTGACATTTAAATCTTTTTTCTGGCAGATTTATAACAGACTCTGGTATTTTATTGTAAAACCTTACGCAATTGCCATAAAACGAATTACTAACTTTAGCCAAACGACATTTAGGTAAAATCAGTTTGTTATTGTTACGTAAGCTTTTATTAGTGCAATCACTAACTCTTTTGAAACTGTCTATATTCCTTCTGGCATAGATGATATTTTCATAAATGTATTGAGAAGCAACGGTGAGGATATTTGATTCCTTAAAACACTCTCGCAATGACTCCCTGGAACCCATACCATAAATGGAGCGAATGGCCCTCTTTTGTAAAGTAAATATTGTATTTATATCAGCTGCTTTGCCCCATAACAAAATACCATACGACATAATGCTATGGAAATAGCTAAAATAGACAAGTTTAGCCGTTGCCACGTCTGTTAATTGTCTAATTCTTCTTACCGCATAAGCGGCAGAACTAAGTCGACTCGCCAATTTAGTAATATGAGCACCCCATTGCAACTTGGAATCTAATGTGATACCTAGAAATACAGTATCGTCAACAAAATTAATAGATTTATTGTCCAATACGATTTTTGAATCTACCGGCCTTACATTGGGGAGAGTAAATTTGATACATTTAGTTTTATTTGCATTTAGTAGCATATTATTTGCCGTAAACCATTTTAAAACATAAGAGAGAGAACCGTTTACTTCGTCCATATCATCAATATGTCGATTGACTTTGAATACTAATAAAGTATCATCAGCAAACAGAACTATGTCAGCTATCTTTTCTACCATATAAGGAAGACCGTTTATGTAAACTAAAAATAAGAAAGGACCTAGAATAGAGCCCTGAGGAACACCCATTTTAATACTAGTTCCCTCAAACTTTACACCATTTATTTCAACAACTTGCATTCTATTATTTAGATAGGATTTCATCATGCATAGTGCTTCATATCTAATACCGTAATGTTCTAATTTGAGTAAGAGTGTTTCATGATCAACGCAATCAAATGCTTTTGAGAGGTCACAGAATACACCGATAGCATCCTGAGACCTCTCCCAACAGTCAAAAATGTGTTTCATTAAAGCTACACCAGCGTCAGTAGTTGATTTACCGGCTGTGAAACCAAATTGCCGACTGTGAAGCAGTCTATTTATTTTAAAGTGTTGAAGCATCTGATTGAGCATAATTTTTTCAAACAGTTTACTTAGTACTGGTAAGATAGAAATGGGCCTATAATTACCTACTTCAGTTTTAACTAACTAAAAAACTACCCCTAACTTAAAAAGTGGAGTTATTTTGCTATGTTTCATTAAATTGGGAAAAACACCGTCAAAAATACATTTATTGAAGATAGTTACTAAATATGGAGCAATAACATCTATAGCGGTGTTAATAACTTTAACAGACATGCCCCAATGGTCTTCAGTATTTTTTAAATTTAATTGTTTAAATGTTTTCGTAATTGTAGCAATGTCAATAAATGTAAATTTAAATGTAACCGGACACGAAGCAACATTGTCAATAAGGAATGATTTAGCTGTACCTACTTGGAGAAGAGTCCAAAGAGGACGTAATATCAGTTGGAATACTAGCGAAAAATTTTTCAAAAATATTGACTATTTCTTTTGTGGACGTTACTAGTTTATCATTATAATTTAACGTAAAATCATTATATGGACTTTTAACTTTGCCAGTTTCTTTATTAATAATATTCCACACTGTCCTAATCTTATCCTTGGATTCTTTAATTTTTTTATTTAGATAATTAGACTTTGCTACATTACATACCTTTTTAAAAGTTTTTGAGTATCTTTTTACATAATTTACGAATGTACTATCGAAACGGTATTTTTTTTGATCATATAAATCAAATAATATATTTCTACTTTTAAGAATTCCCTTTGTAGCCCATTCTGAAAATTTTTGTTTCTTACTAATACTGATAGTTTTTTTGTTAAAAGCCTTATTATATTCGTAAGAAACAATATTGAAGAAATCTGTATAAAATTTGTTAGGTTCATCAGATTGAGGACAAAAATCTAATTTACTACGAACTGATATTTTAAATTTATTTATCTTATAACCAGTCAAGTCTCTTTTTAATAAATTAATTTTCCTAATTTTGTTTACGTGATTTGGAAAAATTACTAATTGACCACAGTGATCAGAAGGAAGGTTGTTTATTATTATTTTATCTAAATATTCACTGTTGCTAAATATGTTATCCAAACAAGTAGCAGACGTGGCTGTGATACGAGTGGGTTCGTGGAAGACATTACTCAAGTCAAAAGATTGAAATAAACTCATTAATTTAGTTTTTGTGGTGTTATGTGATAAAATGTCAACATTGAAATCACCACACACTATAATTTTTTTGTTAATATTAAATACTCTCTTTAAAATATCCTCCATTACCTCTTCAAATAAATTATAATCACTATTTGGAGGTCTATATACACACATAACTATATAATTTTCTAGTTCCACACAGGAAATTTCAATACAACACTCAACGGAAAGATTGCCAATATCACTACGTTCTTTTACTTTTATATTATTTTTCACCAATATCATGGAACCTCCTCTATTTACTATTTTTCTATTAAAGCAGCTGACAATATTATAATTGTTTAAGCTTAACATCATATTGCTCACTTTGAGCCAATGTTCAGTTAAACATAGAACATCTATATTATTTTTTTCTGAAAACAATTGAATAATTAATTCACAGCCGAGAAAACTTTGTATGTTCTGGTGAACAATTTTCAATTCTGATAGCTTTCCCTTTGTCTTTTTCAGCAGTTTAAATCTGCAGTCATATTTAAATTATTGTAAATAAAATGATTCTTGCTAGAATCCATATTTATGTCAATATGTTCAGTATGTTTAGTATTAGCATTAGTATAAGTACTACTAATTGGATTAGTGCAACCCATTATATTACTTATAATGGGGTCATTTATATTATAAGCTAGTAAACTAGCTATATTTCTTATTTGTTTTTTAGGCAGATAAAATCTATCTCCAGTCATACAAAAGTTTGTAACAAATTTGTTACTATCAAAAAATAAAAAGTCATTATGACGACAAGTCATATTATAAATTAAATTATTAATATAATATATGAACTTATTTTGTTCAATAGTCAGAGAACGACAGTAAGGAAATGCACATAAAATTATTTTACCTATGCCCAGCTCAGCAATATTAAGCAAAGAGTTTACAAGTTTAATGACATGACTTTTTTTTTACATATAAACAGTTGCCTAAAGCAATGACTAATGTGGTTAACTTATCATACCTACCATTAACCACCTTATTTAAAATATTAGGCAATGAAGCACCAGGTAGACAATTATTTATAACATGTTGAGATAAACTTTCTGATAATGAACGGCCCAAACCCTTACCATATTCATCTGAATAAATAATTGTCCTTCGTACTGGTGCAACATTACAATTATCAATTTTTAAAGACAAGTTAGAATTGAGTAAATTTGAACAAGGAGTGATTGACTCAGTCAAGACTGATGTGATTGACTTATTGTTATTTCCATTAGGGCTATATTGACAAGATTTAGGAGATTCAGGTGTCTCACAACAACATTTCTCTGTCAATGAGGTGAACCGCTCCATGTTGTAATTTCCCAACTCTATTAATTTATCCAGTGATTTACTATAGTTATTAA